TTTGTCATGATTTATATCATAATTAATCAGAGTTAACAAGGCAAAACAATAACAATGTTAGTCTATTGCCAGAGTTTCAAAGTTATTTCAATATTTTTCATTTCTTTTTCATGATAATAATAATATTCAACAATGAACCTGAATTCATCCCAGTAATTAACTGGAAAAAAATTTCTCTCTCATTCAAATGACTGAGAGATGATGAAGATTAGAGGATTTTGTAACACAAATGGGTGCTAATCAAATTAATCTATGGTTGATAATCTGAATGCAAAGTGAAATGATGTGGAAACAATTATGATCTAGATTATCAAATGAAATGCGAAATGAATTCATGATTCATGAGATTTGATTGCAATCGTTTCCCTGTTCATGGTGAAATGAAATCGACTCGTTTTCATGTTAATCTAATTATTAAACATTTGATTGTTTGCATTTCATGAGTTAATCAGTTTCATGTTTGTTTCTCTTTTTTGTTAATCTCATCATGTTTATCGTTCTCATCATCAGAATTTATAAAAGTATCACAATCGTTGGAAACTTTTCTCTCTCTTTTTTTTTACTCAACGTTAATCCATTGTAAATGAAGAAAGAATTTGAATTCAATCCAAGGAAAGAAACAATCTATTCTCTTTTTTTTCTTTCTTTCTTTTCATCATCTTTATCTTCATCTTCTCATCATCTTATTCTTTTCCCTAAGTTACATTAAATTCTATTCATTCACAATGTTGGAATATTTTGGCATTCCAATGATCTTCTTGAGTTTCATGATATTATAAATACTAAATAAGATGAAGAGAGAGAGAGAGATGATGAAGGAGACAATATGAAACTTCTTGAGAGAGATGAAATCAGGAGGAAAAGTAATAGCTGAAGATGAAGATGAAGGTTAACTTGTCCCATGATAACCTGACACTTATCCTTGAAAAGTTTGGGTCAGTTGGGTTAGTTTATTAGAAATGTTCATGATGATATTCACGGCAAAAGTTTCACCAGAATGAAAGACGAGGATGAGAAAGAAAAAGATGAAAATAAAAGGTAGATATTCATGGTTGACAGAATTTCACCTTCCCTTAGAATTTATCTCTTTCGTTTTTCTTTATCATCTCTTTTCCATACTTTCACTTTCTCTCTCTCTCTCTCCCTCTTTCTCATACATACTGTCCATCTTTTCCTTCATGATGGACACTTAAATATCGATATCTATCTGTGAGGCTATTATAATAAATCGATGAATCAGAGAAGGAAAAAAAATGAGAATTTTTTCCATGAGTGAAAATGAATTCACTTTTCTCTCCCTTATCATCATGAAGATCTTGAATCTTCACAGATTAGGTACTGAAATTAATATCAATTTATTCAGGGTGATTCATGGGAGAGAGAGAGAGAAAGGAAAAAAAGAGATAAAATCATTGAATATATTAATCGACAAGGGTCAAGAAAGGGAAAGATCTTATTTTGAGAATGTGTTCCAATTCTGATACAATCTATCAAGAAAAATCTGATTATTATCATGAATTATTAACATGGTCTCATGGAAAAAAAAGTTTCATGATAATCACTGAATACAGACTGAGGAAAATCAGATTACTTCAAGTTTCCACCATCAATTCAAACTGAAAGATTGAACTTTGACAGGGTTGATTGTCATTAGAATTCAATTTAATTAGTAAATTATGGATAATTACAATATGTCACAAGGTTAAATTGTTTTCCAACTCATGATTAATTACAATAATTAACAGTAAATATAAGATGAAAAGTGAGATATAAACTTAATCACAGGAGAGAGAGAGAGATTCAAAGTGAGTTGATTAAAAAGCCTAAATCTAAATTAGAATACAAAATTACCGTTATATTAATAAGTCAACATTACATAATCTTTCAGCGTCTTCATATCCCCTTTCTTTTAGCATCATTATCATCTATCTTCATCCTTCCGGTTCAGAAAAGGGCTACTTCCGTTAATATAATTTTCTCTCTCATAGAAAACCAGCATTTTCTTATACATGTTAAGATACGAATCAAATTTTTGCTTCTTTATTAACCTAATCTCCGGTTTTGAAGAAAGTTAATTGTTGACTTAATGTTTTTGTTGATTAAACTTTGTCTGTCTACACAGAGAGTATGTTAATTCATGTAATAGAATGAATTAAATTTAATTAACAATTTAACCGACAACAAAAAAACAGCAACAATCAAATGACGACGAAGGGAAAAATGATAACAATCAGCAAGAAACAATTGGAAAAAATTTCTTCCATGGTAATTTCCGCCTTCTTCTCATTAACCTTAGCAATTTCTTTCCGAATTGAGTTTCAACTGAACTTTTTGGTGAAAAATTTTCATAGCAAAGTAGCAATTATTATTATCACTTTTTAACCTGATTAATTAACTTTGATAGACAAGATTGAAAGCCAAAAGATGGCGACTCATCAGACAGAATCAATATATAAATAATAGAGATGAAAATTCAATATCCAAAACTCAGAATGAAGATAAATTCATGGTCATCATGGTTCTACATGATTTGTGGCTCAAAATTTTAGGACTTCTCTTCTCTTTCGATAATGATAATAGATTGATAAAGGATATAATTCCAAAGGTAAAACAACAACGAGAAATAAAGTTCTTAATCACATTAAACTCTTACATCTTCCATGATAAATTCTCATGTTATATTCAGCTGAGAATTGAAAACTTTTATTATCGTTATTATTAATATCTATCAAGTTATATGATATTTGTTATCTTTGAGTCTCATTTTTTTGCTTTTTCAAAGAGAAAAAGTGAAAAAGTTGTCTGAACTTTTCCCTGTATTCTGAACACTTTTTCCTCTTCCATCCAAAGGTTCTGACCCTTTCTCTTGCCATAATCATGATTATGGTCAAGAGATATAAGTAATAATAGTAATAATAAGGAAGAACTTTTTTATTGTGTTAACTGTATCATGAAAAATCACTCTCAGGAGAAACTTATCTCTTATAAACTCTGAATTTTATTGTCATGAAATCTGTTTGAACCTTTTTTATTCAGATAATGGTGATAACTTTTCCATGAGAGAACAGAGCAAAAATCAGAATTTAAAGAGAAAGATAGAAAAATCGAAAAGAAAAAAGTTTTCTTTCGAAAAAAAGAGGAAAAAGATATCGAAAAGTTCAGTTAACATTCAGATAATAATAATAACCAACATTTCATTATTCTTTGTGAATTAGAGATTTAATCATCATGAATTTCGTCTCTTCCCTGATTCTATCCTCATGTTCAAAGCTTTATTTTCATATATATTCTGATTGGAGAAAGTTTTTTTCCCTTCGAAATATTTATCATCTTGATATTATGATTAAGTTAATTACTCTGTGTAGATTTGAAAGTTAATCTTTGTGAACATTATCTAACCCTTTCAATTGTAGAGAATTAAATTTTTAATGGTAAACAATTAAAGATAAATTTAAATTGAATAGTTTAAAATAAAATTGCTTATGGGAATCATTTAAAATCCGTAATTGAATCAAGTTAATCCGATGAATATTTAATCAGCTCATTTAATCCTAATTTCAAGGCTTTCATGTTAATTGTTCAATTGCTTTCGCTATAGTTTTAATTGTGTTTCAATTTTTTTTAATCATTCCAATGATTAAAATGATCAATTATATTCAGCTTATTATTAAATGAGTTTTCCTAATTGTTTGAATTTTGTTTTTGTTCAAATCTAAATACCAAGAGAAGTGTAAAAGTCATGATAAGAATTTGTTTGTTTCTCTTTTCATTTTCTCATTGAGTTAATGATGATGAAGAGATAAAGACATAGAGATGACTCTTGATCCGCATCTTTTTCAGCATCATTTTTAATTCTCATCATTAGGATGATAGAGAGAGAGAGAGAAAAAAGAAGAGAGAAAGATTCTCTTTGTTGTTAGAGAATTAGGATAACAAATTATATTTATCGTGATTCGAGAACGATAAAAGGATGAGGAGAAAAATGAGATAGAGGATCAAAGAAAAGGATGAGATTAAGAACGAGAAGAGATGAGGATGATAATTAGAGTGGGCTGAAGATTGGTGATGGTTATGAAATGGAAGATGATGATAGTGAGAAGGATGATATATATTCTGAAGAGAAAAAGGTGAGAGAGGAAAATGAAGACACGAAAAAAATAGAAAGAGAAAGTTTTTTCGATGGAAAATTAGATGAAAGTGAAGAGAAAAGTGCCAATAGAAGATGAAGAGAGAGAGAGAGAGAGAGAGAGAGAGAGCTCAAAATAGACGACATACAGATGATGATGAGAGTGATAGAGAAGGTTGTAAACAAGAAGGATAAAAGATGAGGATGATGAGAGGACACGAAGGGAATTCGGAAAATCTTTGCAAGAGAAAACTTCTCTCTTCTAGAAAATCTTTGTCTCTCTCTTTTTCTCACTCGGTCTTATTTTCTACTAGTTTTTCCACCCACTTATCATCCTCATCTTTTATCAGTATCACCATCAACTTGGGCTTGATTCCAACTAAATAGCCACAAAAATTATCCAACTCACACCAGAATTTTGGTTCGACATCATCAACAACAATCATCTTCTCAGCTAAAAGTGTCCCCAAACATTTACAGAGCTTTTTTTGTCTTTTTCTCAATCTTCCTCATCATCATCTTCGTCTTCATCCTCATCACATTTAAATTTCAATCTTGAAAAGTTTCCTCTTTACTATTTACACTTTTCACCTTGGCTTTCAAATACACGAACACAAAACAAAAGTAGATCAAATTTTGTTCATATACATGATAAATCTCAATGAATCCTCATGCAAACACATGAATAATTGTCATGAACAACATGATACATGGCAAAAGAAATGAATTAACATTTAAATCAGATTAACTTTATGATAATAAAATTAGCAGTTATTATAATAAATTCAATGGTAAACTCAATAATAGTTTTTGTTTGTCCGAGTTAATTGTCAATGAATTTGAAAGTATTAATAATTAAAGTTAATTAACTTACCATTTTGTCCATTGTTTCGTGGTTTGGCTCCGAGGTAAGCGAGGTTAACATTGGCCTTTCGTCCGTCGATGATTGGATTAGCATCTTTAACGGCTCTTTCAGCAGCCTCTCTATCAGCCATGGTTACCTTTTAATTGATTAAACAATTGGAAGTGTTCACAATTAAAACAATTATTCCAATGTGATGAGCAGGAGAAAAGCGACAATTTAAAGTTTATTTGTTTGTTTTGTCCCAAATTTAGTGTAAAGAATAACAAAGAGAGAGAGATAAATGTTAAAAGGATGAAAAATTCAAACAGGAAAAGGAAATGATGATGATACTTACAAATCCATAACCACGACTTTTACCAGTTTGACGATCAGTTATTACAACTGCTTCTTCAATATCACCAAACGATTCAAAAAACTTTTTCAATGATTTATCTGTTGTATGATATGGTAAACCACCCACAAATATCTTGGTCAATGTTGTATCCTTTTGGGTTACTGATGGATGGACAGTTGTAGTTGCATGATGATGATGGCCGGACATTGGCCCACTAGATCCACTTCCGTTGACACAGGTCACAGTGTTGATGTATTGAAACATAATTAGCAAAATTTTTTAATAACAATCTCAAAATATTATGATGATGATGAACAATAATAATAATATGGAAATAGAATTGAAAATTTCAAGATGATATTGAATTAAAAGAGTTGAAAAGAAATAGAGAAACTAATTAAAGATTACTGATGTTGACCATTTCCGGAAGATGAAAAAATTATTGAAAGGATAATGATGACAAGAAGATGAAAATACTTAGTAGATGATGATGATGATGATAAGTCAGTAGAAATTTATTCCTTGAACTTTTTCTCTCTTGCTCTTTATATTGATTATTTGGGTTAAACTTTTTTACTTTTAAATTTTTAAGGTGAAACAGGAAAAGGAAACGATGTTGAAAAAGGGTAATGATGATAAAAGAAAAAAAGAAAGAGAGAGGAAGATGATAGTTGATTGTTGATAGAGAGAGAAAAAAATTTGTTAAGATTAACTTTATCTATTTCGATGGATTAATTTGAGATTAAATTAGTTTTGAATTCTTGTTACCTACAATGTTTATCATGAGATATCAAAGGTAACTATGTTCCTGGAGTCTATTGTTATCTGAGACAATAAGATGTGATGATGATGATGATGATGATGAGAGAGAAAGAGAGAGAGAGAGATGAGAAGGAGAAGGAGAATTGTATGATCGTGGTTGATGAGAACACTGGAGAGAGATATGGAAAAAACTTCTTCTCGATTCGGTTTGACTCGAGATTCTGTTTAAGGTCCAGAGAAAAAAAGAGAAGAAAAAAAATTCGAAAAAGCTCTTTCTCTTTCTCTTCACTATCTCTCTTACTATTCTCTCACTTTTATCTTCTCTTTCACTTTTTCTCTTACTTTTATCTTCCTCTGTGTATTTAACTCTCGTCAACAATTTAAGGATAACCTCTCGTCTCTCGTAGTAACCTAACTGTATACTCTCACTTTCCCTCATCCCCTCTTTTCTTTGTCTCCCTCTCATCATTATCATCATCTTTTCCTTTCTTTTTCTCTTTCTTTTTTTTCATTATTTCCTATTCTCTCTCCCCCCTATTTCTCACTCCCACCTTTAGATATAAAAGTTCAGAGGGTGAGGGAGGAAGAGGCGGCGGTGGTGGGTAAAAAATTGGCTCCATAGATGAAGATGATTTTGCTCAATCCTCATCTCGATCCATGATATTGCTCAGTTGATTCATTCATCCACCCGGTGGGTTAAAACTTTCACCCACTTACCCTGGAATCTGAACAATTAACACCATCTAGTGTTACAAAAGATCAACAGTTAATTGTTACAATTAAGCTTAACCAAATTATCCTATTAACAGATTACATTATTATCCTTTTTCTTGCTTTAATCCTAATTGATTATCATCTCTATTTTAATGATTGATTAGCTTTAATTTTTACTCAATTATGATGATTGGTAATCGATAGTAAATTATTTAAATAAAGTTAAATGATTAACTTTTAATCTTGTTTTCAACGTTTTCCTTTTTGATTACTGATTGTTAATTAATAATTGAGGGAACAACAATTTAACTTGGATAACCACTTTGAATCTTTGACAACAATTAGCAAAGTTAATCAAGTTTGATGGGTGATTTTAATTACTGATCAATGGGCTTGTCAATGTCCTGATCATTTGAAACCAAATTAAAGGTTAATGGTAATTAACAATCAATAATTGTATCATGATCATGATCATTAAGTATCATTGGTAATCAATTTAATTGTTACCAATAATCAATGGGCTTGGTTTTGGTTAAATTAAAGGTGTCAAGTTAATCATAATCTCTGATTTAAAATTAAAACTAATTTAGTTATTTAACAAATTATAGTGGAAGAAAATTAATCAATGATTTTGATCATCATTAATTAATCAGTTCTCCTCTTAAATATCACAATTACTTAATTAATGAATCTTTACCATGATATAATTAACTTATATGATATTTGTTTACCATATCCAATGTTTAATTGTGAATAGTTAATTGTAATTAAATCAACTGCTCTGTTTGATTAATCGTTTTGATCAGTTAATTATCAATCTTTCATTGCTCTCAAATTTTAATCACTTAAAGGTTGAAGTTACAATTTGATTGTAAGTGTTAATTGTCATTGGTTAATAATCAACACTAACTAATAGTGTGACAATTAACTTAATCGTTATCATTTTTTTTCTGGTGATTGATTAATTGTAACTATGATTAAGTTTCATGCAAACCAATGAGTCGGACAGTTGAACAATTAAGTTGATTGTCAAGCCAACTAATTGTTTTGATTAAGTTTATAAATGAAGGGCAGTTAAAGGTTAACAACTGAATTAAATTGTTAGTGATTAACATTAACTAATTCAAATCTAATGTATTAATTTTCAATGGATTTAAATTTCTTGTTAACCTTTAATTGTGAATATTTAACCTTTAATTGTTGTCTAATTGTTGTCCTAAGACTTTATAGTTAATATCAGAGTTTAATTAACAATTTAACTTTTGATTTATTAATTTGTCTCAAATAACTTTATTCAATTCACAACTAATTCATGATCAGAATTTAATATTAATCATAAATGTTTAAAGTATTAATAATAATGATTAAATCACTACGATTAGTGCAACTGGAATCAACAATTAATAAATTGTACAATGAATTGAATAATTCCCGAATTAACTAAATCACGATTAATAAATTAACTCAATCAAATTGTTTCCAATCTAATTGTATTATTATTGTAAATCAAGAGTATTACAAATCTTAAATAAATCATGATTAACTTTATCATTATTTTGGTTTCTTTTTTTTTCTTGAACAATTAATAAATTGCTTAAAGTTTGATTGAGAAACATAATTATTTAGTTTAAACCCATTCGCCTAAAGGTTTGATTGGAAATTTAAATTTTCAATCAAACGAATGAAGCAAAAAGGAATCAATTGATTTAATCATTACCAATGTCATCATTGTGATTAAGACGATGATTAGTAAATGATTGAGTTGATCATGATTTAAGATGATGATGTTGATCATCCTAATGTTAATTGGTAATCAACAATCAGATTTAATTTCAAACAAATTATAATGTCTAAAAGTTAATTTCTTTGATTTAAAAAAGTTTCTCATGTCAATATTTTCATTACAATTCAATGACAATCAAGTTAATCAACATTGATAATTTAATCCCTTTAGGCTAATCATTAAGTTGATTAATCATCAACATCATCAAATTAATAACATCAATTTGATTTGCTTTTCAATTATTCATAATAGACTTAAATTTATTTATGTTAACCATTTGTATTGATTAAAACCATCAGCAAACAATTTGAAACCGTTAATTGTGATAATCAAAACCAAAGTGTATTAATAAATTGTCACACTGATTGAATGTTTAATTATTTTACCAATAATTTACCTGGAAAAGTGGTTACAATTTGATTGGGAAAAAAATGATTTAATCAAATTTGTTTTTCTCTTCATCCAAATCATGATAATATTTCAATATCATCATCATCATCATCATGCTAATGATGATATTCATTGTAATTCAGATTAATTGAAATTGAATTGATGTTATTAATAAATTATTGACTAATTGTAATTAAATAATGATAATATATATCAATTTGTGCCCTTTCCCTCCTCGATAATCAATATAATAAGTTAATGAACTTTTTTAATACAAAAAAAATCATTATTTTCATCACGTGTTGAGGAAAAGTAATTGATTCCTCAAATCATAATGATTATATATGCAAATGAGACTTGATGTTGTTCAGTTGGAACATTTTTGGACCCACAAAATTTCAGGGTAACATGAGATTCAGGTGAAAAATTTACAGGTAACAGGATTAATCTGATGAGCTAAATATTGTGACATTTATAATCTCATGTTTGGATTAGTGAAGAAAAATAAAATCTGATAAACATTTCAAATCTATGAAATTGGAAATTGTTGTTTCAAGATTTGAATCTCAAGAAAAACGGATAATTAAAAGTGTCTCATGGATTAGAATTGATTAATCTAATCCATTTTAAATTACTTTATGCCATCAGTAGATTTGTAAAAAACAAACTAAACCATCATGAAGATTCTGGGAAAGTTTCAATTTGGAATGAGAAAAAATCAGTAACCATGAATCATTAAGAAAAAAGCAGTTAATTCATCCAGCTAATGATCAATAATATCATCAATTAATTAATCTTATTATTAGTAACTAGATAATAAAATGATGCAATAAAATGAAGGATTGAGAGAGAGAGAGAGTGAAAGCCAACGGTGGTGTTGGTGGTGGTGGGTGGTGGGTTTAGAGGAAGAGGGTTAATGGTAGATAAAATGGAAAGTAATACGATCGTAATAATAAAACGAAAAACTATTTAAAAAAGTTCTAAATTCAAGAAATTATTCAAGTTGCGAAATTGGAAAGTGATGAAGTGAACACGAATTTAGAACTTTTTTTGTGAAAAGTTCACAAATTGGTCATAATTAAAGGTTTATATCAAATAATAGTGATAATAATAATCGATCGCAATTTAACCCAATTTAATAATAAATTTAAATTAATCTCTTCCTTTCTAATCATGGCTATCTAATCAGTTCGGATGTTATGGTCAACCAAAAGTGTTTGACCAACTGAGCGTGTGGATCATCATAAGTGTGAGTGTATCATCAATATCATGACAAAATGAACTCTCTCTCTCTCTCTTGGTGTTGAAATAAGCTAATAAAATGACCACTCCTGTAGATTCATTGTAACCAATAAACAAATTTTACCTGAAACTGTTTATTATCATGATGATGATGAGGATGATAATCATCATTGAGAGATGATGATTATTATTATTATTTCCCTTTCGTTTGTTTTGACCCCAGGGGTTGATAAGATTCATTTGATTATCTGAAAAACTGACCAATCCCCTTTTTTAAGTTTATTTCTGGCCCTTTTTGTATTCATCATCTTGACCATCATAATAATCATTTGTAACTGACCTTTCATTGTTTAGTTAATTGTTAATAATAATCAGACAAAAAAAAAGTTTACTGTCAATTATGATTTGTTAATCAGGGTAATTCAAATGTATGGGAATTTCATTCAAATATTAATCTCAATGATGTTGATCAAATTGTTTTGATTGTTTTGATTTTAATCAAGTTAATTGTTGTAAATCTTGTTCCTTATTTTTCAATTAATTTAATACAAATCTGATTATTTGAAGTGATTAACCATTTAGATTAACTGATCTACCGTTTTTCATGTTAATCAATTTTCAAGTTCATCTTAATCCAGTTTCGCATTTCTTTTAGATGATTAATAAATTGTTTCCTAAATGTAACATAAAAGTTAATCATTAACTTAAGGAATTCAGTTAATTAATGACAACCTTAATCCGATTCACTTTAAATTGATTATTTTATAAAACCAAATCAAAGGTGAAAAATTAACCTTTTTAATTGTCAATGATCACGAATTGAATTAGGTAACAATTTGTTGTAACAACTTTTCATAATCAATGATAAAGTTAATCAAATTAACCATCCAAAAGTCAATAATTAGACTTAATCAACTGATCATCCATTTAATCAAAGGCTTTGCCACAATTAACTTTGTTGACAATAATGTTGAAAAGCAATTAGATGACTAATATTAATCACGATTAAATCATAATCAGATAATGATACTGTTAACAATTAAAAAGCTTAATTTTGGTTGATTTCTTGAGTATTAATTATAGGCTTTTAATTGTTGTTTATAACTAAATTGGGAAAGTTGATCAAAAATATTAATTGCTCATCTCAATTGTGCTTAGGAAAGTTAATTGTTTAAAAATTAAATTGTTGGCTTCAGGTTGTAAATTGATATACAATTTTTTTTGCTCATTTAATTTAACTTTGAACTAATTACCTTAATTTTAGTTGATTTGATTGTTAATTGTTAACTGTGTTGGTTGATTGTTGTAATCAAATGTTCCAGGTCAAACTATCCATTAGTTTTTTTTTCTTAATTTTATAAATCATCTGATTATTATTATTGAATGAAAATAGTTGATAAATTGTTCCCCAAGGGGCTTAATCATTACAATTAAGAGAAAGTTCTAACTTGAAGATATACAACAAGTTCGAGGAATTGAAAAGTTTTGAAAGATTTTTTTTTTCTTTGAAAAGAGAGAAAATCAAAACTTTTCTGTTCTAATTTAGATACTAAATTGTAGTAATCAACGGATCCACCAATTTCTAATTGCCTAAAAATCTAAGTGATTAAGATAATCTAATCGTCCTAATCATCTCTTAATTGTTGATGGTAATGACATTAGAGATTGATTCAAATTCGTGACGAAACTTTTTCCCTCCTTTCTACCTGTTGTATCAACAATCAGAACTTTTTTTTTAATTGTTTGATCTTAATAACGATTGAATCACAATTGATTCGCAATCTATTTCTGGACTTTCTCTTAATTGTTTTCCTTTTTGTTAATATCAACAATTAGAAGGTGAAATTAACTCTTTCCTTTCTGTTAATTGTTGATTAAGAAAACAAAAATTATTTCAATTAAGTGTTAATTACATTTCTGTAAAAGGGAAACAATTAATTTCTCATAATATTGTAACTTATATTATTATCAATTGAAACAGTTTAATCATTGTTGTTGGTGTGATTAATGTATTAACCAGATAAACATGGTTAACTAATTGGTTAGTTAACCAACAATTAGTTTGATTAATTTCTTGTAGATTCGTGTTAAAATATCATTAACTTTACTTGAGTGTGTTAATTGTCATGTGTTAGATTTAAATGAATTTTGATTAATGTTAAATCATTACCAAAATTGATTGTTATTAAATTTGATTGTACACAAACACTTAATCCAGTTAAATCTCTGAAAATCTAATTTTAACTACAATTAAATTGATTACGTGGGATCAGTGAGTCAATTTTAATCCTGAACAATTTAATTTTCTTAAATTATTCCAAATCATGTTGATAATATCATTGATGCTGATCATCATCATCATAATCAACTAACCAAAAGCGTAGGATTAGCAACAATTATCCCTGATTATTAAAAAATAATCAATTTCAATCATCATCTCCATTGATTTCAATTTGATTAACCTTCAACTGTCAATTAATGAAGGGGAAAACTTTTAATCCTAATCACAATTAGAAACAAGACTTTTTCAAATGTTCAAATTGTAAACAGAATCAATCAAAATCAATCGTCAAATTAAAAACTCAATCACAATTAAACATTGATTAAGATTAAACATAATCTGTAATACTCACACAAACAAAGTAAAAAAAATGATCAAACTGTGTACTAACTATTAGTTAATTGTTACTCTAGACAATTAAGACATCCAACTAGTAATAACCAGATACATATAAATATAACTAATAATTACCAAAGGTGATGATTGATATAACATAATTAACCTGCTGTGAATTTAAATCAAACAAATGAAATGATGAGAAAAAAAAAGTTAATCATCATCATCTTAATCATGGATTATTATTAGTTACGATAATTGATCAACTTTGATTACTGTTATTTAAATATCGTTGCAACGTGCTGATCAATTGGCAACGCTTTCCAAGGTTCATTAAAAGCTCAGCGTGAATCGTTTATATCAACTGATTATTATCATGATTATGATTAGAGTATTGATACTTTTGGTGGATCACAATGATTAGCATCCTCATCACCATCTTCATCTTCATCTTCATGAGTATGAGACTGAAAGTTATTGGTGAAAAAAACGATCAACAAAAAAATAACTGAAACTTTTTTTTTGTTGATCGTTTTTCTCATTGATTTTTTTTTCTGATGTTGTTATGATCACTTTCACCTCCTCCTCCACCACCATTATCATCATCATCATCCTCATACCTGTTCAGGTATTCATCCTGACTGATTCATTTATCCTGTCAGCAGGTTGGCAAACGATTGACTTGCTTAATTTTTAATTGTTTCAGCTGATTAATTGAACAATCAATCAAAGTATTGAGAGGAAGAAGAAAAAGTTTTTTTTTCTGTAAAACCAATCAATGGATTCCTGTTAAGAAATTGTTACCCCATCAAAGTTTTAATTGTCATAACAATTGAAAGTAAATATACTAACTAATAATAATCAGCAATTAAGAATTAACAATCCTATTAATGGTTATATAAATTCCTATCAAATGGTTAATAGTTTATAAATAGTTAGACAAACAGTTAAGAAAAAAATAGTTTTTTCTTTCAATTAATCAGTTTATATCTCTTACTGTCTGATAATCTTAAATCCTTTGTCTTGTTTGTTATCCTAATCAAAACTTCCGATATTGAGAAGAGATTAACAGTTAATCCATATTATAATTATATTCTTACCTTTCTAAGCTAATTAAAATGTTTAATCGTTTTCTCTTTCTTATATCAGATTGGAAATGGTATTAGTTTAAATGTTGAGAAAAAGACGAAAAAAAAACCGAAGGGAAAAAACTGTTGAAATTTTCGGTTTTCCTTACATGTAAATGGTACCAAATGGATTAAGAAGATGAGATTCACTATTATCAAGTTAATCTCTTTGAGATTGAGGATGAGTAGGGTTTAGATTGTGTATATGTAGAGAGAGAGAGAGAGAGGTTAGGGATTAAGATTTAATGAGAAAAGAAAGACAGTAAAGAAAGAGAAGAAAGTTATGGCAGGGGAGGGAGAAGGTAAAAGATGATCAAGTTTTTTTTTCGATGCAATTTTAGCATCATCATCATTATCATCTCTCTCTCTCTCTCTCTCTCTCTTTCTTTCTTGCTCTCTTTCTACTTTCTCTTCTTTTATCATCTTCCCTTTTTGACCCACAAAAAATTGAGATAAAATAGTAATAAACATTTACCTGTATCTATATCAGAATGAACATTTTATTACATTAGAATCTGAATAAAGTTCAGTTCAATAGTTTCATCGTTACCATCATCATCTTCATCTTCATCTTCATCATCTCCATCATTTACATGATCTTCTTCATCATCTTTAGTTGAAAGTTGATCATTAAACTTAACTGTTCAAAAAATTGTTCGTAATCTTAATTCAATTTCATTTGATTGTGTTTACTTAATCAACGAAATAATAATAAAACTTTTTTTTTATCTTTGTGTTAGTTTTATCTTAGTCTCTTCTGATTATTATTACGATTAACTGACAATCAATTAATTGTTGTTACTTGATAATTGTCTAAAGTTAATCTGATTGTTAAATCCAGACACACACACAGAGAGTTTAATCAATTAGTTATAATCAGTTAATCACCTAAAAGGATAACCAAACCCTAAAAATCAAATGGATAACAAAATGTTGAAACTATTAATTGTAAGTTAATCCAATAGTAATTAACTTTTTTTCTTTCTCTCAATCAATTTAATTCAAACTAATCCAATTAACTTTAATGTCAACTAAATTAGTTGCTTCAAAGTGAGTACATAATTTACCTGAGAGAGACTATTGGTTAAACATTCAAGCTCCATATAAACTCAACTGATTAACAATAAATTACTTTTCACAATTGTAATGGATTAAATCAGTAACCTTGAACATTGTGAATTCAAATGTTCAAAGTACAATTAGACAATTGTACTTGTTAATTGTTACGATTTTTAAGATTTGATTGGGATAAAAAAGTTTCGAAAAGTTGAAGAAAAAAAGTTCTAACCCAAGTTTACCTATTCGTTACCAACAGGTTGGTTTAATTGTGATTATTTTACCAAGTTACACTTTAAGTGCGTCAACAATTAAGTCATCATCTTCATCTTCATCTTTATCCTCATCGTTATCATCAAATTTACGGTCAAATCCAATCAAAGATGCTCGAGATTTAACATGGATGCTCGTTCAGGAATACGCTCGATTCTTGTCGAGCCTCATTGAAACTGTTCAAAAACTTGAGAATACAATTAAAAAGAGAACCTATTCTTATGGATTGGAAGTTGTCGGTCGGCCGATTGACCAGTTATCGCCTGGGGAGATGTTATTATCTGCCGCTTTGATGCCGAGAAAGTTTTACTCCAAGGCGACAGATAATTTCGTGAGGAAAGTTTCAAATGTCCAAAAGACGATCAATGTTGGTTTGGACGCAGTGGACAAGGCAAGAAAAACGTCCAACGTTATTTATCAATTGTTACAAACTGTCCAACGATCTGGATAATACAATTGTATTGAAAACTTTTCGTAACTAAATTAATAATTTCATCAATCATCAATCATCAATCACTAATTAAAATTCAATTCCAAATGCCAACGAACTGTCCACCGTGTGATTTTCAATCGGAATCAATTTTCCTAATTTTCCTCGTTAATTTCAATTTCTTAATTGTTACCAATAATAATATTACATTTTATTTTCGTTTAAATTAAAATTTAATCAGTTAATTACTAAATTAAAGCCCTTTTTTTATATTCTATTTTCTTTGTAATTTCCAATTGTTCTGTTAATTGTATCAATCAACATTTTCCAATAAAATTTCAATTTTCAATTCAAATTGTTTCTTAACTAATTGTTGATCGATTACAACTTATCAATCAGTTGATCAAATGGTGATACTTTAAATCAATTGAAATTAATAATCGTAACTCTAATCATTTGAATTATTAATTATATTCCCGATAGAAAATAATAATAAGAAAATGTTAATTGTAACAATTAACTGAATAATCAAATATTAATATTTATAATTGTAATTGTAATCAACATTAATCGATCTTGAATTTGATAAATTTCATTTTTAAACTGCTATTTGATAGTTATGATGATTGAGTAACAATTTAACACTAATCAAATTGGTTAATTGTGTGAATTTAGTATCAAGTTGGTTAAATTAAGTTCAGTTTGTAACATTATTTTTCTGGGTTCGGTTTAAATTATTAAACTGAATTAAGAAAATTAAGACAAACCCATTGATCATTTAATATTGAATTGATTAAAAATCAACATAATAATCAATTGATTACGATATCAAAAAAAAAAATAAATATTAAAAGACTTTAATTGTTAATCGGCCATCATCTTAATCACAATTAAAATCCTCTTATTTAGTTTAAGCTGTGATTCGAGTCATTTAACTTTTAATCTGTTACATGATTTTTAGCTGGTTGAACAACAATCAATTAGATTACTACTATTAACCACTAATAGTTAACTAATTGTTGATTATGCTTCCGTTAATGATTTACAGGATTAATGATTAATTTAAATCACGAAAATTGCAATGATGATAGTTTCCCAAATGTCATTTGTTGTTGATTAACGTTGACGTTTTTTTTTATTGTTGGTGTAAAAAAAGCAACAATCATTAATCACCAACATCATCAACGGTAATGATTTTAATTGTGATTATCATTAAGAATTTAATTTAGATTTGTAAAGAGTAACAATTTAAGGTCAAAAACGAGAGAGATGGAAAATTCAGTTCCAATTGTGACAGAAGAATTGAAATCAACAGATTAACCTTGAAACCTCCATGAATCATGAATAATCATCTAGAACTTAAGTTCTGAAAAGAAAGTTCTGAAAAAACAAATTCGATGAAAATTGTGATTGAATAGCCAGTGGTCATCTTATCAGCTTAATTAACTATAAATGAGCTTAAAAATTGATCAGAAAATGTTTATAATTGAAATTCAACTAATCAAATTTTTTGAAATTGGAAAAACTTTTTGCTCTCTCTTCATCTCCATTTAAATTGTTACCAACAATTTAAACTAAATTAACCTTGAAGGCTAAATATTGTGTATATTTAGTTATTAACCAACCCTTGATTTTTGATTGTTGATTGTAAATAATAAACACCTTAATCATTATAATCATCGTGATTTAAATCAAACTAAAAGGATGATTATTATTACATAATTTTAACATTGATTACAATTTAAAAGTGTATCGATGTTGATGATTAACATTTACTGTTTAATTATTACAATTAACAACCAAACGGAAGCATTTTAAATATAAATAAATTCATTTAATTGTAACAATTAGGTTAATAATAATAATCTTTCTAATTGTAATTAAATGACACAAGTAAATCAAGGAAGAAATTTTTTCCACTAATATTTAATTTAATTGAAACTTGTTGATTAATACAATTTTAATTTAAACAAACAGGTTAATATCTTATTTGACCTTATATTTGATTTAGTTAATTGTCATTGGTCTCAAATAATCAATGAATAATTTAATTTGCAACTATCAATATATTTTATGTGACAATTTAAACCTTTAATTGTCACCGATGTCACGTACGTACAAGTTGTAAATCACTTATACTATTTCATTGAGAAAAAAGTTTGATAGTTTTTTTTTCAATTAACTTTAATTGTTGTTAATGATTTTCCAGTTAACTGTCAATGAACTTGATTAAAAGGGATACAAGTTATTACAATTAGCTGAGGATATGATTGTTGAAACAATTAACTTCACTAATCCTCTAATGATGTTATTATTATGAGGTAAAAATGATGATTATGAAGGGTAAAATTTGACTCTCTCATGATTAACTTCAATTAATCAAAATTGTCAAGAGAATTTAAATTGGAACCAATAGGATTGCAATTTAAACAAAGTCCCCAAAGATTTTCCCTCTTTCTTTTCTTTGTTCTCTTTCTTCATTTTCTATTTTCATTTTTTGTTCTTTTCTAAAATGTAATTTTTAGATTAGTTTGGCTTAAATTAGACATATTTTCTTAATTATGTCCCAAGTGAATTAATTTTGTTTTCTAAATGTAACCAGTAATGTGTTGTTACAATTACATTCTTTAAGATGTTTTTCCGTTCTAATTCACATAAATAGTGAACCCAAAAATGTAACAATTAGAGTTAGTTTCATCTTCAACTTGTTCAAATATAAAAGTGTCTCAGTTTTTCTTGTTCCCTGAAATTCTGTCTTGTTAATTACTCTAGTAATTCATTGTGATTAGTGTTGTGAGTCTGATTTAGCCTTAGTGACATAATCAACAAACGACTATCCAAGATACGAATCGAAATCAGGTAAAATTGTGAAAGGACCTGAGTGCATCTTCTACATTTAATTGATTCTTTCATTTAAATAAATTCAAATTAAACACTTTCAATTAAGTTAATCAAAATCAATTGATTTAATTTGCCCTCAGCTTTTTGTTGATAAAATGATTTGTCTTTTAATTTTTTTCACTCGAAAATTAAATATCATTATTAAAGGGCTAATTAGTGGGATAGAGTTAATTGTAATTAGTTAATGATAATTAGTATTGAGTTGATGGTATCAAGAGTTAATTGAACAGGTAATGATTGAAAATCTTGGCAATTTAATTGTCACAATTAACTTTTTCACCAATCATTTTGATTGGAAGGGTTAATTGTAACCCTTTTTTAGTTGGAAACGATTTAAATTGTTACCCAAATGGCTGATAATCAAATTTAATTCACTTGTTAATCATTTTCAGGTTTTCCTTAATTAGATTTGGGTGAAAATCTTTAGACTATTAGTTAATTGTTTTCTAATTTTTACCGATTAATATTCTTACAGTCCAATGATATTGATATCGATTGTTTTAATTGTTGCAGTTGATTAGTTGGTAAATTAAATGTTAATGATTAGTAAATTGTTTGTTTTCACAATTTCATCTCAACTTTAATTGTTTTTAATTGTAAACATTACAATTTAATGTGTGTGTGTGAGTTTGATCATTAGTTGATAAAGATTATGTTTAATTAGATATTTTCGTGCGTAGAAATTAAAAAATAATTTAAATTGTTACTTCTTTGATTGTTCAACTCGTAATGATTTAAAGTGTGAAAAGTTATTTCAATCATGTTTAACTAATTGTTACTAAATCAAGGTTGCCATGTTTCTCGATTAAATTAACTTACAAATCAATTTGATTACAGTTAATTTTGTTTTCCCAACAAAGGTAACAAAATTAATTTTATTTTTCGGACAATCAGTTAATCATTTGAAACTTTTTCTTTCCTTAGTGTTAATTGTTACACTTAATCAATAATGATAAAGTTGTTCAAAGTTTGTCCTGATAATCAGGATTATCATTTGAAAATTTAAATTGTGATTAATTGCTAACATGTTGATTGTTTGACTGTGAGTTAAACATGATTAACTGCCCGTTAACCATAATCATGATCACTCATCATTCATGATTAGATTAATTAAATTTAAGATAGCATACTGATTCTTTGGACATCAAGTAAATTAACAGCAATCAGTGATTTACTTGATTAAATATTAGCAGAAAGTTAATCAACCTAAATTATCTTGTTAATCTTAATCAATCGTGTATGAGACAACTCACTTAAAAGAAAAACTTTGATTACAATTTAATTTTCAACAATTAAAATCAACATCCTGGTTAATGATAAATTCAATCCATTGGATTTACTATCTTGATGATGATTGTTATCAAAGTGATAGATTATCATGAATTCCTGGTAATATATTGAAGGGAAAAAAGTTTAAAATTGATTATTAATTGAATTGTGAAAAGTTGATTGGCTGATTGTTGATTTAATTATTATCAGATGAAAAGAGTTCTTGATCCTTTAACATATTATGAAAACCCGCATTGGTCAACAATTTAATCATCACTATGATGAAGATGATGCTCAGAATTCATTCATGATTCATGATCATGATAATTTGCTGCTTTTGTTTGATCATTTTAAACACTACAAACAAACAGAGCAATTTAATATTATATTAATACAAACACTCATTGGAATCTCGGTCAAATTTAAAAAGCTTCCAAGAAATTGTAAGTCAGCTATTTAACTAACAGTAACAATCAGTAAATTGTGTGTGAATTGATGAAGGAAAACAAAATAGAGACTGGCAATAGTTTCGCATCTTTTTACATGATCATCATCTTCATCATCTTCATCATCATAGTTTTACCTTCGTCAGGCCTTTGGGCAAGTCTCTACAAATTGACCTGAGGGCATAAACCTGTCCAGTGAATCTTTTACTGTAAATCTGATGAGTGGTAAGATAAACAGGGTAAGAACACCCTTCTTAATCATTAATAGTTGAGATTGAGGCCTATTCAGGGTTAAATCGTATAAAAACAAATCTAATGATGATTAACTAAAACATGTTCAGTCTAACACATTAGATTATGAGAAGAGTATTAAAAACAGTTTTATGAAAATTCTGTTCATTTTGATTATCCAATTTTGTCTGTTGAAACCACAATCGTGTTAATCAGTTAACGAACAGGATAATGAGAATTATTATTTCCTTTTCAATAATACTTATCCTTTGTATCTTTTTCCATCTCCTTCTAGTCTTTATAATGGATTAGGATAATTTACATTAATCTAGATATAAAAGATGAAAAAACAATAGATTATATTGATGAGAGTTTAGATCCTCTCAATTGATTATAATTATTATAATAATTTACTTTTCATTTTTGTTTCTTTCAAAGTTCAGTAATCAGGACTAACCCTTGAACTGATTTGATAAACTTTTTTGTCCGTTCTGATGATTGGCAGTTATAGAATCAGATAAAATATTATATTCAGGTTGAAATGATGATGAAGATTAAGAGATAGTGATGATGATGATGATGATTGGATCCTCTCTTTTGTTATTGATAATATTCATCTTATTTACATTTAAATGTAACGGTAAAATTATCCAAAACTCATCTTCAAGGTTAACAGGAGAGGAATTGGAAAAAGAAACATCAATTGTTTTGATTGCTTATTACAGTTAATCATAATTGGTACTGATATTATCCAACCATAGTCTTGATTAAACGTTAATTTCAACTCTTTCAGGTATATAATTTGAGGATTTGAGTTAATCAACAACCTCACAAGTTGATTGCTTCTGGGTTGCCTTGAAGATGATAATCATTTCAAGATGGATAGACCAATTAATCAGAAATTTATCTCAATTGAAAATTTTCATCTCTCATTTGATCAAGTGACTTGAAAGTCATGACAAACTATCCATAAAGTAAATTAATTCAATTGATTGATTTATGTCCAATTAAATCTACAATAAAGAAAGAGAGAGAGGGTAAAGAGTTAATTAACTTTTAGTAAAATAATAATAGTAATTAAGATCCACAAGGAGACGAAGAGGGAGAGAAGTTGAATTGAATACCAGGAAGGAGTTAATCTGATTGAGTTTAAAGGTTAGAAATGGGAAAAGGGAAGTGTTTATGAGTAGTGATTAATAGATGGATATGAATGGCACTTTGATGGTAGATAAGTGATTAGTGAGAATAGTGATTAAAATAACTAATCACTAATCTTTACTTCTGATATTATGATACAATATTAATGTACACAAATGAAACTGGTTTAAACCTAATTGTTATCATTAGGGGGAGAAAATAAGAATTCATCTCTCTCTCTCTCTCTCTCAATCAATCACTATCATATATTTCACTTCTTTATGAATTTCAATTCTCTGCAAAGTGATAATGATTTAAGAGATATGGACAAAAGCGAAACAGAAATAATAATAATTCTGATTTTCCAAAAAGTAATCAATTTCAAAGGGTTATTATAGAACTTTTCTTTTCGAAATCTATGGAGATATTTGTTGAAAAGGTTATCTGAATATTATCATGAGAAAATAGTTTTACTGATGAAAGACAATCTCATCACTTACTCATTAATAAAAAATCTCATAAAACTTTGTACTACGATACGGATCCCTTTCTTTTCTACATAATGACCGAAACCGATGATCGTGGTTGTCACATAGTAGGATATTTCTCAAAGGAAAAGGTTTCATCCGAGGATTATAATGTTGCGTGTATTTTGACGTTACCACCTTATCAAAGGAAAGGTTATGGTAAAATAATGATCGAATTTAGTTACGAGTTGTCCCGATTCGAAGGTAAAACTGGAAGCCCTGAAAAACCGCTCAGTGATCTTGGTTTACTTTCATACCGAAGTTATTGGGCTGAAACAATATTGGAATTAATTATTAGCCTGAAAACACCGGAAGGAGCAGTTCGACCTCAAATTAGCATAAATGAAATCTCCGAGATGACAAGTATTAAAAAGGAAGATGTGATATCAACCCTTCAATTTCTTAATATGATTAACTATTATAAAGGAGAGTATATAATTACATTGAGTAAAGAAGTCATTGCCAGTTTTGAGCGAATTTCTATTTAACAAAAAATCTTGGACTTTTTGAATTCTACTGTATGGATTTCTCTGTTGAAATAACTTATAATCTCTCTCTCTCTCTCTCTCTCTCTCTCTTGTCCAATCCATGTCCCTTGAATCATCAGAGAGTAACCTAACCCCTTCCTCTCTGTCTATTTCTCTCCTTCATCGATGAAGATGATATTCTCTATCTCTAACCCTTTCCATTTCTCTCTCTATCTCTTCATCTCTCTTTCTCTAAAATGAAAAGTCTAAATACTCTATACACAAGGAAAAGAGTAAGAGGCTTTTAGGTTTAAGGGGAGAAATAGAAATTGTTTTGATTTCTATTTTTATGTTGAAGAAGTGGCAAAGAGATAAACTAGATTAAGATGGAAGGTGGAAGAGATGAGACACACACTAAGACACCAGACAAAACCAGTAGAGAGATTGATCAATTATTGGCAATATTATCCAAAAATGGATTTACCTCCAATGATGAGATAATTGTTGATACAGAAGCAAAAAAAAAACGATGATAAGATTGGTACACACACCAAGATGAGAAGGCACAACATTTAACTTTTTATCAATCCAAAGTCAAGTGGATTAACTGATTAAGATACATAAGAAGAAAAAGATAAACAAGTTAAAATATTATTAGTATTAATAGATAAGAAGAAGAAAAAAAGGAAAAGAAAAGAAAAGAAAAGAAAAAAAAACAATTAGTGTAGAGAAGAAGAGAAAAAAATATTACATTGTTTTCATATAAACTCACGTTTAGTTCTCATGGTGAAGAGAAATTAAGAAAAGAGAGAAAGAGAATAGAAAACCAGAGAAAGAAAAGATAAAAGTCAAACTATTAAGATAAAGATGAAGAGACAACATAATCCATGGTGATGGAGGAGTGGATGGTGAATTAAGTGAGAGAGAAATCAGATTAATTTGCTTTCAATTTCAATCTTAATTGTTAATCGGGAATTAGTGAGAGAGGGAGTGGATCACATTGTTTGGATAAAGCGACCAACCCCCTTGGAAATAAACACAAACGAATATTGGAAACTGCGCATGCGCACTTACGATGTTATGATTTTTCTCGATCATTTATAAGGCCTAATGTCTAATTAGTTATTTATTATAATTGTTCATCTAATTACTCTTAGGTTTCTAATTGTAAATTTAATTGATTGTTACACTTTTCGTTTTGGTGAATTGTGCTTCATGGTCAATTCAATTTGCGTAAGTATTTGCTATTCTCATCAATTCTTAAATATGATTGGCTTTTTCTTTTTCTCTCTCTCTCTCTCTCTCTTCATATGATAAATTTATCATTGAATTTTGTTTTTCTCTTTATCTTTTCTCTACAGGTTTTCCATCATTTTGGTTAACTCTTTTTGTCCTTTGTTAACTGTCAATTTAAATAATTTACAATTAATTAGCTGATTATTTATATACTATAACCATGACCACCACTAAACGTTTACAAAATGATTCTAGTAAGACAATTTTGTCAACTAGTTCTGCTGCTACAACAGCTTCACCTTCATTGGTTTACAGACGCTTATCCAAAGGTAATAATAATTCAACCAGTCAACTTGATTATAATCCAATGGACAGGCTACCAAGAAATCCGACAGTATTGCCACTTATTCTTGTGATATCAATCTATTTAATTGTAACTTTTATTACCGTTGGTTTTGGCCCGTTTGCTTTACCATCTCTTACTTCATCTTCATCAGTTGTTTCACCTTCATCACCTTCATCTCCGGAATCATCATTGATTGAGAAAAGAATCGACCCAAAGAATATCGTCTCTTCTAGTCGATCAAGTCGACTTATTGAAGCTTCAACCAGTTATAAGACTCATTCAATTGTCTTTGATGCAGGGAGTACCGGAACTCGAATTCATGTGTTCACTTTTAGGATAACAAATCTACGAAATGGTGGTAAAAAGGTTAAATTGTTGAATGAAGATTTCAAACAAGTAAAACCAGGCCTTTCAGCCTATGCTGATGAACCAAAAGAGGCTGCCAATAGTCTCATTCCATTACTTGAAATTGCCTTTAAACGTATACCAATTAGTAAAAGATCATCAACTCCATTGACAGTTAAAGCAACGGCTGGTCTTCGTTTATTACCTGGTGATCAGGCTGATGCAATTCTTGATGAGGTTGACACATTCCTCCGTAATTTGGATCATCCATTTAAGATGGAATCTGATTCCTCGGTAACTGTCATGGATGGAGAAGATGAAGGTGTCTTTGGTTGGTTTACTATTAATTTCTTATTGAATCTCTTAAATAATGATCTCAACTCTGTGGCCCATCTCGATCTTGGCGGTGGATCAACTCAAGTCACCTTTCCACCCATAAGAGAGAAAACTGTTAATGAATCACCTGAAGGATTTATAGTTGAACGTAATCTAATTGGAACAAAGAAACAACTTTACACTCATTCTTACCTTGGCTTTGGTTTAATGTCTTCACGAAAGGGTATTCTTCAAAGATCTTTGACCAATGGTACTTATGGTGGAATGAGTAAGAATAATATTATCCATGTTAATCATCCATGTTTCCTGGAAAATACAAAGACAAGTTGGGTTTTTGAAGGTCGAACTTATCTTATTGAAGGAGTCGAAGGTGATTGTTTCAAAATTGCTCGAGACTATGTCACTAATCAAGGTGGTTCATCTATATTTAATCATCCACGAGAATTAGTTAATCGAGAAATTTACGCCATCTCTTACTATTATGACCGAGCTTCAGACGTTGGACTAGTTAATGCAACCCAAAATGGTGGAGGCCTCAGGGTAAAAGATTATTATCTTGCCGCTAAAATGTTTTGTGGTTCACAATTTGACAAATCTGATCCAAACACCAACAGACAAATTGTAGCTGGACAACCTGATGTTCAATTCAATTCAAATTTCATGATGTTCAATGATGCACCAGTTCAGGGAATCAATGGAATCTTTGCTGAAAATCCTTTCATCTGTTTGGATCTTGCGTATATCACTAATCTTCTTAACGCTGGTTACGATTTAGATTGGCAAAAGGAGATTAACGTTGTTAAAAAAGTTAAAGGGGTTGAATCAAGTTGGGCTCTAGGAGCTGCTGTTAGTTTGATTAGATAATTACTATTTATTGATTAGCTTAAAAGAGAAAATCTTAATCCCTACCAAAGGAAATTAAGTTCTTACATCTTATAAATAATTATTTGTAAATTTACATTCTGATTTCCTAATTCCCCTTTCATCTCTTTCGTCGAAATTAATTAATAACTGTAAATAAGTTCTTATCATCAAATGCTCATCACCAACGCTTCCTCATTGTTAATAGAGATCATCAACCAAAAAAAACAACAATTAACCACCAGAACACCAAAAAAAACCGAATCAAAAGGATTGAAATTCAACACATTCAGTTAGACTTGTTTAGATAATTATTTGTTAATTGTTTCCAATTTGTGATGTATTATTGAAAAATCTTGCCTTTTATGTTGCAATTGTTATTGTGATGATTGAAAACAATTGTAACAATTTTACTCTTTCTCAGTAATAATTGTCATAAATTGTCAATTCTGAAATGGTTTTCAGAGCAATCGCCAAAAAAATTAACTACAAAAGTCATAATCAAACCAAAAAAACTAATAAACAATTAAATGACTAAAAATAAATACGAAACATCAAAATTAATTTGATTGTTTAACCAAATCACAATTTAAATCTATCATATTTATTTCAAAACGATCTACCAATCATTAGCCTTGAATTGTAAAATTATCTCAACTAATTAAGCAAAAGAAAAACTTATTCAATCAAAAATGGAAACAATTAACTGATCCATTAAAAGTATGATATCAATATGATATCCACAATCAACTAATCATCAACAGTTTAATTAAAAGCATAACTGAATCAATCAAACATTGTGAAAGGTTTTACTATTAATAAGCAATTATTTTTGAAACAATTAGTTAATAATTAGATTACACAATTAGGCCAAGGTGTAATAAAATTGAATTAATTGACTGATAAATTAATAACTGATCATTGATTATGATCAAGTCAATCTTTTAATTAACCAAACCTTTTACTTAATTGTTGACATTGTTATTGATAATAATTACTATTAATACTGATAAAATTAATTGTAAACAAAGTAAGTTGATTAAGTATATTACCAAGTATCAATATTAATTAACTGAGAGGTAAAAATGAATCATTTAACTGTCAGCAATCAATAAATTGGAGTAATTTTCAATCAATAATATTTCCGGATAAATTGATTGTAAGAAATTAATTGTCAACAGTTTTACCTTGACATTGAAATAATTTTCTTAACCAAATTACTGAATGAAATATGAAGATAATTAAGTCTAACAATCAATTAAATTTTCCCAAAGATGGGAACTAATCAATATCATTTCCGTTGGTAGTAAAAAATTTTGCAACAATTAACTTCACAATCAATTTAGAGTTTGAAATATTTACAATCAAAAGTTTCTCTCGATCAACAACACAAGCAAATTGGAATCAAATTAACCGTTGATTATGTGCCCAGTGGGTTAATTGTTCATCTAAGTGATTATAGTTTTTTCAATTGTATGAATTAAGAAAAAAAAATGTCATCTTCATTTGAACAGAATGAATTTAAATCAGTTAAACCACAATCTAATTGGTCTCGATTACGACAATTTACTTTCATTAAACGTAATCCAATGAGATATTCAGCCAAAAGGACCATCGGTAAAGTTAATTGTGGAAATAATTTACAAGAGAAATTAAAGTTTACCTCTAATTACTTACGATATGCAAAGTTAATCAGTTACTCTGGTGGGTTCATTCAAGCTCTTTATGTTACTTGGATATTTCTTCAATTTGAAACAACGACCAATGTTTATATTAGAAATCCCGATGAAACTGAACTTCCCTCATTGTCTCTGTGCTTTTTTACCAAATATCCGTTTGAATTCACGAAAAACGGTAAAAACGGCGAAAACTGACCAATGTGACCGTCGGTGAAATAAGTGACCAGCTACCTGATTATCACACCTTCGTTTCAAGTTGTCAAGTTCTCGATTCATCTTACCAGTACCAAGAATGTTTATCACAATATCGAAAGCCAATTGTCCAGTACCTTAGCTTATATACTAAATGTTATACTCTCTTTGAGAATATGGATGAACCGATTATGTATGAGAAGAAAAAAATTGGTTCGAAGTGGATGGTTCATGTTGTTCTAAATGTCACTCAAATCGCTTCTAAAAGAGTTGGAATCTTTTTGACCCACACCTCAGAAGATCTTGATGAATCTCTTGGAAATCCCGCTTTTCTTCAATTCGATACTCGTGATAATAATCTAGCAACGGTCACTTTTGAAAGAACCGTTATTCATAAGCTTCCACCTCCTTTCGATTCCAATTGTCGAGATTATACAAAAGAATCGTGTAGAAATCGAGTGACCTGCATTCGACAATGTATCATGTCAACTTCATTTACCAATTCAAGTGCTTGGATCAACCGACGATATGTTCGAGCTGATGAGACTTATCGAGAAGGTCGATTTGGACTTTCAGACGAGTCCAATTATACGGACTATTGTTATCGAAAGTTCGATGATGAACCTTGTATCGATTATCTTTACAACGCCATAATGGCCTCACAGTTTTATTCCCCTTTTAGAGACAATGACACTTTCCTTATTAATGTGGCCTATCCTTTGGGCACCGAAACGGAGGTTGTTTATGTTGAAGTTCAAAAGCGAATCGATTATCTTTGTTTTGTAACGAGTGTCATCAGTCTTTGGACTGAAGCCTCGATGATCAGAATATCGGAAAATGTTCTCGCAATTATAACCCGAGTTATGTTGAAAATGGTAGAATCCAGGAGACCATATCAATTAGCGAGAATTAATTAGCTTAGTAATTACTTTGGAATAAAAAATCTTTATATTTTTCTTTTCAATTGTAATTTTCGGTTCATTTGATACAAATAATTGTCTTCGATTAAATTTTACTATTTTGTTGTGAAGAAAAAGTTCTTGAGGTGATTAGCAAGTTTAGAAATGTGCTGATAGTAGATTCTCATTGGGCTGATCGATCAACCACTCGAAAAGATGAATTCTTATCTCTCTAGTCCTTTAAGGTCACTCGATTCCGAAAGGAAAAAAACACTCAACGATCTCAAGTCCAATGACCACTTATAGATAGAAAACCCTTGTGATTTGACTTGATAAAAGTTTTTAACCTTATCAATTGTCACCCAAAAGAATCGGTCATCGATTAATGATCTTTTTTCGTTGGGATTTCGTCCGAACGATCGAAAAATAAAAGGTATCGTTGCTGTCACCAGGATTCGAACCTGGGTTGTCGCGGCCACAACGCGAAGTACTAACCACTATACTATGACAGCTCATGAATTTAGTGGATTGGCTTTAAACTTTTATATAATCAAAGTCCGTTCACATCACATCAACCATCATCTACATCATATAATCAACCAACTACAACCTTTAATTATCGTTAAGAAAAAATCAGAATCAAGTCCTCTTTTTCATCTTGATCATCATCCTTATCATCTTGATTCAATCAATTCACGTTTATCAACCCTTTTCATTGTTATCATGAAACTATCAAAGTTTTTTTTTCACTTTTGTTGTTGAAAGTTGATCCCAATTGATAATCCAACGCAAATGGATTAATGAAATATTGGACGATTGGAACTGCAAATTCTGACTGAAATTACATGTACATCTTAAGCTATCGCAGTGAAGTGGTTGGTACTTCGCGTGGTAATAATAATAATAATAAATTAGAATTCGAGATTCTGAAATCAATCAATTAAATGCCGATAAAATTGTCATGATTTTTTGGTAAGAAAAAAGTATTTCTCATTTGGAGATTTAATTTCTTTAATCAGGAAACACTGTAAGGAATAAATTGCCAACAGTTTTTATAAACGTTGACATTGAAAACCTTTCTTACCAAATTGATGAATGAAAAATGAAGATAATTAAATCTAACAATCAGTTAAAGTTTCCCAAAGATGGGAACTAATCAATAAAATCTCCAACTGGTAGTAAAAATTTCGTAACAATCAATTTAGAGTTTAAAATACTAATAATTACAATCAAATTGTTTTCATAATCTTTAACGTCGACAAATTTGCCTCAAAGTTTTGTTTATGTACCCAGTGGGTTAATTGTTTATCTGCGGTAAAGTGGCCTTTTACTATTTACGATTTGTAAAGTTAATCAGTTACTCTGGTGGGTTCATTCAAGCTCTTTATGTTACTTGGATATTTCTTCAATTTGAAACAACGACCAATGTTTATATTAGAAATCCCGATGAAACTGAACTTCCCTCATTGTCTCTGTGCTTTTTTACCAAATATCCGTTTGAATTCACGAAAAACGGTAAAAACGGCGAGAAACTGACCAATGTGACCGTCGGTGAAATAAGTGACCAGCTACCTGATTATCACACCTTCGTTTCAAGTTGTCAAGTTCTCGATTCATCTTACCAGTAAGTTAGTTCAACTAAGACTAGTTCGATTCCAAATGTCGCGATTATACAAAAGAGCTCGGTAGAAATCGAGTGACCTGCATTCGGAAATGTACCATTCAACTCATGCAAATGTTTGGGTTAATTTTGACGGATCGATGTACCAGAGAATGAGACTTATCTAGAAGGTCGATTTAGCCTTTTAGATTAATTCAGTTATTCTGTCACCGAGGATTTAATGATGAACTTTGTATCGATTATCTTTGTTTCGTAACGAGATTCCTCAGTATTTGGGACGAAGCCCGAATATCGAAAATTATTCTCGCGTTATGACCCGAAGTTCAGTAGTTTGTGTAATGAAAATGGATCTTAATTTTAGAATCCAGGAGACCATATTAATTAGCGAGAATTAATTAGCTTAGTAATTACTTTGGAATAAAAAATCTATATATTTTTCTTTTCAGTTCATTTGATATAAATAATTTTCTTCAATTAAATTTTACTATCTTGTTGTGATATTGATTGATTGATTTAGATTTAAATTTTTTCTGATAATTGTTTTAAGATTATGATAAAATCTATTGAAGAAGAAAAGTAAAGTTGAAAATGTGAGTGTTTTGTTGCTTTGTACATGGTGTGTTTTCTTTTCTTTTTTTCTTCAATTATCATCACACAGAAACATGATTTCGATTGTTCATATGGTATGATTAAGAGATAGATAGAGAGGGAAAGAGAGAAAAAAATTACAGAGAAAAAAAGAAAGAAAGAGAGATAGAGAGAAATGGAAAGGGATAGAGATAGAGAATATCATCTTCATCGATGAAGAAGAGAAATAGAGAGGAAGGGAAAAGAAGAAAATTCTAAGACTCTCTGATGATTAAAGGGACATGGATTGGGAGAAAAGAGAGAGAGAGAGAGAGAGAGAGAGATTATAAGTTATTAATATTTCAACAGAGAAATCCATAGGATAGAATTTAAAAAGTCCAAGATTTTGTTTCTTCTTTTCGGCAGCGAGAGAGTTACATTCATATGGAGTTGACGAAGTTGCTCTTGTCGCTTGATCACCTCCTCGAACCTGAATCCATATTAATTTAAGTGTCCAAATTAATTTGACCATTTAACCAGCGTTAAAATTATATACACAAAAAAAATCACCATTTTCCTCTTTTCGTCCAATCTCTAGGTGTCCAATTTAGACCTTGAGGATCAATTCTCAAACGGCGTTTCATAGAAATTCGCTCAAAACTGGCAATGACTTCTTTACTCAATGTAATTATATATTCTCCTTTATAATAGTTAATCATATTAAGAAATTGAAGGGTTGATATCACATCTTCCTTTTTAATACTTGTCATCTCGGAGATTTCATTTATGCTAATTTGAGGTCGAACTGCTCCTTCCGGTGTTTTCAGGCTAATAATTAATTCCAATATTGTTTCAGCCCAATAACTTCGGTATGAAAGTAAACCAAGATCACTGAGCGGTTTTTCAGGGCTTCCAGTTTTACCTTCGAATCGGGACAACTCGTAACTAAATTCGATCATTATTTTACCATAACCTTTCCTTTGATAAGGTGGTAACGTCAAAATACACGCAACATTATAATCCTCGGATGAAACCTTTTCCTTTGAGAAATATCCTACTATGTGACAACCACGATCATCGGTTTCGGTCATTATGTAGAAAAGAAAGGGATCCGTATCGTAGTACAAAGTTTTATGATCTAAAAAACATTTGGCAAGTAGACACAAATTTTGAGCGTATATCCTATTACTTCTTCCATCAATCTCAAAGAATGAAATTGTTCCTTTACGGTAGATCTCATTTCCGGGAGGATGACGAAGTTTACACTTAGTAAAATGCCTAATCAAGCAGGTTCTTGATTTTACATATTTTAAACAATATTCACACAAATAAATACATGGTAATGATGTTAAACGTTGAGGATAAGGTGAAAAGTACCAAGGTTTAATTCGATGTTGACCAATCTCAATCAAATCAATATTACGAATTCGAGTGAGAATGTCATCAGGATTATGAGATGATAGGGATCCATTTGTTCGTGGGGCAACAACTGCACCACTTCCACCAGCCCAAAGATTAGGTGAATGGTCTTGAGAATTTTCTGGTTGTGAGGTGAAAGATGGAAGTTTACGTTTTCGACCACGTCCTTTCTTGGGTCCGAGAACATACTTATTTACAGGACTAATTGGTGGACAAACTATACTATTACTATTACTATTATTATTGTTACTAGAATTATTGTTACTATTGATGGTAGAATTGGAATTTGAATTGTTGTTACTGTTGATATTTATGTTAATGCTGATGTTGGTATTGTTGTTTATGTTGTTGATGTTGTTACTGTTGTTATTATTATTATTAGTTATTCGTTGAATTTCCTCTACTTCTACGGAAGGTATTCTATTCTCTGGTGATATTGGCATCTCTTGTAATTTTAAAGCAGCTTCTTCCCTTGTTGGTAAATGAATTTTCTCCAAATTCATACGATCTTTGGTTACCCATTCATCTAGACGCTTATTAAAATCAATAAAATGCACATAATAAAGATTTTCACCAATTTCACCAGATTTAATACTAATCACTTCACCCATGTGCCATTCATTGGTGAATTTCATCCTAACAGGGACTAAACAACCCTCTGTAACATCAATCATTTTCTCAGGTAATTTAAGATTTGAACCAGGTTTCATAATGAGATGGAACAGCCAATAGAGGGGAAAAAGATTATGTACAACTTTCTGTTTCGAAGAAAGAAAAGAAAAGTAGAATAAAAAAAAAGAATAAAAAAAAGTTCGACAAAAAGAATACAATCAAAAAAAAAAATTCGAAATTCGAATCCAAGACAAAAGAGAGAATATAAAAAGACAAGAAGTAAAAAGATTAGAAACAAATAGTAAAATCATATGGTTCTCATGTTTGCTTATAACCAATATAATGTAAAAAAGATGATGAGATGAGATGAGATGAGAGAGAAAAAAAGAGGCAAAAGTAAGAAGAAAAAAAGAGAGGGAGAGTAAAGGGAGAGAGTAAAAAAGACTGAGAGAGAAGAAGATAGAAAATCATCTGACTAAAAATTGAGACCAGAGAGACAATTAATTAATCACTAATACTCACCAGTATAAGAACTGATTAAGTTGATGACGCGGTCATTTGAACAATACCATGTATAGATCATTTATCTGTACACAGAATTGGTAATTAAACGATTAAAATTAATTTAATTGTCCAACAATTAAGAATCAGGGGGTTACAATTGGATGGAAAAGAGAGAGAGAGATATAGTTAAGCTTAAGCTCCACCAGAGAGAAAGAAAAAACATTCTGGCTTCACATTATTCGAAATTCGATGTGCAGCGCCATCTCTTGTTCGATTCCAGAAACTCGGACTGGATCCGAATTTCGAATCGATAGAAATTCGGTAGCTGTAATCGTAAGCCGAAAAAATGTCAGCTGAAAGTAGAAAAGTTGAGCTTACGGACATACATGTATCTTGAGCCTTACCGAAAATACCGAAAAACCAAAATGTATCCAGCGAACGAGGCAATTAAATGAATCCACAATATCCATAGATGAATCCACAAGGAATCAACGCCAACTGATACACTAATATCTTGCCATCCATGAAAAGATTAATCAATTGCTTTATATCTATATATGTTGTTTAAATAATATTCAATCAAATGATATTTTATTTTCCTTTTGTAATCATTACTCTGTTTGTGATCAATTCAATCAATTAATTGTACCACAACAATTTTCCTCGAGTTAAAATTACGCGCAAGTCTAACACGTTGTAGAAATGAATAGCTAGATGGCATTGGAGAAATTGGATTGACAGCAAAACAAATGGATTGAACCTTTAATAGGAATATTGTTTTCTTTCAATATTTAACAACAATTAATATTGATAGTGAAGAAAATGGAGAAATTTATTTGTGTGATCAATGAAAACATGGAACGAAGCATATTCCTAGCCAGCTCATTTAACCTGCATAAGGAAAATTATGCAATTGGAGATAAAATGTACCACAGAAATGGATCTTTCTTTTTTTTTCTTAGTTCAGGTAAGTCATGTTATTGTTTTTCTCTTTTCATTCGGTTTGTTATTTTCTTTTTGTTTGCATTTCTTATTCTCATTTGTGTTTGTATTTTGTTTTTCTTTTTTATTTCCAGCGATTGAAGCTAAATCACTTGAGCCTTTTCTTGAAGATTCTTACAAAATTGATGCGGTTGTACTCGAGACTCTTAAAAGGGAGAAGGAGGAAAGAGAACGACAAAGGCATAAAGAGGAACAAGAGAAGAATAGAAAAGAACAGGAAGAAGATGATTCGAATAGAAAACACCCAGAAGAATATTTTATACAAGAAGATCAAAGGTATTTTTCTCATCTCTCAGTGTTTCAATTGTCCACAATGTTGCGTATTTGTGTTTCCATGTATTTCATATCTATCCAATTCTACGTTGACTCAGATTAATCTTGAATTTCTAGTGATTTTACAACAATCAAACTGAGTCGATTCGATCGATTAACTAACCAAGTTATCCATCATCATGAGAAGATATTTATACTTATCCTCATCCATTTTTTTTTGCTCATCTTTAGACTGACGATTATTATATATTCAATTTAGTTATATCAGTCAATCTTTTCTTTTTATCCTTTCGCAATCTAATCTCATTGATATCCTATTCGTTTGATTGTAGTTTCCATTGTAAATCATATCTCTTGGTGATCATTTCTCTTAAATTGTGATTCTTTTTCATTTACTATTATCTCCATGAGCTATTAACTAGTAATTCTAATTGTTCATCTTTATCCCTTAGACGTGCCATAAAAGAAGCTCTCAACAATCAGACCTTCGTTCAATTTAAATCATACGCTGAGCAACAATATCCAAACGATTTAGATCAACAGAAAATCTTAATCACTAAACTTCAAGAGCAACATTATGAGCAATATATGCAACAAATTGTGCAACAAAGGTTAATTAGCGATAGGATGAATGGTCGATCATCAATTTCAACACCCTCTTCTCCTTCATCATCCCAATCCCAGAAACTTGAATCTCCATTAATACGAAAAGAGGATGGCCAAACTTATTACCAATCAACGACAGGTCATTCTAACAATTTGCATTCCACCTCTTCGCCAACTAAGAGCGTCTCATCACCATCTTCGTCCAGTGGATTTTATTCATCACCATCATCAGCCACTCCAACGTCCAGTTTAATCAGAATCAATAGTTTAACTCAATCAACCTTTCAAGAAGGACCAGAGGATAAATCATCACTTAGAAAATATAAAATGACCGAGAAAACCGATGAAAGTGTTGACCCACCGACTAATCAATCAATCGATTCTCACAGTTTATTGACCAGCGAGGTCATAGTACAATCCGATCTGAAGGAAATGAAACTACTGGTAAAGTGAAAAATAGTGAGGATGTTGGAGCCAATGGAGATGAGATCGAGGGAGATATCGATGAAAGTGGTCCAGAAGATTATGATTCAGTTGAAAGTCCGAGAATGTGGACAACCAAAGATATTGTTAATTTTAAAGAGTCAATTCGTTCAATCAATGGCGATGGTATTATTAAGGTGGGTCATGGTGAGATTGTTACTGTTCGGGTTCCAACTCACCCTGAGGGAACTTGTATATTCTGGGAATTTGCTACCGACAGTTATGATATTGGGTTTGGTTTATTTTTCGAATGGACCAAAAATCCTGGAACTCAGGTTTCAGTTCATATCTCAGAATCGGAGGATGATGATGAAGATGAAGAAGATGAATGTATTGGTCCAAACATTGAAGGTAATCCAGCAACTGATCCGGAAAAAGGTTCGCATTCATCAAAGTGCATTAGTCCTGATGAACTTCCAACCGCAGTTATTTTACCAATTTATCGAAGGGATTGTCATGAGGAGGTTTTCGCTGGAAGTCACGCTTATCCTGGAAAAGGTGCTTATCACCTTAAATTTGACAATTCTTATTCTCTTTGGAGATCTAAGACTCTTTATTACAGAGTTTATTATACCAAATGAATTTGAGAGAAGCTAAAAAACAGAAATTATATATTTCATTTACTAATTTAAAAAGAATTTTAAAATTGTATTAATCATTTCATCTGATTATAACAGAAGAAAACTAAGAAATCCAAAAAAAACATTCGCAATCTAATTCTTTGCTGATTCTATTACTAAAATCAGGGAGATTTCAACAAGTTAAACTAAATGACAAAATATTTTGTTCCTTTCGAACGGCTCATCAATAAAACTGTTCAGCTGATGAACAATTTGTTTCACTTGTTTTGATTATTCCGATGATACATAATTAGAGAAATAGATTGACTGTTTGTCAAGTCCATAAGCTTTTAATTGAATAAAAAGTCAGGGACAGAGACAAAAATGATGACCATCCAAGTGTTGATCAGATGATACAGTAAATTATATAATAATAATTAGTTAATTAACCTCTATACACAGTAGGGTTTGTCTGTTGAAGTCTTGGAATATCATCCATATTCATCATCTTCAACATGGCCATAGTATCTGGATCAGCTTCGATCACATCCAAATCAATTTCTGAAACTTCGGGAACATAATTGTCACGACGTTCTCTCTCCTCTTCTTGTAATTTGATACTAATTCCACGAACTGGTCCCTTCTCAATACGTTTAATTAAATGTGTCACGAAACCGGCGATCTTATTCCTAAGCTTTTTACTAGGAATCAAAGCGATTTCCTCACATATCCTTTTGTTGGTATGAAAATCTGAAGACAATCTTGTATAGTATTTCTCAATGATAACACGTGAAGCTTTTTTAATAGTCTTGGTACGAACACGACCCTAAACAAAAAAGAAAACAGAGACAACAAAACAGTTTAATTAGCAATCGAATAATCAACATAAAACAAAAAAACAATTTACTCACCATGATTAGTTTAATTAAATTACAATTAAGCAAAATGAAAACACAAGTTTCTACAATTTAACAAAACCAAAACTGATGAAAAAACGGAAAAGGAAACATCAACAATTGGGGAGCATTAATACATAAAAATTTGTTCCGAAAGATAAACAATCGATTTACAATTTAAAGAAAACAACAAAATTTTAATTGTTTCATTTGTCAATTGATCAACTAATTACTCTTGAAGAGATAATTAAGATAAATGAAGTTTAAAAATTGTTTTCTTCTAATTGTGAGTCAATTGTTTAGCTTTCGAGACAAATTTTCATTAGCTTTTGACAAACATCATTGAATTAATTGTGGGACAATTTGATTGTTTCAGGTACTTCGGGCCTTTCTTAGTCATTAGTGACCTTTAATAGTGAAAACCTAACCTAATCTAATGTAAACAAACACAATTAATTGAACAATTAAGTTAATTTGCATGTGTAGCTGTGCTCGTAAGCCGAGAAAGAATCAGCTGAAAGTGTAAAAGTTAAGTCAATCTTGAGTCTTTCCATTTGTTTGTTTGTTTATTTGTTGATTGAAAACCGATTTAATTGCAAGTGATTTTACTTTAAATGATTTGATCCATTTACTGAATTTTCCTGTAATTTAATCTGTTTATTGTTCAGTATTAAAGATGGAACCATATTTACCTGGAACTGCCAGTTTGCTCGAAGTTCTTGATAGTGAGTTCGCTTTTTCATGTTTTCACTTTTTCGCCTTTCAGACAATTTGGAATAACTTTTAATTCTTAATTTTTTTTACAGAAAAATTGATGGTTCTACTTCGTGATGGTCGTTCTATTATCGGGATTTTACGAAGCATTGATCAATTCGGTAACTATACTGTTTGAAATTTCTTTTTCTCTTTTCTCAACTACATTCACTTGATGAGTGTTGATGAAGATTCTTTTCATTTTGTTTTCTAATCATTTTCTCTGTTCATTTTTCCAGCTAATTTGGTTCTCCATCGATCAATTGAACGAATTCATGTGAAAAATAAATACGCTGATATTGACATCGGTGTGATTTTAATTCGAGGAGAAAATGTTGTCCTGTGTGGAGAAATTGTAAGCTTTATTGGAATCGAATTTTGAATTTTTTTCTCTTCGCATAACTAATATTTTTTCTTTATTCTTTTTTCTTGTCAATCATCAGGATGCTGAGTATGAAAATAGAAGCAATAATTTACAACAAGTTTCAACTGAGGAAATATTTGACCTGCAGAAAAACGAGGCGCAGAAAAACAAAGAGAAATTAAAATTTAATGAAGGATTTTCTTTAGGAAATTGTTTAGATTTTCTTGATGACTATTGATGTAAAAACTCTGATTTGAGATGACATGCATTTAAAATGTTTTCTTTTGTCACATTTACATAAATGTTGTATATTTGATTTGATTAGTTGAAAAGATTTACAATGAAAATCCTAATAATCTCCTAAAACTTGAAATGACAAGATTTCAGTTTTTTTTGTTCACTTCTTCAAAGTTGTAACCTAAAATCAAAATTGATTTTAGTTTTTACAATGAGTTGATTGGAATTGATTAACCATCGGTATGTTGATTCAATTTGATTGACAAAAATATTCTATTTTATTAAATTAATCAGTCTTCTGTCATCTTAACGATTTCAGGGTTGACGAGATGATTTTAACCAGGGTAAAGTGAAAGGTCTGTAAGATTAAAAGAAACAAATTTAGATTAATAATTGATTAACAATCATAATTAATCAAATGATTAGAGAAAAATCCAAAACTCTTACTTTGGCGGTAATTTTGGAATTGGAAGGCCAAATGCCATAACTGGAATCTTATCAGAAACTTCAATAAATTGCACTGGAAATAAAGAAGATAATAATTGGGACAAATTAGAATCTTTTCAAGTCAATTAGTTAATTACGATTAATTGTAGAATTGATTTTCACCTTCTTTCGGATCTTGGAAGAAGCTTTTCAGGTCCAATGCGAGCTGTTTACTTTGACCCGTCGAACATATCGGTTTATCGAAGTTAACAGCAGAATAATAATATCGACCAGATCTCAGTTTTTCGTTAAGTTTTTGTTCCCTTAATCTTTGAATATCCCATCTGAATGTAATTAAGAGAAATGATGAGATTAATTGTTTGATAATCGATGAAAGTGAAAATTTAATTGTTACCTTTTTCTCCTTTTTTCGTCGTTTTCGAGTTTTTGATGTCTCTTAAGGAAAGTGTCATCATCTAAATTCTGAAATTGGAGAATAGAAATAAAATTTAGTTATATGAACAACCAAAGAGTTGCAGATATCAATTAAATTGGTACAATACCTCGATTCCAACAGTTGAGTTACTATCTGGTAAATTGATTATCCTCCAGGAAGGTACCTCGATTTGATTAATTCTAATTGGTGTATCGTTTGTAGACAATTCCAGCCTTTGGATTACACTTTTCTCTTGACGACAATTATAGAGATCATATGGTTCATCAGTTTCCAGAACATTTATATTTGTACTTGTTGATTTACAATTGACATTATTTACAGATTGTTGCTGGTCACTTGGAGTACTAGTACCACTTTTAGAAATCGTTCGTCGTCGTTTTTTACTACTTGGTTGTGATGAAGAGTTTTCTTCATTGCTATTAATTGATTCACTATTGGCCGGTTTACTATCTATTGACACTGAAATATCATCTTTGTTAACTTGGGTTGAATTATTTTTACTTGATGTTGTTGTTGTGGTTGTTGTGGTTGTCGTGGTTGTCGATGATGTTGCTAACGATTCTGATGTTGAAATAGTTGTTGTAGTTGCTGTTGAGGTGGATGTAGATGTAGATGAGGCTGTTGATGTTGATGTTGATGTTGATGATTCTGTTGATGTAGATGTAGATGTAGATGATGCTGTTGATTGTTGTGGTTGAATACTTTCAGGATGAGTGTTATTGTCACTTATACCTGGTGATGTTGTTTCGGTTGAATTTGCTTCTAATAATTTTTTAGTTAAAAAGTTAAGACGATTTTCCATTTTATCTATTTTTACACATAATGTTTCCCTATCTTGTTTTAAACCTTGTAGCTGCCGCTCTTTTTTGAGTAGTTGCTCTTGTTGATGTTGAATTAGATCTAATTGCATGAGGATCATATCTTTTAACCTGTAGAGAGAATAAAGTAAAAATAGAAGAGAGAGAGAGAAAGAGAAAAATTAAAATTAGAATGTGAATATGAATAAGAATAATTTCTCATGTCTTTGTGTTTATCAACTTACTTTTTAATTTGAATTTTATCCTCATTACTGGAACCTGCAGCAGCACCGAACAATGAATTGTTGGTGTCAATACAGGAACCATTGCTAAGAGAAGCACCAATAAGTGAATTAATGTCACCGCCATTTTTACTTATTTGGGAAGGTAATTTCGTACATGAGATGTGATCGTGAAAAGCGGCAGCCAGGTTAACTTTATGGGTAATCCTTTGATCATCATGAACTGACATATTACCAGAACCTTTGACCTGGGAACCGTTGGTATAACCAACAACAGTCTTTCCAGATGATGATCCTGAAGATGTTATTAAGGTTGAAGTTGATTTGACAGGTTCAATCACAGAAACAGAATTAATATGGTGACGGGATTTCTCTTGTATTAGATGAATATTATTGTGAATTCCGTTGGTCAATACAATAGTTCCCCGATGGTAATCAGATTTCATGCTGGAAGTGATCACTGTAGAAGCGTCGGAAGAAAATAAAAAGAAAAGACAAAAAAAGAGAGAGAGAGAAGAAAGAAAAAAGAAAGTAAATATCAGAATTAATAAAAGAAAAAAAAATACAGGAGAAAAGAAGAAAAATGAAGAATGAAAAAGAATAAAAAAGAAAGGTGGGTAAGAGGAATATCCAAGAAAAAAGAGAAAATGTTTCACATAAGCAAAAGAAAAAAAAATGTCCAATGTTGACACTTTTCTTTTCAAATGATTGACTTAATTAAAAGGTCGAAACTCGAAGTGAGTGAATAATTAGCAACTGTAAAACCATTTAATCAAACATAACCACATGTCAATTAAATAAACATTAATTAAATTGCAATTGATAAACAATAAAGTGACATAACAACAAAGGGAAACAATGAGAGAGATTTTCAATTTGGAGGCCATTTTACCAATAGAAAGTTAATCAGATATTCTAATGAGATGATTGTAAATCAGTGTCAACACTTACCCAAAGATGATTGTATCCTCAATCAGAGTTACCATTACATGGATGATTAAAATTAATTAAAAACAATTAAAACAAAGAAAATTAAATGATACTCCGCTTGCTCCGGTAAAGAATCAAGGCTAAATATTAACCGAATTCGCTTCCGGTTTTCTTTTTTTCAGCCAAAAAAGAGCGAAAATTTTTTCGGTTTTTTTCATTTTCTTTGTTGTTGATCAACAACCTGTTGATTATCTTTAATCATCTTTAATTAATCCGATTTGATTAACAGATTTAACTGATTTACTGACGAACAATTTATTCTTCAAGTCAATTTTCGTCTTTCTATCAACTTTTACTACTTTCAATTTCATTAGATTTCCAATGTTATGGATTTTCAATGAGATGTAAAAAGGAAAAACAAATCAATCCGCTGATTTAATTGTTGGAAAATCAAAGAGTTTCCTAATTGTTACTGATTATTAAAAGCTGCTAATTGCAAACTTGGAAATGTTGTTATCCTTGGTGTTGATTCAATTGTTCAATGAATTTCTCAATTCTCTGAATTGATTTGATTAACACGACGGAGAAACAATTTTTGACTTGCTAAATCGATTGATTATCAAATGAAAACCATGAAAGAACCAATTAACTTTGCTCAATGAAAGTGATCATTTCCCTTCAAACTTTGTGAATTAATCTACAATTATAAATTGATTAAAAGTCTCGAAGGATAATCAGATTCAGTGGAGAAAACAAAGATCAACATAAAATGGCGATAAAAGGATTACAATTGTTTATAAATCATTTTGGAACTTGATAAGCTTTTGGATCAACAATTAAAATGGAAAAGATCAACACATTACTCCAATATAATTAGAAATCAATTTGAAAAAGTTGATCTAAATGACAAACAATGAAGATACAAAAATTACTAATTATCTTTGATTGTTGTTGATCAACAACAAAACGATTTCCTTCATAATCACCATTGAAATCCAACTCAACATCTAATTGATGACGATTAGTTTTCTTAGCAATTAATTGATTTCCATTAAATTGCTAATTGATTGATAAAATTGATTCGAAATTCGAATTGATTTTTGTTCTTCCAACAAATCGACTCTTGAGCCGAAAAAATCAGCTCAATGTTTTCAGCTGAAAGATTTTCTTGTTTACATGTGAACAGTTTTGTTGTTAATTTCTCATTTGTTCCTAGTTAATTGATTTTCTTCTTAATTTGTATTCTTTTGTTTACAATTAAATTAGATTATTTTGTATTTTATCAAAATGGCTCCGGTTGTTAATGTCGCGGTGAAAGATAAAGAAAAAGAGAAACCAAAGAAACCCGGTGAAAGAAGGTAAATTTTGGCTTTTCTATTTTTTTCTTTTCTTTTGTTCTCTGTTAATTTTTTATTCTCTAATTTGTGTTGTGTCATTTTCTTACTCTTGCTTAGGACCGAATTAATTTGTCGAGTTAAATTCAACAATACACTACCTGATTTCCATATGATCCAAAATTTATCACATATCCATTTGATCCTAATCGTTTCTCTCAATATAAACCAACCTCATTGGAAAAAAATCACAAACATGATTTGTTAACTGAACATGATTTAGGTGTTAATATTGACTTAATTGATCCTGATATTTATGCGATCCCGCCTGATTATGCTCTATCGGGTGGTGTTATACCTTTACCTTTAGAAGATGAAAAGCTTTTGGAGGAAGAAACTGTTCCCATGTCCGATCAAAAGCGTTCAAGGCATCACAATAAGGTTGTTCCTTGGCTTAAAAAGACCGAATATATTTCCACTGAATTCAACAGATATGGAGCTTCAAGTGAAAAAACCGAGACCAAGTGTGTATTTCTCTTTTTTTCTCTCTCTCAATCAAATATTGAGAATCTTTAATTTGCTTCTTTACTAAATCATTTTTCTTCTCTACTCTTTAAAGGGTTGGATACAATGTTAAAAAATTATGGAAAGATGAGAATCCTTATATGGACAAAGAGTGTCAAATTCGTGCTATCAACAAGACATTTGAAGATGTTAAAAAACCGATTACTGAACATCACAGTAAACGAGGTGTTACTCCTGTTGAAGTTCAAGAAGTTTTTCCAGACTTTTCCTTATGGAAATATCCTTTTGCTCAAGTACAATTTGATGCCGATCCTGCACCAATGTCTCAGGTTGAAGAGATGGGCCAAGCCATGATTAGAGGTGTTATGGATGAAAGTGGTGAACAGTTCGTTGCCTATTTCTTACCAACCAAAGATACTTTAGAGAAAAGGAAAAGAGACAAAGAAAATGGAGTCGAATACGTTGATGGTTTGTATCAGTCTTCTAATTCTCTAAAACCATTTCCTTCATTAATCTTTCATATCAACTAATTGAATGTCTCTCTCTTTTACATAGAAGAGGAATACGAATATGACATGGCCAGAGAATATAATTGGAACGTTAAAAGTAAATCATCTAAAGGTTATGAAGAAAATTACTTTTTCGTATTCCGTGATGATGGTGTTTTTTATAATGAATTAGAGACAAGAGTTCGTCTCAGTAAACGTAGATCTAAACCCGAATCTCGTGCTGCTAACTCTAAATTAGTTGTCAAGCATCGACCTCTCAGTGATGCCGAATTTAAAACACAAGAGATCAGGTAAGTGATTCGACTATGAAACTTAGTCCAAGTTGATTGTCTATTCTAATATATTTAAAATATTCTATCTCTTTTATCCAATAGACTTCGATTGTTACAACCACCACAAGAAGATGAAGAGGAAGAACAAGAAGAAGAAGAAGAAAAGGAAGATGAACGTATGGAAAGTGACCAAGAATCCAAGAAAGAGAAAGATGATGCCGAAGAAGAAGAAGAAGAAGCTGAAGACCGAGATGGAATTGAAGAAGAAGAAGAGGAAGAGGAGGAAGAAGAAAGTGATGATGAACCAAAACAAGAACGGAAAAAGTCACAGAAAAAATCTTCATCAAGTTCAAGTGGATCTTCAAGTTCATCGGGATCTGCAAGTGAAAGTGAAGATGAAGCCGAAAGAAAAGCAGCTCGAGATAAAGCAGCAATTTTCGGCAGTGATGACGACGATAGCGAATAAATCGAACCATTATTTATATAAATTACAATTCGTTGTAAATAACTAACCAGCAAACAAAATCAACAAACCATCAACTCCATGAGAAAACAAAAAATTAAGGTTACAAGTCTCAAATTGATCAACAAATTCACTCAATACCAAAATTGAATCAATTGTCTTAAACCATCAAAAAAATCATCTCATCAAATTTACCACAGACTAACAACTGTCAATAAATTTTACAAATTTTTCTTTGATATTCCAACTAAAAAAAACCAACAAGAGTCAAATTAAATAATAACAATATCAAAACATACATTAAACTATTCCTCTTAATTGTCAGAATAAATTTAATTTACTCAATGAATTTCTTTCATTCAAAATCAACCAACAAATGGATCAAAATTAAAAGTATTCCAATAGCTGGGTAACATTTTCCGATAGAAAAAAATCAAACAATGATAACAACCAGTTTGAAGAAAAGAAAAATTTGATTGATTGGTACAATTAATCAAAAAGAAACAATTAATTAGAATCTCGATTGATGAAGCTAAATGGTAATTAAGGCGGAGAATCAGTAACCGGGTCCCTAAGGCAACCTGATGTTGTTGTTGAACACGTTTTCATTTTGACATCATTACTTTGATTCCTCTCGTTTTGATTTCCGTAATTGTGGTTAATTTAACTGTTCTGTTCTGTGAAAGTGGTTTAATTGTTGATAATTAAGTGAATTCTTTTTGTAAACAATATGAGTGAAGTGAAACCTTCAAGTGATCCTGCTGTTGCCATGGAAGAGGTAAAGGTTGATGAGAAGAAGAAAAAGAAAGAGCTTGAAAGAGCAGCTAAAAAGGCTGAAAAAGATGCCAAATTCGCAGCCAAACAAGCTAAATTGGCCTCCGACAAGAAGGATGATCAATCAGGTAAATCGAAACCGAAAGAGGATAAGAAAAAGGTAAAAGAAGTGATCATCTATCAAGGTAACACCGCCGAAGGTGATGAAAAGGATGTTAGTTCACCGATGCCCTCCGCCTATTCACCGGAATACGTTGAAGCCGCTTGGTACTCGTGGTGGAAAAAATCTGGATTCTTCAAGCCCGAAATTAATGCTCCTCAAGGTTTGTTCATCTCCTCTGATTGTGTCCAATTAATTGTGTAGAAATCAAGAAAATATCTCTGTGTTTATATCATAAACAAATGCAATTCCAATGGTAGTTGCCTTTTTTTTCTTGGTGCTTCCATTTTATTGTTACTGTAATTGTCTTGGTTTCAATTGATTGTTGGATTTACGTTGATTACATTGGCTATATAGATGTGGTGTCTAAATTGTTTCCATGATGATCTGAATCTAAATTATCTCTTTTTGTTGTTAATCTATTTCAGGAGATATTACCAAAGAAAATGGTAAAGGTAAATTTGTTATGGTCATTCCACCGCCCAATGTTACTGGTACTCTTCATCTTGGTCATGCCTTGACCTCAGCGATTCAAGATAGTATTACAAGATGGAATAGGATGAAAGGAAAGGTCACTCTTTGGGCTCCTGGTTGTGATCACGCTGGAATTGCGACTCAAACTGTTGTCGAGAAAAAATTACAACGAGAGAAAGGATTAACTCGCCATGATTTGGGTCGAGATAAGTTCATTGAGGAAGTTTGGAAATGGAAAAATGAGAAAGGAAACCGAATCTATGAACAATTCGAGGCTCTTGGTTGTTCCGTTGATTGGGATCGAGCAACATTCACAATGGATCCGAAAATGTGTAATGCTGTTACCGAAGCTTTTGTCAGATTACATGAAGAGGGTTTAATTTATCGAGCTAAACGATTAATCAATTGGTGTTGCACTTTAAATTCAGCAATTTCCGATATTGAAGTCGACAAGATTGAAGTAAAAGGACCAACACCTTTCCGTGTTCCTGGTTATGGTAATGAAACCGTTGAATTTGGTATATTGGAATTGTTTGGTTATCCAGTTGAAGATTCTGATGAGAAGTTAATTGTTTCAACTACTCGTATTGAAACAATGCTCGGTGATACAGCGGTAGCAATACACCCAGAAGACCCTCGATATAAGCATCTTCATGGTAAATACGTTATTCATCCTCTTTTGGAGCGAAAAATTCCAATTGTTTGTGATGATTTTGTCGAGATGGAATTTGGTACTGGTGCTGTTAAAATTACTCCAGCTCATGATCATACCGATTGTGAAGTAGGTAAACGTCACAATTTACCTTTCATTGAAATTCTAAGTGATGATGGTAGTATTGCCCCTGGTTTCGGTAAATATTCTGGAATGAAACGATTCCATGCCCGTAAAGAGATTGGTAAAGATTTAGAAGCCTTGGGTCTGTACCATGGTTCCAAACCAAATCCGATGGTTGTACCGGTTTGTAGTCGATCAAAGGATATAATTGAACCTCGAATGAAATCTCAATGGTTTGTTAACTGTAAAGAAATGGCCGATAAAGCGGTCGAAGCTGTTAAAACCGGTGAATTAACCTTAATCCCCGATGATCATAATAAAATTTGGTTCAGATGGTTAGAGAATATTCAAGATTGGTGTATTTCTCGGCAAATTTGGTGGGGACATCGAATTCCTGCTTATAAAGTTTCCTGTTCTCCATCGGATGGAACCATTGATTCAGAAGATTTTTGGATCTCTGGTCGAAATGAGGCTGAAGCAAGAACCAAAGCATCGGTTAAATACTCAATTCCTGGAGAGAAATTAATTCTCGAACAAGATGAGGATGTTTTAGATACTTGGTTTAGCTCTGGTTTATTTCCATTCGCTATATTTGGTTGGCCTGAAAAGACCAAAGATCTTGATGTTTTCTATCCTGGTGATTTACTTGAAACTGGTCAAGATATTCTCTTCTTTTGGGTTGCTCGAATGGTCATGTTGGGAATGAAATTCTGTGGTAAACTTCCGTTTACCAAAGTTTTCCTTCACTCGATGGTTCGTGATGCTCATGGTAGAAAAATGAGTAAATCATTAGGTAATATAATCGATCCAGTTGATGTTATCAAAGGTAAAACATTGGCTGAACTTCAAACCATTCTAGAAGAATCTAATCTTGCCCCAGCGGAGATCGAAAAAGCCAAGGCCACTCAAAAGATTGACTTCCCTGAGGGTATTCCTCCTTGTGGAACTGATGCTTTACGATTTACCCTTTGCGATTACCTTGGACAAGGTCGTGATATTAATTTGGACATTAAACGAGTTGAAGGTTATCGATCATTTTGTAATAAACTTTGGAATGCCGTTAAATTTAGTCTAATGACTTTCGGACCTGATTTTAAGCCTAATTTGGTTCACAAGTTAACGGGTAAAGAGACTCGATTAGACTTATGGTTATTGAGTCGCCTTTACACTGCAACCGAAACTTGTAATAAAGGTTTCGTCGATTATGATTTCCATTCAAGTACCAGTGCTTGTCATCGTTTATGGGTCTATGAGATTTGTGATATTTACTTGGAATGTATCAAATCCTTCATGAGAGGAGACAACGAGGAAACCAAAGAGATAATCCGACAAACCCTTTATACCGCTTGTGACATTGGACTGCGATTATTACATCCATTTATGCCTTACCTTACCGAAGAGTTGTACAAACGGCTTACCCGTCGAAGTCCATCTACCGATGCACCGAGTCTTTGTATAACCTCTTATCCAGAAATAGATCAATTTAATTGGTCAAAAGATTCGCAATTGGAGAGTGAATTTTCCTTCATGTACGATTTTGTACATAAAATACGTTCGAGGAAAGCAAATTATGGAGTCGAAAAGAAAGATGTTCCTCTTTATGTTTCCTGTGATTCCAAAGAAACTCAGGATCGTCTATTGTCATTTATTGATCCAATTAAGGTTCGTACGGTTAATCCATTGATTACCACTTAATCTATTCATATGGAGAGACTAATTTTATTTTTCTTTTGTCAATTTAAAGAGTCTAACTCATTCATCTTGCCTGGAAATTTTGGAAAATGGTTCAGTTCCACCGGAAGGAGTTCCTATCCCAATAAGTGATTCATGTCAAGCCTATTTAGGATTAAAGGGAATAATTGATGTAAACAAGGAAATTGAAGCTTTAAAGGTGAAAAAAGATCAAAAAGAAAAACTATTGAAAGAATTAACTGTCTCAATGTCGGATCCCAATTACTCTGAGAAAGTTCCCAAAGAAGTTCAAGAAACCCGTCGACAGCGAGTGGAAGAGCTGAACGGTGAAATATTGAAGATAATTAAATCAATTGACGATTTCTCATTGATTGTAAAATAGTAGAAAGTGATTGTTGTAATTTTGATTAATAGACCAGGAAAAAATCAATTGGACAATTTTATTATATTTATATTGACATTTTAACCGACACATAAATTAAAACGAGTCTCTCAAAATGTTGTAATCAGGATTAACTATTAATCTTAAACTATGTGAAAAGATAATCACCGGCAACATTAATAATATTAATCCAATCAATCAGGATTTACATGATTCATATGATATATTTTGCGATTTAAAAACAGTAATGTAAACAAGAAAATCTTCACTCATCCAGATTAATTGTACTTGTTATATTTGTTTATTATCTCTGATTGTCGAGTTAATGTTTTCGTTTAACTGATTGCCAATAATCACCATCAGGGAATTGATACTTGGTAATTGATTCTGGCTTCATTCCAACAAGATAACCAGGAACCTTTGGAACAACATATCGTCCGTTTGAACATTTTGCCGGATCAATGAAATGTTCATGAAGATGATCAACATATTCAGTCATACGATTTTCAAAACTTCCACTAACAGAAACATAGTCCCAAACGCAGATATGATGAACGTATTCACATAGACCAACACCACCGGCATGAGGACAAACGGGAACTTTTTTTATCAGGAATTTGGAAAAGAAAAGGACAACAATTAAACAATTAACTCTTCAAGTGTTTGGATCGAAATCTATTATTGAAAATTTACCATTGAATTTAGCGGCCAACAAAGCGACGGCCATTACTTCATTAAGGCCACCAAGTCGACAAGAATCTAATTGGCAGAAGGAAATTGCTCCCAATTGTAATAATTGTTTGAAAACAACTCGATTGCAACATTGTTCACCAGTGGCCACTCCGATTCCCAAAGGTTTCAAAGCCTTGAGATGATAATTAATCAAATGAATAAGTTGATTGTTGATTATTTTTCATTATTTTGTTACCTTTGCTATGGTTGCATGGCCAACAACATCATCGGGACTTGTTGGTTCCTCAATCCATAGTAATTTAAATTGTGTCAATTGTTTCATCCAATCGATTGCTTGATTAACCTCCCAAACTTGATTAGCATCAACCATTAGTTTATTTTCATAGCCAATTTCCTCTCGGATTAATGTTAATCTATGTTTATCTCTTTCGATATCATCACCAACCTTTGCCTTGAAACTGGTGTAACCTTGTTTCAAGGCCTCACGACAAAGCCCACGGCGGGTTTCATCATCATAACCAATCCATCCAATCGAAGTGGTATAAGCGGGATAACCTTTCTCCTTAATTTCCTTCTCTAAAAATTAGACAATCAAATTGTTGACTTGTATTGTTTTCTACGAAAATTGACAAAAGTTACAATCATTTACCTCGATCCTTGACCGTTGCTCGTTTACTTTTGAGCAATTCAATGGCCTCTTCCTTGCTCAGGACATCTGATCTGTTGGTGTAAATGATTGATGAATTTGACTCAATTAACAAGGTTGATTGTTCCTTACATGTATCTAAAATCAATGGTCGAAACAAGTTGCTCGGGCTCCATGTCAACAATTAACTTCCACAAAGGTTTACCCTCTATCTTTGCCCATAGATCCCAAAGTGAATTGACCACTGCGGCCAAGGCCAAATGGATGACCCCTTTTTCTGGACCAATCCACCTCATTTGACTGTGACTGGACAATTTCCTCCAAAAACCAGCGAAATCGTTAATTATATCATTAAATTTAACACCAACAACCAATTCCATCAAAGATTCAACAGCTCGAACAACTAAGCAAAGAAAATTAATAAATCTTATCAATAATTGATTATATCATTCTAATTGTTTAACTCACCAACTTCCGTTCCCTTGCCAATTGTGAATGTTAACCCATGTCCAGTTAATTGTTCATCTTCCGTGAACAAAGTTACATAAGCACAAGAATAATCGCCATCAGGATGCTGGTCAACAATTAAACATTACAATTAACTTTTGATTGATTATAAATTACTATTAAATTACTTTACCATTGCATCACTCCCATGTTTATCTAATGAAGTTGGAAACCTAATATCCTTAACAGTGTAACTTTTAATTGTTAACGAAACCATAGTTGAACTTTAATCACTTACTATTAAATTGTTGCAAATATTAATAAGTATTGTCATTTATTTATTTTCTTGGTTGTTTTTGATTATCACATAGCAACACTATAATTAAGATCCTCAATGGAGCTTCCTTTGAATATCATCATTTCTTAATCATTACAACTTATTTTTCTTGGCAATCGGATCACTTATTAATCTTGCAACTGATGATAGACAAGATACTCTTATTTATTATTTCTTGATTGTTTATCGCTTGTATTTAATGTTATACACTTCTGATTAACACAATTAACTATGTAACTACAAGGTATTTACCTCGAGTTTTACTCGAGGAGACTCATAAACATTGCATGAAAAGGCCTCTCCAAAAACGCTGTATCTCTGCAACTTAACAAACCCCAACGCGTTTGTAGCTTCATTATTGAGTGCGAATTCGCTTTTGACCATCAAATGACCTTGAAACCTTTTTGTATCGGCCAAACTCCAATTAATCGAATCTGAATACCCAGAAACAAACTCGGTAAATAGCTTTAGAAGGAACTGATTTAAATCTTTATCAATGATTATTAGGATTCTTGAGAGTGGCACTAACGGTACATTAAAGTTTATTTGATACTTAAATGAAACGATAGTATTACTATCAAAAATCACATGTTTCTATTATACAATACATACACACATACATTTCATTTCATTTAATATTGTAGTGGGAAAAAATCTATTTTAATTTACGTTTTTATCATAGAATTTGATTCATAATTTATTTGATATTATTGTTTAACAATCATGAGAATGGGGAAGACATGAAACGAAGTGATAACAATGTCAATTTCAGTAAGATTAAAAATAAGATTCAGAATTTTCATTTTGATGATTTGATTTGATTTGGTTTATTGGAAGATTTGAATCATGGAAGGATGGAGGTTGTGATAAATTAATTGTAAAGATGAAAAGATGATTAACAATTAGATTCTTCGGCAGTTGTTATGGTAACAGGAGGAGGCGATTTATCGCCCATGGGATGAAAATAACTGATTCTCTCATCGAGAGAGTCAAGATTTGGTGGAATTGGAGTGGTTGGTGATGAGGCGGGTTTCTTGAGGATACTACGAAGACGAGCATCACCGGGCGATGTCGGAGTCACCGGAGGTCCAATCGGGGGTTTTATCTCTATCGATGAGGTTGTCGGTGAAACTCCACCTGAGATTATTGAACCACTCAGATTACTCCCTCCGGTGATTCCTGACGGTGTTAATGAACAAGTTGAAATGTTTCCTGGCGCTAATACTGATGAAGGTGTGGCTGAGGTGGAAGATGAAGATGAAGATGACAAGGCAGCAACAGAGGCTAAGGCTGAAGCGGAAGATTGAGCAACTGATGAGGCCAATAAATGATTCGCATTCGTTTTATTGGTTGATTCACGTTCTCGAGAAAAAAGTCGTTCCAGTGCTTTACTTAAACGAGTTACCTGATTAACGATAAAACAGACAATTGAATTAAAACAAATTGTAAATTAAAGAAAGGAAATTAAATCTCAACGAAAATAATGTTACCTGTTTCAAGGCGCATTCTGAATCATCTTTAACCGCACGAAGAATATCAATCTCCGTCTTGATAAGGCTTAAATTCCACATGAAATTTTCAACGGCTTTATCCGCTTTTCGACCTTTAATTCCCGCTGAAATGCTTAATTGGTTCAATTCAAGACCAAGTCTAACGATAACATCATGAGATTCGCCCAACTAGTTGAATAAATAATTTAGAGAACAGAAAATTCATTAATATTGTATATTCAGTAATGCTTATCAATTAGGAAAAATAATCATCCTCATGATTAAATAATCATGGAAAAGTGAAATTAAAAACTTTTCTCTTGCAAATTTGATTTTCATTTTATGATACAAAGATTATTTCTTCAATAATTATGAATTATTAATAATAACCAGTGATCATGGTTTTGATTATAGTTAATTAGTAATTGGAAAATTGTTCTAATCACCATTTCGAGTAAAAGTGATGAACTTTGTGGAATGGACACAAATTCAGCTAATGCTTTATCCAATGCTGAGATTGATTTCTGCAATTTCACCGTCATTTCACCTCCAATTTTAATCGCCGGTGCCTAGTGATTGGTACAAGAAGAATAGAATAAAAAAAATGACTCAAATTAAAAGAAGAAAACTTTCCAAATGCTACCCTAGAGGGCGCAAGTGAACAGAACGTTGATAGAATTTGTTTATCATAATTACCCCTTCATTTGATGTGTCGATATGAAAACTATTTACTGATGAACATGAAGCCAATCGAAGAGTTAAAATTCTTAAACATTGAGCTACATTCGCATTCTCATTGAGGTTACACTCATCACAAAGGTCAATCATTGACTTTTCAACATCTTTACGAAGTTGAATCGATTGGTACAAAAGGTTCGATACATTTTTAAAAGCTTCATCGGCCTGTTTGATTCCAATTGATCGAAGGTCATTTGACTGTTTACTTCCCCAGGAACGTTTTCTCCGTAACTTTTGCTTTGACCCATATCGATGTGTCATTGAAAGGTGAACAAAAAGAACAGCTTCCGGAATGAGCTCACCATTGTAGGCCGAAAGTCGGACATGTCGATAACCTGTTTGAACACATTCAATTGGAATCGTAGCTTGACCAATAAAATCATCGTTAATATAATCATCATCTAGAACGACAAGTCGTAATAAAGCCAATTCTGGAACTGAGATTGTAAACTCAAAAGATTCATCGAAAATTGGATTATTGGCCTCATTTGAAATGGTTCGAGTTCGCATTTCAGCATTATCGGCAGGTACACCGAGAACCTGAACAGTAACATATGGATCAATGGCAACCGCTTTAAAAGAAGCCCCTTTGGGTCGGGGAAGTTGTTGACCAGAAATAATTTTAACTCGTAAACAAAGAGGATCAATACCCGGAAGTGAATCTTTCCTTCTAGCATTGAAAAGGCAGAATCGTTCCCGAAGAAAGGCTGGTTTAAGAACGTAACCACATCCGCCATTCTGATTGAACCAACCTCGATAAAGGTCCATCATTTGTCCAGAAGATTGATAATTCATAGCAACCATTTGGGATCCACAGTTCCAGAAATCAAGTGGATTAATATTAGATGAATCGATTCGACCTCGATCGGGAGCTACCTGAGTACAATAGTTTTTATTGTGATGAGCAAAATCCTCAGGTGAAGCTAAGGCTAGTTTAGATGCAAATGCTTCGTCAAGGTAACAAACTTGATCATTTTTTTCTGCAAAAAAAAGAATCACAAAGATTATTGTCTATATTATATGAAGAGAACGAAAAGTTCTGGAAGGAAATAATCATTTATTCTACAACAAGATCAAGTATTACTCACGATTCTTAAGAACATGGCCAAAATCGTTGCAACGAAATCGCCTCAGGTAGACAAGGTCAGAAAGTTGTTTGCATAAAAAGGTCTTATTATTGACAGAATTTGAGAGATTGGATGATATGGAAGATGAAGAGGTTGAAGATGTGGTTGTATTGGTGTTGGCTGAAGGATTGATTGTGGTGGAAAATCGTGGTTCTATTGATTCATCTTCATCAGAAACTTCACCGAATTCATCTTCAGGGGAGGAAAGTTTTTTACCCTGGAAAAAGAGAAGAAAAAGAAAAACAAGAGAAAAGTAAAGACAGAATTTATATATTTATTTCCAATATGGAACAAATTTAAAATTCCAATCCAAAGGTCACTTGGAACTTTTTTTCTTGGCTCTCTTCATGTTCTCAGTTCAATCAACAATCATGATGAAAACTCGGTGATTCAAGAGTAAGTTCATGGTATTTGTTGAGGAAGAAAAAAAAAGAAAACACTTTTTTGCAATCAGCTAAAGTTCAGATTATTTTCATGATTTTCATGGAAAGAAATTTAAAATTTACTGATAAATATTGATTCTGTTTTCTTACCTTAATGATAATTTTGTATTTCAAAAGTTCTGGAGATAATAAGAGATTTGTATAGTTTTTTATCAATTGAGATTCAGAACTGTTATTGTTTATCATGTTATCGTTACATGTTGACTGTTTTCCTGGTGTTGGTGAGACCGATGTTGATGATGATGAGGATAAAGATTGATCTCCATTTACTGTTGATGATAAATTGATGGTGTTGTTATTATTTGAATGGATAACATGATGATCAATTCTGGTTTTCCCTGGAATGAATAACTTATCACCCAGAATTGTAGTTAATTGATTTGCTATTTCTTTCTGTCTCTCTAAGCTGCAATGATTTTCAAGGTGAATTATAACTGGGTACCTGTGATTAAAGAGATGGAAAAAAAAGTAAAGTCCAATTAGAGATTGACCAGAATCTGATTAGAATAATAATTCATTGGATAATCTTTGATTGCGTGATAATTGTTTAGATCGTGTTCAAGTGTTCAGTGTTTCATTCATGGTCATGTTTCTTAGTAAGAATATTGATCATGAATAATCATGATATTCATCATGGAAAATATGATTTTTTTCATCTGTGTCAACTTTAAATATCGATTATCGTACAATCTCAACCGAGTCTAGTTAATTTCTCGTTAAAGTACTTTTTGCTTTTTCTTCTCATTATTATCAACTGATTAGATGAAGATAATAAAAGGATGAAAGATTTTCTCTAATCATGATGATGATGAAAAAAGAGAATGGAGAGAGAGAGAGGAAGTAGATAAAAAGGAAGCTGAAATTCATCGAGATGAAATAAATGGAATAAGGGAGTGACATAATCAGGAAGTTCTGGAAGTTCTGTAAGATGATTAAGATGAAGACAAGAAGCAAAAAGTGATAATGATACTGAAGATGAAGACGATGATTTGGGAAGATTAATTTTTCCATTTTCGAAAAGTGATTTTTACAGCAACAAAAAAAAGAGCTCAAGGTAGAGGCAGAGAGAGAGCAAAGGTACATAAGGATTAGAGATTAGGAGTAAATGGATTAAACAATAAAAATCATCGAATCCCTCTTGTCTTTAAGAAACTCTGGAAACTGGATCAACTATTTTTAGACTGACCATCATGACCAGTGAATCAATTCCCTTTTATCATGGATTCTAATTGAAAAGGATGACTTGTAAATCCACCATGGACAAGATGATGAAGCAAGGAACAGAAATTGATAAAGTTAAAGATAAAAAGTAAGAACATTTAATGATGATTTAGTTTGAAAATCTCTTGAGAAACTTAGATAAATGTTAAAGAAAGAAAAATATAAAATAAGTTCCATGAGGAGAGGAGAAAGTTTAAGATAGAAAATGAGCAAAAAAAAAGATAATAAACTGAACAAAATTCTGAGTCTTTAATTTTTTCGTTCTTTACTCATAATCATCATGTTTATAACAAGAAAGATGGAAAGGTAAAAATCATCATGGTTATCTTCATATTATATGGATTGGATAAGATGAGAAAATCAATTTCATGTGAGTACATAAACAGGAAGGAAGTAAATAAAGGTAACAGTTGATTCTGAAGTTAGACTTTTCCATCATGATGATGAGTAAGAAATACAATTACATGAGTTGTATGAATTGATAACAAGGATATAAGTTTATGAGTAACTATGGATTAGATTGTCATATGGAACTAAAGAATCATCTTAACCATCATGAAAAGAGTTGCATGGTAAAGCTTATCATCTCATTTTCTAGCATTTCTTTCATGAAGATAGTTTCATGATGATGAAAAATTGTTCGTTCATGAAGGTCAAATAAATGAATACACATTATTATTATTGAGGGAAAAAAGATACTTCAATGTTATATTGAGTGTAAATAACTCATGATGAGGTTGTTAATGATGGTCAACAATACTTACGGTGATTGGACAAAGGCATATTCATTAATTGTCTCAAGGACATCTTGAAGGGGAACCTTGGTCGTTAAGGTATTACCATGAAAGACAACTGGACCTGTGGGGGAATCCCATGTATCTATTTTAACACACCGAGAGCCTTGGAGTAAAGTCTTACGATAGCCCTCAGTGGATGATGGTCCCTTTAATTGGTCCTCTAAAAGGTAACTGGACACATGAAAGTGAAAGGAATGAGAGATTAACAATAATATCATTAGTTCAACAGATTATTATTTTTATTATTATGCTGATTAATTGATTAGGTAATTTTATCTTTATGATACAGGGAGTGAATTTCATTTATTATTCATTTGTCATGTTTACCTATGGAAATTATTTTCTCCCCTTTTCTTATTCATTGAGTATCTTTTTATTATCCATAAAATGATTGGATGATATTTATTGTACTTCATGATGAGTATTTCACCATGGTGATGGTTTTACTTACGTATTGTGGGAAGTTGCGATGAAATAATGAGATAAAGATTGATTCATGTCTTGCCAGATGAAATTATGAGCTGGATTAATTAGATCAGATTCAGGGGAGACAAGAAGCTGAGTAAATCCATCGATCAACAATTGCTGATTTCTCTTTGATTCTTCACAAGGTTCATATCTATCGATAAGTTGAGCGCATTCCTCGAGTGTTATCCCGCATACACCTTGTTCACCTTCCAAGAATAACTGTAAATCCTCCAAAGTCATATAATCTTTTCCACAATATCTATTTTCCAAATAGTAGAGAGTAAAAGAAACAAAACAAAAAAAAAGATTCAAGAGTAGATCACGAAATTAGAGGCTTTATATTAGGTTGTCCCGTGCAAAATTGCGGAACTTGATTTTCGATTTTTGATTTAACTAGTGGTTCGATTTTTTTAGTATCTATCTTGAACTAGCGAGAAAATAGTAAAAATTTTATCGTAATTAAAAAAAATTTAATAAATCAAACAATTAATTAATTATTTGAAAAAAGTTGAAAAAAGTCAATTTTCAAAAATGACAAAATTCCAAAAAAAGTAATACTCCCCCCTGTGATTTGCTCGCTAAATTTTTCGGACTTTTTCGCTTCGATTGCTCACTAAATTTTTATTTTATCAATTTAAAACATTCTAATTACCTTAATTATTAACAAGACCTAGGTCATTATAATTATCCTTTTCAAAAAAAAATCGATTCATTAATTGATTTTCTAAGCCGTTCCAAACTCAAGAAAAGTGATTTTTTTCGATTTTTTATGTCCAGTTCGAACTTTCGAAAACTGGTGGATTCAGACCAAGAATTTTACCCCCCATTAATGTACTAGATTCTCGGGGACACAAATTGTAGAATATAATTTGAATTAGATGAGTTTTCGAAAAATTATCCAAATTCAAACGTCCGCACGTTTGCGTGGGACAACCTAATATTATTACATAAATTGAGAAGAAAATTGCGAAAATGAGAAATAAAAACAAAAGAAGAGAAAATGGAAAAAGTTATTCTCATCAATCGATAATATAATTCTGACATTCTTCTTGTCAAAATTATTATTAATATTCTGTTGGTGAAGAGTCCAATCAGTGTTAATTATCATGGAAAATTGTTGGTGAAATTAATTGAATACAGAATTTAGAGAGAAAGTTATTCCAATTTTAACCTGAGAACAATTATCAGTTCATGAATATTCTGATTCTCGGCAAGAGAATCATTTTTGTTCATGAAATCAAGGAAATCCGTTTCAACAATTATTCTGTAATGATCATTGATTAACTTTCAGATGATTAACAAATTAATTTGTAGCTTAACGAACAATGATAATTAATAATTCAAGGAAGAAGAAGCGATTAAATCTGATGGAAGGAAAAGTGAATTGAGTTCAATGAAATTTCTTTTTCATGATGACGCTTCAAGTTTGTCTGTCAAAAAAAGAGAAGAAAAAAGTTCTAAATTCTTGAGATGAGAATTTATAATAATCGAAGCAAAAACAAATTCTAAGCTGAGGAACAAAAAAAAATAGTTCTATCGAATTTTTGTATCTTTAAGGGTTAGAACCTTATTTTTTTTCGAACTTTTTCTCTCTCCTTATCTTAGGTCATCATCATCAGAACTTTTTCTTCCTCTTATCTGTTCAGAATTCATTGCATCTTCTAATAAGAAAATTCTAAAGGGTAGCAAGTTATTTCTATGGAAACTTTTTCCTTTTTCACCAACTATTTCAATTCCATATCATGTTTTGTATCATGAGTGTGTATATATAAAGTTCACCCTCAACTATTATTACATGATAATATCTTAATCTATTGTTATATGAAAACATTGTGTGAATACCAACAATTTATATATTACCTTTATCTTTAAAAGCGTTTCCATATAATCAACTTAGATATTTCAACAATGTTAACATTTCATGAGGAAAAATATGGTTACATGAATTCAGGTTGAGCATTATATTAATATTTTTTTTAGAAGATGAGAAAGAAGATTTGAAAAAAAAGTTCTGACCAAACTAAAAAACTTTCCAGAACCAACATGATATATGATTCAGATACATTTGCCACACCCTTGAATTGAACAACTGAATAATCATTTCATTCTGGAGTCAATTGTTATTCATATCAAAATCTTAATCTCAAGTTAAGGTTAATCCTTTGACGACGATGACGATGATGATGATGATGATGATGATCAGCTTACAACACCCACTTTAACTTCCTGTTGTCTATTGGAAACCTAATTGTAATCTCAGAATTTGAATAATCTTCATTGATAATATCATGAGTTGCTTGAATGATTTGCAAGCTTAGATTACTGGGTGAGACTTGTATCGAGTTTACATTTGAATATCTGAATGGTTAAAGATTGTGACTGAGGAAAATGTGAAATCTGATGAATTGTTTTACTCTCTATCTCTGCAGTTGATTGAGTGAAAAGATCAAAGTAAAAGATAATAGATTCTGAGAAACAATCAACTTGTAAGTTGATTGTAAACTGATTATAATTCATTGGGATATAATACTTTTCCCCTTCATCAGAACTGTAACCTGTCGTTAGCATTACTCTGAATCATTCAGGTTCAGATAATCTTATTTACAGTTGGATAAACTTTTCTCCATGAGATTTTCTTTCAAAAAGTCTAGAAGTGAAAAAAAAAGAAAATGAGAAGAGAGAATTCTGTGAAAACCATGATAATGATTCAGGGGAGAGAACGAGAAAAGATAAGATTGGTAGTCAGTTGATAAGAAAATCACATTGAATGATTAGGATGGTTATCAGAATTGGCGAGATAAGTTCACATCATGAGAATTCATTTCTGGTTACTTGAAATGGTCTCATCGAAATTCATTCCAGGAAAAGTGTATTTTCATGGTGATTCCAATGAATTTCAATCATTTTGATTGGAGGTGGGTGTTGATAAAAGATCAAGGTGAGAAGAGGAAAATTATTTGATCCATTTAAATATCACAATTCTACATGAAGATATCATCATGAAAACTGAACGTGAATCCATTTGATAAATATTGTTTATATTTACTGATTCTAATTTTAGTTATAACAAAAATAAATATTTCTCATTCATTTGTGTTGATATAAAAATGATTTTCAATCAAATTATCAACTTTATTATGATTAACGTTAGTCTTGAATTGTAAACATGATCTGAAATGATAATATTTACCATCAAGATTAATGGTTAATCTTTGAGTTAATTAAGTTTAGTTAATCTACTCTAGTGTCTAACAATCAAGAAGGTAAATCACTTGAGAGGATTAACATTGTCCATGAATCAGGGCTGAATGAAAATTCAAAGACATGATTTCACCTTTTTATCATGTAATCTCAGAGTCTATTGGAATCACCAGAATTGATTGGAACTTGTAATATCACAGAGAGAGAGAGAGAGAGAGAGAGAGATATCATCGTATCATTGTTTACATTGGTTCTAATGATGATAGATAATAATCTTTGGTCATCATCATTATCAACAATTCTAATCAATTCTGACAAATACTCTATTGGTAAGGTTTATAATCAGTAATCTTATTTGTTTTCTTCAACTTGAGTCCAGTGCTCAATGAAAGGTCGAGTTATGACCAGGAGATAATAATAATAATATTATTAACTGAGAAGGTTAGACAAGTAATGGTTAATATGATAACCATTAGATTTGAATTAAGGTTAAGTGATGAAGACAGAAAGTAATCATTTCCAATGAGATTCCATGAAAAATTCTGATTCCGACCAGTGAGTTACATTAGGTTGGCTATTTTTTATCACCATCAGCATCATGGTGATAATCATTATCGTCACAACTCAAACTATTATTATTATCATGATAAGATCAAGATGATTGGACTTATATAATAATAATAATAATAGTGTTATATTATTAAGCTTATGACAGTTACAATGTCAATGATACTTTCGTAAGAATTAAGTTAATTTGATAAAGTTTTTTTCTTTTTTTATATTCGAAAATTGGAAAATTTTAATTAACTTTTTTTTGTTAAAATTTCCAATTCTTTTTACTCATGTTTCCATGAGCATCTTAGGAAAATGTTTCTCAACATTAACATTTAGATTGTCAGATTTTTTGATTCTCGTTGAGAACAACACTTTACATGTTCTAAATTACAATTTGAGGTGGAAAAAGTTTTCTCTCTTATTGTTGAGAAAATAATAATAATCATGATATCATTGAATATGAAAAAGTTCTCAAAATCACCCATGAAACTTATGCTTAAATTCATCATGTATTTCAATGTAACTGGGATGTTATCTCACTTGAATATTAATGACACTGAGATGTAATATCTCAGATTTATGATAGAAATCATCATCACCATGATGAAGGAATAAAATCAGGTAAGAAAAATATATTAATTCTCAAAGGAAAGTCATTGAAATTTAGTGAGAATTCAGTTGGAATTCATAACAAGCTGAAAAATGAAACGTAAAAATATGAATAAGATTCAAGTTGAAGTTGAGATTTTCTCAAATTATCGAGTTGATTAATAATCTTATCAAGAAGAAAATATAATAAGGTGACATGATCATGTAGAAAAGGGGGAAGGTTCATGATTAAATAGTTACTTAAGAATCACTTTTGAAATTGAAACTTGAGACTGAACTTTGAGTGAGATTCAATTTTCAGAGTCAATGTTTTCTTCCCTCTCACTATCAACATGTTTAGACTGGATGATAAACTCATTCCAAGTGAATTGATAAAAATAAAAGTTCAGCAGAAATTCAGGAAAATAAGATGGCCTGAGAGCATCGAAAATGTTAACAGTCTCATCTTTATTATTATTAATATCATTTTCCTTCATCATGTTCCCTTTCTGTTTGAACGTGACTCTGGAACACCATGTAATTACCATATTGAGTCAATTCACAGAAAAATGAATTAAATTAAGTGTTAAAAGACATGGTGATACAATCAGAGTGTATTGAAATTGATCATCATGAAACTCAGTCAGCTGATGTTGAGATAAATTTTTGATAAAACTCAAGGATATGAATGACTTAGATGATATTTGAAACTGTTCAGGACGAAAATAGTTATAATCATAATCATCATCATTATTATGATATAATTATTTTCCAGTCTTGCATTCATCAGGTTATTATCATGATAAAGATTCATCTGGTTATCAAATTAACTGTTACATGAGAAACAGTTTTAATTATCTTATCAAACTATTATCATCTCAAGCGAAAGATGAACAATTTCAAAATGTTATCTTCAATCACTATTAATAATATTCACTGAGAACATGATATTCAGTATAATCAACTTATTGTCTATGGAAATACAATGTTACCATGATGATGAGGAAAACAATCAAGAAAAGTATTTCAATGTGTCTTATAGCCTTAGGGTATTTATCGGATTCAGTAAAGTTGATTGTTGCCTGGAATCAGATTCTAATGGAATTTTCTTTTTATTTCTCTCTCTTCATCGTTCTAAACAATTGAAATAATAATCATAATCTACTTTTCATGATATCAACTCATCTTTTTGTTTTTTTTCTCCTCCTTTGTTCATATTATATTGAAATTCATTCGTTGCTCCATTTTTTATTCGTGTAACTGTTTACCAACGAGTAACCATCATGATCATGATAAGAGTTCAGAATTTGTTCCAATGTAAATTGAATAAACTCATGTACGGATCAAATTGGAATCTAAACAAAAGACAAGTTCATGATCATGTTTATCTCCTGAAATGAAACCAATACAATAGGAATATCATTAACCGATTCAATTGGTTCATATTGACGATGCTCAGAATCCCATGAATATAATATTATTATTGAGAGAGAGAGAGAAAAAATCAAATGAACCTTAATATGAGAAGGAGAGAAATTTTTTTGTCAATTCTTTCAAGATTCTGATTTTATTCATGATCATTATTCAGAGATTGCAGATAGATTTTCAAAGGATAAATGAATATTTAGTTTTCTCAAAAAAAAGTTCAGACTCTAATGATATTAATCTGTCTTTCTCTAATAATATAATCATTTACCTTTATTTTTTTCTCTGTCATTTTGCTGATATTTATGGCAGAAACTGAATCATTTCATCCTGGAAACATGATCAAATTTCATAGAGAGAGATCAATAAGAAATGATAAACAAAAATATCAAATTCATGGTAATGATTTTCATCCTGAATGATGATAGCAACAAGATAACAAGATAACTTATTATTGGTTAGTATATTTTTCCACCATCAATATTTTTCACCATAACCTTCATGCATCATTTTATTATCATCATAATCATCACCATGGAAAAGATTATCATTATTATTATTAGTATTATCACAGTGGCGTTAATAACATAAAACCCATTGATGAAAATTTTGTTCAGTTTTTATATGGTTCATTGGATTGAAATGAATTGAATCATTACTAAGATTGATTTGAAAAGATTGAATCAGAGGAAAACCAATCACACAAAATGATATTCCCATCAATCAGATAATCAAATTTTTCCACCATCAAATTCATCATCGAGCTAATGTCCAACATGCTTTCCCATGAGGATTAATATATTATCATCAGTTTAGATAAACAAATCAACTGAGTGTTGGCGATAATGATGAGATGAGAGAGAGAGAGAGAGAGAAAAGTTCTTGAAAATGAAAATTCGGAAAAAAAAGAAAAACTTTTCCATCGATTCTCCAGCTGATTTCTCATTCTGATTCTAATTCTTCATTCAGTGGAAAATCATTCATGATCATGTTTGCTGATAATATTCAATTAGAAGGGAATTACTTAATTCTAATAACAATTTAACGTTCAAAGTAATCAAATTAATGTGTTATAACACAAGTAGAGTTGATTGTTGTCTTAATTGTTTCACATCATCAGATGAATTAATCATCTCTAAAGGGAATATAAAAATCATCTCGATAATGATGATAATAAATGATTAGGAATAAAAAAAGAAATAATTTCCAATGTTAATCACCATAATCATCATGATAATCATGTTCATGAGAGAGAGAGAGAGAGAGAGAGAGAGAGAGAGAGAGAGAGGATGAAAGTGTAGTAACATATTTAACAAATGACAAGGTAGATTAATTAATTATGATTATGTTAATTATCACGATAATCTAATGACTTTCATGAATTATATTATTGAATGATGATGATTGGAAGTTTTTCTTAATCATCCCCTCACTTAATTTAATCAGTTGGTAAAAAAAAAGAGGATTGATTTTGTTGTTAAAATTGAAACGGAAACGGAAATGATGATGAGGAATCTTTTTTTTGTTTCTACTCACCTTACAAGGATAAAATAAATATCCGGACGGGTTGCAGTCTCATAAAATAGGTTGACGAAATTGTGTTTATTGAAAAAACCTTTTTCGTCTCCATCTTTACCCAGATTATATTCAAGAAGTTTCTGTTTCAATCTACCGGAGCAAAGGTGATTATTCAATCGTTTCATCAGGCTTATCGTTTGAGGTTCATCAAGGACACCTCGAGATTCAATGTCAGCCTGATTGAAGGCTTCCTCTAACCATTTTTGTCTCATCTTTTGACCGGAAGCTGGACACGGAAGAGGACAAAGTAAAACCATTAAATATCATGGATGAGGGTGTAAAATTCAAGGGTGGGTGATCATACTGGTCATTGATTGGATTTGATTATGGACATTGTTATAAAAAGTTTCCATCATCATATCAATTTCATTGAGTTTACAAGTGTCTGTGTGGGTGGGTTATGATGGTCACTTAGCTTTGTCTCTCCTTGACCAAAACAAACTCAAACTGAAAATTGATTCTGGTCAGAAAAAAAATATCAACATCTTCAATTGAGATAATAGCTGTTCAAATCAATGGTTGAACTGGTGAAACTTGAAGTAATCAAAACTAAAGCTTTCAAACAATTAAGTCACTTGACAATTAAAGTTAATTACAGGCTCATAAAACAATTAAATCTTTCTTGATGGTAAAATCATGTTTCATGTTGGTCATGATCATCATTACTGTTTACAATTAATGGTCAGTTAAGGTTGAAAGACAAGAGAAGGAGAGACATTTAAAGTTAATCTAATCAACTAATTGTGATTAACAAACATAATACCAACTCACAAACTGATACCAATAATGATAATCAAATACATAGAGTTAATCACAGTCTATTCTGATTGTTGATTAGATAACAGGGAAACTGTCAAGGGCTTCATGGATCATAGATTAATCTAATTTGTAATCAGTTAATTTATGGTTAAGCTTGAATTCAATTTGAATGAGTTTTGTTTTTCCTTCATCATCATGATCAATGGAGATGGAAAAACTTACATTTATTAGCACCAATGAGAAAGTTCAATCCAGTGACCCAAATATTTGCATCTTCAGGTGATGGAGCAATTAAATCAAGTGTATCAAAATCGTCGCCGATGCTTATTGAGAAAACGCATTCTTCCGATGAGCTTAAACTGATATCACGATTTCTCATGATTTCGCTGTTTTTTCCAGCTCGAATCTCTTTAATATCCTTAATGGAGTCTGAGAGAATTAGAGAAGATAAAAAGAATCGAAGAGTCAAAAATTGGTCAGTAAAAGTGAGCCAACACCCACTCGAAAATTGGGAATGAAAATCTCTCTCTCTCTCTCTCTCTCTCTGAACCAATGAACTTTATCTCTCTCATCCTGAAAAAAATTCAATAAACTCGATTACCATGAGTTGATCATCACCAGAATCCATATTTCTTTTTACTCTCTGAACAATTTTTTTTCCGCTTCTTTGCTCATTTTCTGTAATCATGAACAACAATCAACAACAATTTCCTCATCATGATGCTAATATAATCCATCATGATGGTGATAATGACGAGTATCATCAACTTACCGTGTTAATTTAATGAAACATTTTCCCTCTTATCCCTGAAAAATTGTTTCCCTGGTTCAAATTAATTCACATGAATGAATTGAAATCCTTCAGGTTATATCCTTTTCGCCAGTTAATTTTGTTATCATGCTTTTTTTAGCCTCATCACCATCATCATCCTTTTTCATCATGATAAAACACTGAACAGAAATTGTTTCAATAATATACCTTCAAGCATTCACCATGATAACAAATGATATTCAATTAACAGCATCATATTGTTAATTACTATGATGAATATTAGTAAAAGTATTCATGGTATAAAATTAGAATCCATAAGTTGTCTGAGATTCTTGAAAAGTTCTGAATCTTGAGGATATATTTTATCATATAGAATATGTAATTAGATTAAGATTGATCAGCTATTAAGTTCTGATAAACTAGTAGTTAATTAAGGACAGAAATTCATTCTGAAATCATTACAATATCAATTCTTATTCAAATTCATTCACATTCACTTTGATTATCATGATAATCAGATATCAATATACATTCACCTTCATGGTGGCTCGTTTCAAATACTATTATCAGGGAAATACAATCACAAACACATGGAAATAATAATAGAACCATGAAAAGTTCATGATATTACATGAGATTGGAAAAAGATTGAAAAAAAAGGGAAACGTTTTCTCTTTCTTTCTTACTTTCTTTCTAGGAATTAAATTCGTTGCCAAAAAAAAAGTCGAACAGGCAAAAGAAAGAAGAGAAGTAAAAAGTTCTAATGCTTTCGAAACCTTGACTAATACGATAAATTTAAAATTGAAATGAACTTTTCTCTTACTTTTCTGTCTTTCTTTCCTTGTATTTATTCATCAAAAGTAATGAACCAGAATGGCGATTACCTTGAATTCTCAGTTTGTCAACTATTCACTTTCTACCATGGTGAATATCATGATTGTAGGTTACATGATTTACTACAATCTTTAATGAGCTATAATAAGCTTTATAAATGATTATCATGACTTTTGAACACCAAGCCAATGAAAATTTTCATGAGCAAAAAAATATACATGAGTATTAGTATCATGATATTCAAATATATGTAATAGCTTTTCTAGTCTCTTCCTCATCATTTGTTAATGTTCAAAATTATTAGATAATGAAAATGATTCCCTGTTATCCTCCTAGTTACCTGGGAGTGAATTCAAAAGTCTACCATGAAATAACCATGATAATTTATTCTCTCTCTCTCTCCTTGACTTTTCATTGAGCTTTTTTTTATCGGAACCAAGAAAATTTATTCCTAAACATCCTAAACTCAGAAATCTATTAATATCTTTTCACCATCATGATTATCTGGATCTAGATTTTCATCAATGGAAATTACTTTTTACTTTTCACCACCTTAACATGATTAATAATCAGTGGGTCAGATTGATTCTCATGGTAAAAAGTTTGTTAACTCTCTTAATATCATGATACAAATATCAAAATCTACCTGGTCCATGATTGATTGTCACCTTTATAATCATAATCTAATATATCAAACATTTCTTTCAAAACTTCAATTGATTCATTTCTCATTTCATGGTTTTTTTGTATCGTTTTTTTTCATATTATAATAGGAATTTGCTTCATTTATCTGCCCCTGAAGAGCATCAACTTTTCCAGTAAACTCTAATTCAAGAATCCAGGGGTTTCTCTATCTCCTTTTTTCAGAATTATCTTTATCACTCCCATGGGGCATTTATATTATTGTTACATTTTCATTATTACACCAACATACTCACTCATTCACTCGTTCATTCATCCAATATTATGTTGAAGTTTGTGGATAAAAATTAATCTGAGTAAAAGCTCTGATTCCTATTTTTTATTATTTCTTTTTTCTTCAAGAGGGAAAATCTAAATCAACATCATGTCCATCATGAATCAGAGTCAATATTCAACCTCTATTTTTTAGTGAATCTTGTTTCAGGATGAAAGATTGTGTAATGTGACATTTAATTTGAGAGATAACCAACTCAGCTCAAAGTGGTGAAACTTTTTTTTTCTCTCCACTTTCATGGTGACAAAGTTTTCAATTAGTCTGTCCTTCTCTTGGAGTTCAAATGGTAACATGATAGTTTTTCATGATTGATGAAGAAACAGAATAGAAGCAGAAAAAAAAGTTGCCAAAGTTATCAAATAGTTTCATGATTTCTATCTAATTCTTAGACATTCATGATGATGATGATGATGAATTTTGATGTGAGAATGATAAAATTTACTGCTCATTATGAGGAAAAAATTGTTTCATCGAATTGGACAAAAAAAAATTCATTCAGATACAAAATGAATGAGATTCGTTTTTATAAAGAAAAGAAAAAAGTTCTTACACTTTGCTTTCGACGATTTTTTAGATGAAGGTACCCATCGAATCGCAGTTAAATCTTCAGTCAGGGAAAAGAATCTTCGATATTGTCTCGTATTCGCCTTTATCTTTACCATGGTAACTCCATTCATCATCATTTGAAGACAGTCAAGTGCTGGAAGAGAAAACAAAAATGATTAATTGATGTAAAATATCAACATAATTATTGTCAACAGGAAAAGGAAAACAAAGTAACAATGATGATGCAATAAGTGGAATGATATTGATGATGGATCTCATATATATATAATATCTGAAGATAATTAAAATAATGAGATGTTGAGACGTATAGATATTCATTCATCATCATGTTCCATGAAGATAATACTGAGAATTCTTAAGTTTTCACCAGAATCTTTTTCTTATCCTGGTTAATGGGTTTGTTTACAGTTCGAGTTGTAAGTTAGTTTGGAAGGGGAAAAAAGTTCCATCACCAAATGAGAAATTATCTCAATTATTTCTGAGAATAATTTCTTTTAGTTAAATGATAATAAAATTCTGACTATCCGAAGCAATTTAAATGGCTTCTAATTTCTGGTTGACTCACCAAAAGCAATTTTTTGTAATAATATATTGATTGGGCTGTTAAATTGTTATCAACAATCAATTCACTTTGAACCTTCAGGTTGATTGTTGTCTAATAAGAAATTGTTAATGTTGATTGACATTCAATTGTTAATCATGATCAGAGGAAAATGTTTGACAATTACAATCATCAAGTAGAAATGTTATTTAAGTGACAAAGTTATAATCAACTCTGACATTTAATAGATGTAACAATTAGGTAAACATTGAGGATAACAATCAAACGATAATCGATTAGTAATAAAGAATATCCTAAATTGTTGCAAATTAATTTGATATGAGAACCGATTTAATGAACTTGCATGGGAACTCAATCGTTTTACATGTAAAGTTCATTTGCTCAGATCAAATTGAAACGAAAATTTTGACTTCTCACTTTGTGGTGCACATGAACTTGGAACTGAATTTTTTATCTCTTCTGTTACTTATTAATAATAAATCGAATTCATTTAGTTCAATTGTTCATGTTGATGATCATCAATATTTAGATTGAAATTATTTATCTCTAATCTCAGTCTACTGAGATTGGTTATCTCTTAATGTCATTTCAATAATTCACAATCAATATGATAATCGTACGAAACCATTTATTGATTATCAGTAAATTGTTGTTGATTGTTGATTGTAGATAGCTAATATTGAACATGATCACAAATAAATAAATCCCTTACGGGTTGTTACATGGAAAACATGACGATAAATCATTTCTTCATTCAATTTCGAATTTAGATCTTTTTTTTTCCATTTCCATCTAACCTTCGACAGTTTATTATTATTGATATTAGGTCAAAGTGTCAGAATGATGATTGGAATTATTATCGACTACATGAATGAAAAAGAGAGAAAATATTATTTACAGAAGATAAATAATATTCTAGTTCTCAGATCGAGTGAGAGAGAAAAATTTCTTCTATTGTAGAATTGATGATAAAAAGTTCTTATCATTATTACATCTGTTTACCTTATTTGAATTTTCTTTTCTGGCTCCATGAAAAAGTTTCTATTTCTTTTCGAAACCCTTAGGCCAAGGTTAGTCAGGATTCTTACAGAAATTCAGAGAATATCGAATTGGAATTGGAAGATTCCAATGTTTTCTTCTAATCGTCTTGTTCCAATCTTATTATCAATTCCATAGATATGTAATAATAATCTTTTTCTAATCATGATCCATTCAGTGATTCGTATGTTTATCTTTATATTATTATTATATGAGAATTGAAAGTTCTGAGAGAGAGAGACTGAAATTCTTACAAGAAAAAAAATCGATAAGTTTCATTTTTTTCCCTTCTCCGAAGGTTACATGATATCTTTTTGATTAAATTTGATATTGAACCAATTTTCACGATCACAATTCATTATCACCAATCGTAAAAGTGAACAACACAATTAATTAACTGTCACTATTAATTTAACCAAATCAACACTTGAGACAGTCTTCAAGTCTAATAAATCAAGTGTATCACCATCATGATAATAATCAACTAATCAGTAATTTCAAATTCAATTGACAGTAACAATATAACGTTGAAAAAAAGATGAGGATGAAAGTGAGTAGGTTGATAAAGATGAAAACAAAACGACAAATATTAATCGTTGTATTGGAATTGCTTAGATTTGCATATTGGATTTTCATCAAATCAACATTAGATTATCATTGAGTTGATTAACTTTCATGATAACCCAATTTTCTGGTTGAAGTTTCCCTGTCAAAATCAATCGATAACCTTAGCTAATGATAACAATTTAATAACAAGAGCCAAGAAGATAATTGATCAATTATTTAAACTAATTACGTTGATTAAGTTATTATGTCTTATTGGTAGTCTATTGAGCTTAATTGTTGAATTGTCTCTCTCTCTCTCTACGTTGAAAGTTACAATTGTATCAATGGTTAAAACTAATTGAATTAAGAGTAAAGAAGATTAAAATAAATTGTTTGAGATATGCAAAAGTATTAATATATTTATAAATGATCGTAATTTGTTTGATGGTAACAATTAACTTTTGGTTAGGGTAGAAATGGTAAAACAGTCAAATTGATTAAATTACCACTCACACACAAATGACAATCAAAGTTAATTCTGTCTAAAATATTATCAACTTTGAGATGCTCCCAAAGTTACACTCTAATTACAATAGAAATCAGAATCACAATCAAATAGTGATGATGATGAAGATAATGATCAAGTAGCGGTTGTTGTTGTTGTTGTTGTCGTTGTTGCTTCCTTTTTGCTGAGCCTATCAGGAAGATAATCTTGGCATGATGATGATGATCATCTGTAAACTGATTAAAATTGTTTCCACTTGGATGGTAATTGCAATAAAGAAGATTACAATTTAGTATCTTCATTTATCTTCATCCTCATGAGCATTGTGATGAAACCTTATTATTGAACAGACAGAGAGAGAGAGAGAGAGTCGATATTTAAATGAGATAAATCAACTAATCAATAAATTATCATCACAATTTATCATTAAACACCAATGGTATTGATGTATTATCATGTTAACAGAGTATTAAAAAAAGTCAATAAGGAAACAAAGGAAAAACTTTTTTTCTTCATTTACAGTTTACTATTTATATTATTGATCATTAATCACAATTGTTTAATGATAATAATCAAGATCATTGGACTGTTAATCAATTAATTAGACTGTATTTGTTATTAACCTTCATTGACGTAATTTAATACAACAATTAACCATAACAGATCAACTGGTGAGGTTTTACCGAGTTAATGATTAGTATCGTCATCGAATGGTTAACAATTAGATTGTTTTAAGTCTCGAATAAAAAAGAGATAGAAAAAATTGAAAGTTCTAAATTCGAATGACTAAAAATAAAAGTAAAAATAAACTTTGGAAAAAAAGAGAAAATAAAAAAAAAAGTTCTGAGATAAACATTAATCTCTTTTGCAAACTCGTAATCCCAATGAGCCAAATTAAAAACAAAGAAAATGAATACAAGAGTAAAGAGGAAGACAATTAATTGACAATTAAAACTGAAGGTTTATCTGTGGTTAATAGTTAATTGAATTAATTATTATCTCCATCATCATGTTTATCATTTAATCAGATCATAAATTGATTCTCAGTTTAAATGAATTGGAATGAAACTTGTAATTGAATCAAGTGTTTCAATGTTTCTCTCGGTTAATGTGTATTATTAGCTTTCTATTAGTTTGACTCTTCATTCAGATAAATTCAAGTTTCTTTCAGAATTTAGGAATTGGAATAGACTTTGAGAGTAACCATGAGACGATGATGATGATGATGATAATGAAGATAGAAAATAAATAAAGACTGAGGGAAAGAATAGAGAGGGTAGAAAGATAAAAAGTTCTAATATCGTATACAACATGCGTGAGTAAAGTTCTAGTTTATAAGATTATCATTGTAAAAGCGCGGGAAATGCTGATAATATGAAAAGAAAAACAGTCCAAATAACAAACTTTAACTTTCTGATGAAATAGCAATAAATTCAATTCAACTGTGAGTATTTTCAACTCCATGGTATTAATTCATTTTTGCATGAAGATGTGATGGACAAACAATAACAAGAAGATGAGGAAAATTAATTATTGATCTTGAATCAGCAGTTATTATTATTATTAGTTTTCTGTGTTTTTCCCATTAATCAAACAATTGATTTATATGAATAGTGAACAAAAAAAAGTGAATGATAAATTGATTGAAAATTCAGCAGAAAAACAGAAAACTGTCTGAATATAATTAATTTAGCTACAATGTTTTTATACTGATGATGATTGAAACTCTCAGTCTTTTTTTTTCATTGAGTATAATAAATAATCAAATAGTGAGAAGAAAACAAGTAATCACTGATTTACCTGTCAAGAGATAATTGTTACATCCTCATCACTATCACCAAGGGGAATATACATGAAGGAGAAAGAGGATGTGAAGGTGGGATGAAGATGAAGATGAAGATGAAGATGATGATGATTAGTTAACTTACGAGATGCTATTTTACGATCTCCTCCTGGATTAGCTGTTATACTATGGAAGCAAACTGATTTTGATGATTTATTGGTTAGATTGGGTGACGATTGTTTGAATGAGAAGACACTTTCAACTGTTTCCATTTGGTCTGTCTTATTGTTGATTTGATTATTGCCTGAATCAGCTGATGTTGGTGAAGATGAAGATGATTGTTTAAACTCACAAGATGAATTTAAATCAACACTTTCACTGTAACTTTTTTTTACATTGGTGGTTAAATCATTTTCCTGGTAATTGTTATACTCTGATGGAAGCACAGTTACCTCACCACCGGTACCAATATCTTCACCATCAATCAGAGCACATGGTGAATTTTTATCCATCATCAAGAAATGAGTTGAAACCCGATGATGATGATGATGATCAAATTACAATAAAAGTTAACCCAATGGTGAATATACAATTACAGAAACTAATTGAAGTGTTTACCTGCTATTGGGAACCATAAAAGTTACAAGTTAATTGTTGCATCAATTTCTCAAGATGATGATTGATAAGATAGCAGAGAGAGAGAGACAAAGAGATGCAGATGATGATAAATGATGCGAATATGATTTCGTTACTTGTTGTATTTGTATCTCTTTGATTATGATGGTGAAGATGATAAACTAACCCATCTTGTTGTTACTCTTCAACAATGTAACAAAACAAAAAAAGAAAACGAAACATCAACGTGACGAAAATGACGTTACAACGAACAAAATTTTTATTCTTCAATGTTAATCATTTATATTTATATTTCTCTCACTTTTTTTCTCTCTCTTTCTTTTCTTCTTCTTTTTCTGCTCTTCCTATTATTCATTCATTCATATTTTTTTTTGTTACACAGTTTTTCCTCTTTTTGTATTCACTATTCACTTCACCTTGTATTATATTGTTGATACCTTTCAATTGTTGGGGTGTTGTTGTTGTTGATGATGATGATATTTCCATGAAACTCAGCACAGGTTAATATTTATGTTACTTTTTGCTGATGATGATGCTTTCTCCCGGTTCTCGAACAACAAGAAAAGTATATAACATTAAATTTCAACGTAACTTTACCATGTTTTCTGGCTTACTGAGTATATTTTTATAGCTTCACAACGTATACAAAGTTCAGTGTGTGAGTGAGTGAGAGAGATGATGATGAGGAGGAAAAGAAGCAGATGATGATGATGAGAAAGTTTCTCTTTGTATTTCCCTGTTTCTTCCTGGCTCCATTTCTCTTTCTCTCTTTTTCTTGGTGTTTCTCACTTAATCGATCTTCGTATTCGACAGAATCTACTTTTTATCTCTCTCTCTCTCTCTCTCTCTCTCTCTCGTTTCTTCCTTTGGGGGTTTCTCTTTCTCCATTATCTTCTTGTTTCTGAATAAGTCACTAACGTTCTTTGAAAAGAGAGTAGAGACTCTCTCTCTCTCTCTCTCTCTCTCTCTCTCTCTGGGTTTCTTCAATACGACGAATCCATTCAGTCCTTCATATTCATCTCTCTGAGCTGCTCCAACATCATCTTCCTTATCATCTCTTTCTTTTGGTCTCTTTCGTTTGCAACTTTTTTCGTTCTACAAAATCACGTTATTAACATTATCTTCATCATCATCATTATAACGATTGATGATAATTCAAAACAGAAAAAAAATCCCATCAAAATTAAGACAATGAAGATGAAAATTCATCTTATTGAAATAATAAGACGGAGAGAGAAAATCTTATCATCCTCATCATCTTATGCAAATGATAAAACAAAATCGTTGAATAAAAATTTGATTAAAATCTAATCATTTCCATATCATTAATCACTTCACATGCTAATTGTGATAATTAGTGTATTTGGTTTACATTTGTCTTTGATATTCAATCATAATTGATTAACTTTATCCGTTGCAATTTGTTTGTTGTGATGCAATTTAACCGCAAGGTAATTATCTCTAATGATTAACAATTTAAATCTTCAACAATCAGTACACCAAAATAATAATCTAAATCTGATTAATGACTAAATTCATCTTAATCATTTTGTTTTATTTTTTACAAGCAAAATGTCAACATCAACACTGATCTTTTCCCATTGATTGTAAACAATTAGTTTAATCATTGAAGGTTAAATTATACTAATCAAGGATAGCAGTTGAATACTAATCAAAATCTCATTGAAAATATTGAAAAATTAAATCAAACTAATTGAAAATATTGATGATTTATTTTATCATTTCCATGGTTTTGAATATAATTGTTTTTTTCTTGGTGTTAATCACAATCAAGGTTTAATTGTTCTGGTTAATTCAGCAATTTAAAAGCAATAAAAGTTGCCCGGTTAAATTCATTGATCAGCTGATTGTTCATCAATCATTATGAACGATCATTGGTCAATTGTTTCAGATTTAATTGTTATTATTATTGATTCTAATTGTGATAAGTTTATTCAGTTATTTACAATTAGTTCTTGATGGTTGAAATTAACCATTGAATAGGGAGGAGAAAAAACTTTTAGCTCCATCGGTGATTGATTTTAATTGTGATCGAATCGTTTCCATCCATAAATTGTTCTGATCTGATTGAATGGATGATGATTGTTTCAATTTTGTATCAATTAATTGTAATAACTTTGAATTGTTCAATTTTTTTGAATTATTATCTATTCGAGGTGGAATTATTTTCTTAGTATCGTTAGTTTGGACACTTTTGCTTTTCGATTGCGCGATCAACAACTGGGAAGACGATTTGTTGATTATCGTTCGTTGAGTGTCACTTGAAGATCGGATGAATTGCTGTCGATTGGTGTAGGTTACTGAAGGTAATTGTTGACGATTTGGTAAATTGGCGAGATTGGCATAAGAGTTTGGTAAAAGATTCGATTTGACTCTAAGTGGCCTGAAACCGGTCCTATTTCGGTTCCACCGACGAAGAGCTGTTAGTGTTGAAGGTCGCGATCCAACATTTGGAATCATTTGTCCACTCGAAAGTGAACCAAATTGACTTAGAGAAGTTGTAAATCGATTCATCGTCGAATCTCCCATTTGAACATTTGGTGTAGGCCGATGAGTTTTAATCGATGAACAGGAACCTTGATAGCATCGTTTATCAATAGGGCCACATTGGGATCCTTCGAGTGCCGGGTGAGCCGGTGTTGCCCAGCTTCCAGATAGACACCAGAGTTCCCGACAAATGTTCTAATAGAATAAGAGTTGAGAGAGAAACAGAAAAAGCGAAAGCACAATTCGAGGAAAACATTTACTAATATTATCGAAGTAAAATATTGAAACAATATTACTAATGAATAAATGGTTCTATAGCTTTAGTGGAAGGTGAAAATCATGATGATGACGAAATAATCTCTACAAGATGAAAGGTTAATTCATTAGAACATGAAAATTAAGGTAAATAAAAATCGAAAGTTCTATTACATATCAAATGTACACTCTAACAATTTTGATTACTGATACTTAACATCTTATATTTCATGTTGATTATTATCAATTATTGATGACCATTGGTCAACTTTTTGTGCAAATAAAATCTAAAGGTTTAATGATGATAATTGATCTTGTTATCGATCATCATCATGCCCTCATTATTTTTGTCATGCAATTCATGTTATCGTTGTGTTATTATTAAAGTTTATTTAATGATTTCATGATGAAGCTCATGATAAGTGTAAATTTCAAGTTGATGATTTTGATATTTATCTTGAATGAGATGATCGGTAATAACAATAACGGTAAATGATACTTACACTAAAAGGCTCTTTAGATGAAATATAAGCCTTATACTGAGCTCCAAGTGCTAATTGACATTGTATATTGGGAGGAAACTGTTCACCCGGAAGTCTACCTGCTCGACGAAAATCAAGTTCCGCTGTTGGCATGGCAACGTTTTCCAAGCAACGACCATGTCCACGACTAGAAATTAGGAAATGGACAAAAAAGGTTAAAAATGAGAGAGAGAGAGATTTGAATAATAACGAATGTTCAATAATAGAAATGAGAGGTGACATTGCTTAAGTTGATTCTCTCATCAATCAATATATTATCATCTTCCATCTTCAGGACTCATCCACTTATCATCATCTGGCTCATTTTTATATCCAAAATCCATTGTCTGAATCACTACAAAGGTGAAACTGTTTTCATATTGTAACTGTTATCATGCTCATCATTTTCTCCATCATTGTTATCCTAGTTACCAGAATTTTATATCAGATAATATTTTCATTCTCTCTCCCCTTTTCATGGAAAAGATGAGAACAGAAAAGTTTTCATCAATTTTTCTCCTCTTTTTACAAGAATAAAATCATCTTCATAATGATGATCGAATAGACAAATGATGATGGAGAGAGAAAGAGACATTTCTCTCTCTCTCTCTCGTTACTGATCACTTGAAGGTATCATCATTCACTAGTGATTCGCATAAATGACTAGCGAATTACTATCATGAAAATTGTTTTTGTTCTCATTCAGAATATGAATAGAAAACTACTTCAGTATGAATAGTTGAAGATTTTATTCTTTCGGTACAGAAATTTCATCTCACATTTCAAATGGTTTTCTCTCGATGATCAATAAAGAAAGAGATACTTAAATAATCTTTGAAATGAATTGATTATGATTCCAATTCATTTGAATACGAATTAAAAGTTACTCATAATTTGAATTCATTATCATGGTGATTCAAGTATTCATATTTCATTTTTTTAGTTGCAACAGAAAAAATTATTCCATACTCATGTTTACTCTGAATTTTAGCAATGAAAAAATATCTGAATCGTTCATTTTTCTTACCATGATTAATATTATTCTTTGCATATAATTCTGATAAATCGGTTTCAACATTTTCTTTTGGTTCTTTTCATCTCTCATCTTGTAGTTCGAGTTTTTTTTTGTTGCTAATCGAAAGACAATCTCTCGAGTTCTAATATTCCAGGACTTTCTTTACTCGACTTGTTCATTTTTCTTGTTTTTCCGTCAAAGGAATATTCGTATTTCTCTCTCTCACTTTCTTTCTTTCTTTTTTTCTCTCTTCATGATTGATAAATTATTCTGATAAAATCAATGGAAATATTTTTTTTTGTCTTTCGTCCATTTTCATCTCTCAATTCATTCTGATTGAATTCTAGTGAACATGATGATTTATTCTCATTCCTATTTTCGCATCTCTCATTTCCGTTTCTAGTAATATTATCATAGAATTCAGTTTAGAACTATTTTTTTCTGTTCCGCTCCTCATTCAATTATTTAGATATGACATAATAATCAGCTTTAGATGAAGATGAGGATGAAAAAAGACGAGAAAAAATGAGGGAAAAAACGTAATCAGACTATAAAACTGGATAGAATACTAAGAATAGAAAGATTTTTTTTTCTCTTTCACCATTGAGAACAAGAACAATGGGTTCGATTTAAGATACAAACTAATAAAAAGAACAGAAAAACTTTGAATCGAATTCTAAAAAAAGAAAGAAATAAAACATTTCGAAACTTTTTCGAAAAGTTATTCTTATCATATCTAATGGAATCGAAAAGTTTTTACTGACCAAATGATGAGACTACAAAGTGATTCAATGGAAACTCAATTTCGCCACAAAATTGTATGTAGATTATGATAGACTATGATTATCTTTGCTCGAACTTGAATCGAGTTGAATTTCAAATCAATTTCTCTGAATATAGTTTACAGATCACATTCGTATTCCTATCAACTGAGACTCGAAATTATAACAAAATTGATAAAAAGTACAAAAAGTCATGATGGAAATTCAGAGTGAAAGATTTTCTTCCAGATATTTTTCCAATGTTATGTAACTTTGATGTGAAAACAATATGAAAAGCTCAACTCAGCTTTCTATTCATTTGTATCTCATGAAACTCAACAGAAAACTGTGTGAATGTTATTATTGAATATGAAATGAATTTCGAGTAAGAATCATGGATAGGTAAATATTATTTCACTTGATTGAGAAGAGGAAATTTCTCTTTTGTTACCTGTCAATGTCACCTCAAGTTTAGACTATCTTAAAGTTATCTTTCACTAGGAAGGAGAGAATTTCAATTGTGAGAAATAAATCAGAAAGAAAAATATTTCATCCGAATTATTATCAGAACTTTTTATTATTTCCTTCTCTCTCTCTCTTCTTTTCTTACAGCATCATTTTTATTCTTCCATAACCAAAGTATTGAGAGAATAGAATTGTATCTTTCAATATGTCAATGAAAATAATACAATGGATGATGAAATAATGATGATAAAAATGGTAGAAAAAGAAAATATCTAAGCTAAGAAGATAAATAGTTCTAACTCCCTGGAGAAATTGAGAACGAGTGGGAAAGAAAAATAATTCGATGATTATGCAAACAGTAAATCGACTAATGAACGAGTAGTATGACTTATATTTAGAACAGTAAAGAAGCAAAATTGGAATAATATGGATTTCGAATTGTTATTTTTTTCTTTCTTTTTCCCTTCTTTTGATTCTCTATTAATGATTCTGTTTGTTCATTGATTTGTGATTCCATCTGAGCCTCGTTCTTATCATCAATTGTTTCAAGTTTATTCAAATTCCTTTGAAATGATTGGGAAATTTTCCACTGTTTTTCTCATTCGAAGCAAAATAAGTTCTGTAAACATTAGCATGATATTCAAAAAAAGAAATTCAACTAAATATCAACTCGATTCTTAACTTAAGTACAGAGAGAGAGAGAGATCATCTCCATTTTCCATCCTCAGGAAATTACATTTTCGATAGATGCTATTAAACTTTATCTCTTTCTCATAGTTGATAGTTAGGGATAGAAAAGTTCTGAATGATATTTGTGATAATAACGATAATCGTTCATGTTAATATCTACTAATACTTACGATAAAAAGTTGGTTACATAAACATTACTACAGGGTGACCAGTTTACTTTACCAGGACCAGTTTTCTCAGACATTATGAATTTATCTGGATCACAATTGTTACCTCGACCATCATGAAGGATTCCAAGGCTTTTGTTTTTATTTTAGAATTGCAATTGTTTGATAATACAGAACCAAAAAATAGATAAACATCCAGGGAGGAAAAAAGAGGAAATAAAAAGAAAGAGAAAAATAGTTGCATCATCAATAGACATTAACATTACCTTGTCTTTGTTTCTTTATGGTCAGCACATTATGATGACCATTTTAGTTGTGTAATATCAAGATAAACATTTATGATATATTATTTATTACATTGAGAGTGTATCACTTACCTGTGGCCCATTTCATGAGCGATAACAAATGAAGCCTCGAAACTTTTACCTTCATTCAAGGTACAACTATAAGTTGGCTTGCACATCCCATTAACCCAAGCCAAGCCTTTTATTTGCCGATAATCATGATGATGAAAATTGTGAAAAGATGAGAAAAAAGTTTCATTCATTAAGAATCAAATTATTCAGTTTAGTTTACTCGTAATTTGTGATAATCAGGTAACTTTACATGGGAGATTTACCTAAGACTTTCTTGTTTTTCTTGCCTCCTCCGGTTGCTTTGTAAAGATCAAGTCTACATAAAGAGGAATTGGTTTTTTTTATTATTAGATTGATTAAGTTTCATCGAGTTAATTGTTTGGATATAAGTTGATTAGATTTGATCATTTGCTCCGACATCAATATCTTTATGATGAAATGTTTGATTACATGGAAAGTAAATGTAAGCAGATATTGGCTTTTTGTGGTGATTGTTATTATAATCAATAGGAAACTGTTTGATTCTGTCTGAGAGAGTGACTGTATGTGTGTGTTGATCATTTGATGATAACTGACAATCAAAGGGATGATTATCATCATCATCAAAATTAGAGTAGTAAAAGTTAAGGTAAGAATAAGGGAAATGGATAAGGTAAGGAAAAGGCAGATTAAACGAGGTGAAAGTGATGAGAATGAGAATGATTCTGATGATGATCAAAGGAAGAGAAAGTTTCTCAGTTGTCTTGAGTTTTACTTCAATTGAATCAATTGATTGTTCACTATTAACTATCTCCACAATAGATGATCAACCAACTGATCAGTCTGATGATTTTCACGCAAAGAGAAGGTTTTTTTTTCTTCTTCTTCTCATCTTCACCATTATCCTTTTTACTCAGATGATTCTGATGATCATAATGATGATCATTCGGAAAAAAAGGTATCATCCTATTCGTTGTTGCTCTTCTTCATCTTCAGGATGAATAATGACTTTGAGAGAGAGAGAGAGAAGATAAAATGATGAGGAAATAAAAAAAACTCGACAACATTATGATCATCAAAAGATCGTTTTTTTGTGATGATTCGAGTTCTTTTCCATCTCAAGAACTGTTCCCAACTATCAGTTGGAAACGAATATTTTCTCGATTAGATTAATCAGATTCTCGTAAATTCTCAGACTAAACAATAAGATTATTCAAATCAAATCTAAATTCTCAACCAATCAACCAAAAGATCACAATTAAATAATCGGGTTTAAACTCGCGAGCACAGTGACATCTATTGGTAGAAATTAATCCTAGGTTAATTTCTTCTCTTTCTATTAAGAACAAAAAAATAAAAGTTCTGATATTTCTCATCTTTCTTTCAATCGATTGAGAGAGTTTCATGATACTCACCCTGTTAACATGAGTGCATGGTCCCACCTTTGAGACCAATTTTCTGCTCGATGAAGTTTTGCTTGCCAGAGACAAAAGTTATCCAAATATTGGTCAATATCACCTGAGGCATCGTCAGGACCTTGATTACTTAATATCTCTAATTTGGTAATTACAATTTGAATTTGAGTTTCCATTGATGAATATTCATAAATTAACTGAACTTCATTCATGATTGACATGATTAAACGCTGAAGATCACCCAAATTACCCTCATACCTTTGGGCTAAACTTGAATCAACGAAAATCGCAGTCTCAATGGTATAGATTTTATTTAATGACCTTTTCAAACGTCCAGTGTGATTAAAATCATGTTGATTACTAATTAATTCATTGATTAAATTTTTACCAGTGTTTTATCATTATAATTAACTATTGATGTTTCATTGATAATCAGATAATCTTGAAACGCCTTTATCCTGTCCTCGTCATCTGAAATGGACAGATAATCACAATTAATCACAATCAGAAACAATTGTAATCCCGATGATTAACTTACTTATAAAAGTTAAATCACAATAATCAATTTCTAATGATTTATTGTTTGTCTTAATTGTTGTTACCGATGTTTTTGAAGTTATCATTGTTGTTGGAGGTGATAAATCAATGTAATCACTTTTAATTGTTGTTGTAATTGGTGGTATCAATGTAGATGGATTGATTAGTAAATCATTTCGCTAATTGTTTGGATGAAAGGGGGAAAAAGATTACATATTTCAATCAAATTAATTTTAATTGTCAACAGCAATTTAATCAACTTACTTCAATTGAACTTGTACTTGTTAATATTAAGTTAGTTGATAAAATTAGAAGGAGGAAAATTAATTGCTGGTGATTGTTAGTAATTTTGTTGTTAATTGTTGGCATTAAAAATTTAGATTCAATCCAATATTGACCAGAAACATAATCACAATTAAGGTAAATCCATTTGAACCAATTTTTGATGTACTTATTATCACAATTAAAAGTCATAGTGAACAATTTAATCAATAATTAAAGGTTGATATTTATCATTAATTAGATGATTAGACTGATTGAAGTAGAAATGGACAGTTAACAATTTAATCAATTTCCAAGGTTAATAATCATTATCACAATTTACTGACTATTGAGACACAATTTTGGCTCTTCTAGCAATTAACTGATCTAATTGTTGTTGATTCTTGATGTTGATTTCAATTTAGCAAAAGTTAATATGTCAACGGTGCTTGTTGATACTTTCACTGTTGATCATCAACCAAAATTATTACAATTAACTTATTATCCTTACGGACAATTATAATTGTGTCCATTTAGTTAAGGGGGTTAAATTTTAATTCTAATTGTAATTGTAATTGTTAACAGAGGAAGTTAATCATCATCATCATCATTGGTTAATCTAAAGGCGTGAAAATGAAACTTGAATGTAATTCAAATTTTCAATTTAACAATAAACTTTTCATTTGTATCTAATTGTTAAAAATTAGAGGTTTTAATTGTAAACCAAACAATTCAATGGGCTATTTAATTGTTAGAAATAAACTTTCACTGAATAACAATTTAATCATGATAATAATTACAATTGTCATTAGTAACAGGATGAGTTTGATATTAGTTTAATTTTTCACTGAAAAATAATGTTATTATATTAATCTTTGTATTGAACTTATTAATATACTGATAATCGTTATTAATAAATTGTCACAATTTAGGATAAGCTAATTGTTGACAATTTACAGATTTTGATCCATCGGAAATGGGAAAAGTTTATTAACAATTGAAAACTTTTACTTTTTCGGGTTATTTTGAAACTTTTTCAGTTTTAATCTTCATATTGATTATATGCAGTTGAAAATCATTACAACAATTAACAATTAAATTGAAACAATTAACATAACAAAGTAAGTTACAAGTTTTAAACAATCATTTCTAATTAGAATTAGAATCTTTTTTTTTCTTCTTCTTTTCTAATAAAATCAAAACACCGATTGATTAATAGCAATACTTTTGGTATCGATTGAATAATAATAATTGTGGTGATTTAATTTGATTCAGTTAGCATCTGATCAGCAACTGATTTAAGTTCATTCCATGAGAAGTGAATATCTTGTATCTCGGTTGATCGGGCGCAGATCGCAAATCTAATTATGTACTGGCCATTTATGCGACACGGGGTGATGAAGATTTTCTTATGATCGTTAATTGTTTTCACGTATTTTTCATTCAATTCATCAGATCCCTAAATTGTAAGACATTTCAAATGTTAATTAGTTTATTAATTGAGATCAATTTATGATTACGACTTACCTTCAATCTAAAGCAAACTAATCCAAGGACAACTGGATTTGTGATCTCAAATCGTTGATCAGTTTTCAGCAAATCCTCAAAATCATGAGCCAGTTTAACATGCTAACAATTTAAAGAATAATTAATTTAATCACTTTTCATCTAAATTACAATCAATGTTTAATTGTTTACCTTTCGGATGTATTCTTGTAATCCTTTGACTCCATAGATTCTCAATACGAACCACATTTTCAATGAACGGAATCGACGACCCAACGGAATTTGCCAATGCTAATTAATTGGAACAATCAATTTGAATGACAGTTAATTGATTATTGTGAAAATTTTCCATAGTTAAATAATTACCCGATAATCAGGAACTTGTCCTTGTTTATCATGTTTCAGGTAAAGTGGATCAACATTGAAAGCGCCTGCGAGTAGATTACGATTCTTGAGCCTGAACAATGAGACCAAAGTTCAATTAAACTCATTGAGCTTTTGATAAACGTGAATAAAATACTAACCATAAAGCTGAACAATCAAAATTGATTAGTAACCATTTATGAGGATTCATGTTGAAAGAATCAGCAAACTATGAAACAAAAGATTAGTTAATAAATATCGAAAGAAAAAAAAGTTTAATTCTAATCCGAAATGAGTGTTACTCATCATCTAATTGTTGGTGAAAAGTTTTCCATTCATTGATTAATCTGATAATGAATTTGATAATATTTTGTGAATGAATAATCAATGGAAATTGAATCATCAATATAAACATTATCATCTCTCACCTCAACACCATTGAGATAATGTTGATACTCAGGACAGATAAATGCTGAACCAGCATAAGCAGCATCAATATGCATCCAAATACCTTCCTGTTGACCTATTATCCATAATGATGATGATCATCATCATGAAGATGAAGAGAGAGAGAGAGAGAATAGAATAGAAAATAGAGTAAAAATATATTTAAGATTAAGTATCAGATAAGTTGAAGAAGAAGACACATTTTATGGATCAAGTTATTCCATGAGAGATGAGGGAAAAAAGGAAAAGATGAAGAAAAGTTGTCATGGAAACGGAAATGATGCTGAGATGGTGATTAAAGTGATATAATGATGATGATAAAAACTCACATATTTTACCAATCTCAGTGATATTGTCAAATGCACAGCTATTAGTGGTTCCTAAGGTGGCAACAACAAAGAATGGGATTAAACCTTTGGCTCGATCAGATTGAATTGCTTCGAGTAAAGTTGAACCTCGAAGAGATAGATTCTCATCTGGTTCGAGGCCGGAAATTTTGACTGCGGCTAAAAGACCAGCTCGTTCAACCGATGAATGAGATTGAGTTGAACAGTAAGCAACCAATTTATCCAATGATTTTGTTTCGTTGGACATTTTCCCTAATGCTTCACTTCGAGCTGCCAACATGGTGACAAGTGTAGCCTCACTTGCTGTTCCTTGAATTACTCCACCACCATTACCACCAGAGGAAAATAGAAACTCTTCCGGTAGATTTAACATCTTACCAAGCCAATCCATCATTGACATTTCCAATTCAGTACAGGCTGGACTTGCGATCTTCAAATGTCCATCAAAAGGGGAAAAGTAAACAATCAATTATAAATCAACATCAACAACCAGAAATCACCAGAAATGTCAATCACTGCAAAACATTCAAGTTACTCCTTAAATTATCAATTTGATTACCTGATTAGTACAATCTTGTTAGTAATTAAATTCTCAGGGTCTATTATCAATAATTAATAGAAACTATCAGATCATAATTGATACATAATCATTATATAATAAAGATACGATTAACATTTGATTGATACAAATAATAATAGAAAATCAATTAATTGTTTGTCTCGATTGATTTACACCTAATGTATCACTAAATTAGTAGCACTGAAAGTTAATCAATTGAACAATTTAGGTTGATAATCAATTCTTACCCAACTGAAACCAATACAACCCAAAGCACCGGTTAAAATGTCGGCCAAAATTGAGGGATATGAATTGGCCGTTGGGAAGTAAGCATGGAATCGAGGTGAGTGCCAATGTGTCATCTAAACGGGCGAAAAATTGACAATTAGAAAGACCTTAATTGTTATCGATTAAATTGGATAACAGAGATTAATTGAGTATCATTATCATCCATAGACATTCATGATCAAATTGGTTTCCCTGGTCTTGTGTGTTAATAGATTAAATTGAAGATTATCACAATCGAAATTGAATAATCAATAGATGAAATGATGAGATACAATTGAGATGATATTTGGTAAGAGGATAAATGTCTCTCTTTCTTTTGGATTCTCTTTCATTCTTAGCATCATTATCCGCATCACTTATTACACAACAAAAGGTAAATCATCCACTTCCTTTTCATCTCCCTATCAAAACCCTTAACTTCATCATCACAATCATAATTAACTCTGTCTACTTTTCTGTCTAATTTAACCTCACCCAATTTCTTTTTCTTTTCAATCATCTTTCCTGATTCTTTTCTCTCTCTCTCTCTTCCTTTTGGTGTCACTTTTACATTACAATGGAATCCAAATCAAAAAGATAGAAAACTTTATTACCATCGTTAGACAAAGTAACAGGTAACATTTGATGAATTTCATAACATTGAAAGTGAACTAAATCACTTTTACTTGGAAGATAACTTTTTCTTTCACTTTGATATTCAATCGTAATTGTGTCGTGTAAAAACTTACCCCTGGCATGATTAACTTTTCAATATCTTTGAAGATTTCAGGCCAAGTTTCACCTTGTTCCGGTGCTGAATCAGGCAAAAGTTTCTCCAGGTAAAAAGGTTCAACACTTGGTAAAACTGGACGATCTCTTATATTGTCCAGATAATCACAAACATAATCAACAAGTTGTTTTGAAGCTTCTCGGAATTGATTTGAGTCCATTATGTCAACAATCAATTTTACAATTAATTCCCGAAAGAAAATTACACAAATTTCAATTTAAAACCTTGAAAGCAACAATAATCAACTAGAAAACTGATCCCAAACTAATTTTCAATCAACGCTTTTCAAATAACAACAATCAAGTAGAAAAATTAATCACAAAGATTAACCATTAATGATGAATGTTTTTTACTCTAATTACGATACGTGGATGTATTTAGAAGGTTAAACTTAATTTTTAAAGAATCAATGAGGGAAAAAAGGTAGAACGTGACTGGAGCTTTAATTGTAACTGTTAATCAATTGTTTGGATTGGTCTTAAAATGGAAACTGATAAAATGAAGTGCAACTTTATTATTTTTTCAAGCAAGAAGCTCGAAAAGACCCTTACGGTCGTCATATGACTGAGCAGCCTCAAAGTGCTGCCCTCGGACGGTCATATACCTAACCGTTACAGATAATTCGATAAGCTTCAAGACAAAGTGTTTTATATTCTATTATTTCTTCTAATATTTCCATCTCTTTTGTGTTCCATTCCGTCACTTTCTTTTTTCTTATGCTTTTTATCTCCGGGAATCTTTCTTCAATCATTTTACATCTAAAGAAGCTGTGGTCGCTAGTTCCTGGTACTCTTTGGCAGCATGGAAAGTTATTTCTGTGTTCCGTTACCATTCTCAATATCTTCTTCTGTTTTGGGTTTAGGTGATCTCCAAGCGTCACATTCCATTTACTTAAGGTTGAATTTGATGTTTCGAATAATTTTTTTGTTTTTTGTCTTTCTTCCTCTTTTAGTGTTCGTTTTTGTGATATTATTGTCACTGGCCTTGTGTTTTGAGGTATATCCCATCCAATTTCTCTCTCCCACCAATTGCCCCATTCTTCATCTCTTGTTTCCTCTTCGTAGTACCATTCTCCTGGTTGTGAAAGTATCTGTCTTACTCCTCGTGCGAATGTCGATTCACCTTTATAATACTTGGTTGTTGTTGTGTCAAGGATAATTGTTGCTTGTTGTCGTCCCCATATGTTTAATAAAAGTTGGAGAGCAATTAGCTCTAGATCGTATTCTTGGATTATTGTGTTGTAGCTGAAGTTCCATATTCTTTCACTGTTGTTGTGTATTACTTTTATTTTCGGGTTTTTTCCTTGAGATATTTTGTATCTTATTCTGTGTTTTCCATCTGTTGTTTTCTTGTTTTCTATTTTTAGTATTGATATCCATTCTTCCTTAATCCACGATTCACTCGATCCTTTTCTGTTGTTCTGCCAAATTTTGGTTTCGATTCGATAGTTTTCCGTCCATAACGGATTTTTGTCTATAATCCAGTGGCCCCAGCGACTTTTTCTTTCTTCTCTAGTGTAGTTGTTGATGGCTGATCCGATTATTTCCACTATTTTTGCTTCATTAAGTGAGCTGCTCATTGCTAGTGGGAGGTAAGTATAAATCTTTGGCCACAGGTAGGATTGTATTAATAATTTTTTTATTTTTACTGGGAGATATTTAATCTTTGGCCAGTGGATTTTTCTTTGTTTAAATGTGTGTTCAGCTATGGTTTTGGTGTATTCTCTTTTCACTTTTGTGATTGCTATGTTTTTCCGTGAGTATTTGAAACCGACCACTTCACTTATCTCTTTGTTATTTTTTGTCATGATTTTCGTTTTTTCCAGGTTCAGATTAAGGTTAATTTCCTTGAGGTCCGTTTGTATCTGTTTTAGATATTCCTCGATTGTAGTTTCCGTTGATTCTGGAATGATTACCATCATATCATCTGCGAAAGCGTAGACTTTTATTCCTTTTCCCCACCACTTTCTTATACAATAATCGAGCGCGAATATGAATAGGAGAGGGCCAATGGATGTTCCCTGCGCGATGGTTGATGATGCTTTTGAAAATAATTTTTGGTTGTTGTCGTAGTATGTATACCAATGGTTTTCATTCAGTGAGTCGATAAGGCACATTGTTGATTCTCCGATGGCATTGGTCAGTCGAACTCGGATTGGTGTTAGGCTGACGGTATCAAAAGCGGTAGCTACATCCAATTGTATTATTGTTGTGTCTTTTCTGATATCTGGTTCCATCATTCTTCTGAAATAGTCTTCTCTTGTCGTTTGTTTCAGAAATGCAAATTGGGTATCAGGAAGGAGAAAATCTCGTGCTATTGCTTGTAATCTATTTGCTATAATCATATCAATCATTTTTAGTAGTTGATTTGGGGATCTGACCATTCGAACTTTACCATTTGGTTTCGGGACAAAACCACAGCCCAGTATCGTAACCGTGTTTGGTATGTGAGATATCTCGAATATTTTTTCTATCGTTTCCATTATTTGTGTGTGGTTTATCTTTAAAAATTTATTCCATGTTTTCACTGAAAAATTGTCGGCCGATAAACTTGAAGATTTTGATTTGTATTTCATTAGTGTTTGTTTTTCATATTCACTCAATGAACCTTTTATATTTTTTGGGTTGTCTCTTAATGATGGTTTATTCGTTGAGAAGTTGATTAACCATTCATTTCTGCTGTCAATTGTTATTTGGTTTTTCCAGTCTATGTCTTGTTTTGGCGAAAGTAAGTATTTGTATATCAGTGTCCAGAGTTTTCGTGGGTCTTTGGTTTTCAATGATTTTATCAGGTTGAATTTCTCTCTTTTTTTCTTCAATTTGTTGTCAATTTCTTCAAGATCGAGGATGTCTTTCATCGATCTATTTTCCCTCTTCAAAATTTGTCTTCGTGCTTTTTTAAGTCTGATGAATTTATTTTCTTTCGTCTTTTTTGTCTTCCATTTAGCGTTATTATCTGGGAAGTAAATGATTTCATGGCATTTTTGAACTAGTGGGTGATACTTGTTCCATTCATTCGAGTCAAATTGTATATTTTTCATCTTCATTTGCCAAGATCCGAAGTGTTTGTATTTCTTTGTTGTTCGTGTTAATTTTGGGCCTTTCTCGACTTCACAAGTGCATATTAATAAGAAGTGATCTGAGTTCACAATTTGTTTATTCACTTCCTCCGGTTTCATTTGCTCTGCTATAAATATCATATCGATTACATTGCTGTTGCCATGGCGGGTTGTTTCGAGTTTTTTGGATATTGGGACGAGTTTGAATTCGTTGAGTAGGCTTAGTAATATTGCATAATTTGGATTGGTGCTCTCTTTGTGTTTGGTTGTTAAATTATCTTGCCAGTAGCTGGTGGTTGTGTTGAGATCGCCCATGAGGATAATATTGTGATCTTTTCTCGTTCTCATTGTTTCTTTCATTGCTAACAGTTGGTTTTCCATTTCTTTTCCTCTTTTCCATGGGCGGAGATATACTGCGATTACGATCAATTTAAATCTTGGTATACGTATTATTGTAAGGTGGTCCGCTTTGTTGATGAAGTTTTCTACCATAAGGTCCTCAGAGTAAACTAGTACTTGGTCACCATTCCATTGGATTCCGTTGGTTTGAAACTCTTTGGTTATTGTTTTGGCATTTGGATCAGTTATGGAAGTAATAGAATAACTTTCCTTTATTGTTTCTCTTATTAACTGTTCAGTTACTTGAGGATTTTTTTGGGCATTAACGTGTTTAATTGTGAACTTCATTATGAGCTTGAGGTTTAACTACAATTTTATTTTGTTTGTGATTAGATACTGTTGATTTGTTTGTTTCCGTTTTTGATTTGAGAGCACGTGAGATTTCCAGAGTTCGGTAGTGACACCATCTATATTTTATTTTGATATTTATGAATTAATATTCAGTTTTGAATATTAATGTTAATTTCAATCTATTTAAATATCTAATCTTTTTGTGTTAATATTCAATTTTGAATATTAATGTTAATTTCAATCTATTTAAATATCTAATCTTTTTGCGTTAATATTCAATTTTGAATATTAATGTTAATTTCAATCTATTTAAATATCTAATCTTTTTGCGTTAATATTCAATTTTGAATATTAATGTTAATTTCAATCTATTTAAATATCTAATCTTTTTGCGTTAATATTCAATTTTGAATATTAATATTAATTTCAATCTATTCCAATATCTAATCTTTTTGCGTTAATATTCAATTTTGAATATTAGTATTAATTTCAATCTATGTCAATATTTAATTTCACTTAAGTATATCACTTGATTACAGAATGTTAATTTCAATTTATTTTAATATTTAATCTTTTGGTATTAATATTCGATTTTGAATATTAATTTCAATCTATTTCAATATTTAATTTCTTTGTGTTAATATTCCATTTTGAATATTAATGTTAATTTCAATCTATGTCAATATTTAATTTCTTTGTGTTAATATTCAATTTTGAATATTAATGTTAATTTCATATCTATTTATTTTTCTATTTGAGTTCATTGATTTATATTGGTACTTTTTATATTAATATTCAAAATTGAATATTAGTGTTAATTTCTATTGTTATTGATATGAATCTTTAAACATTTTGTATTCGATCATTTTGTGTTAATATTCAACAATTCAAAATTTTATTGTTTTAAGCTTTTTGTATCAATATTACTTTCAATTTATTTATATGTTTTAATTCAGTATATTTGTCGATTTGTTTATACCTTCGATTTGTGTTTTTGTTGTCTCACGATGTTTGATGTATTAGTTTGAGCATTGAGTATGGTATCCGGTGTGAATCAGTGAGCATTTGTTGCATTGTAAGTATGTTGCTTTTGGTGATATTCGTAGTTGTTTATTATTAACAATAATAATATTCTTTTCTTTTTTTATTTTATCGATTATGTTTACGTCGTTGGTTTGAACGATCGTCAGGAATTGTTCGTTTTTCTTTTTAATCTGAATGGTGATTGATTGTTGGTCACATAGGTTTTCGAATAGCGTCTTTACTTCATTTGCTTCGGGTTTGTCGTTACAGATTATCTCATAGTATCTCCATTTTATATGTATTACCGTAATGTTTATGTCTTCTAGTGATATTATCTCGTGAATGATGTTTTCGGGAGTATTTGTTGAAAGAGTAAGTTGCTTTCTTTGGCTTTTTTCACCTCGAATTTCTGTCATATATTTTTCAGTAATTATTTCTTTGATTTTCTCTTGTTGTAGTAGTCCTTTAAATGCGATGATTGTTGGATCATTTATGTTTTGTATTGTTGGCGGTTGGTTTGTTTTCTCTTTTATTATTTTTATTATTTTTTCCACAGCGTAAATATCATTTTTCACTTTTGTTGGTTCTTCTAACCATTGACAAGTGATTAAGTTTAATAATTGGATTAATTGTTCGATTTTGTATTCGTTATGTTGATCGCTATTGATTGCTTCAATGATTGGTATTATAGATGAGTAGTCAACATAGTTTTTGTTGTCGTTGATCATAGTTATCAACCAATTTAACATAACTAGGATTAATAATAATGATAAACAGTTTGTTTAGATTGATAGAGATTGCACGTGTAGAATGGTAGCGTGGTTTACTTGTTCTGGTTAATTTCCTTCCTCTATCTTTATTAACTAGTGCCATCTATAATTATGAATGGAACTTTTGGATTTGAGTATGAGAGAAGTTTTTATTGGTAGATATATGATTTGAGTTTAGCTTTTTTTAAAATTTATTTCTACATAAGTATATCACTTGATTGCAGAATGTTAATTTCAATTTATTTTAATATTTAATCTTTTGGTATTAATATTTGATTTTGAATATTAATTTCAATCTATTTCAATATTTAATTTCTTTGTGTTAATATTCAATTTTGAATATTAATGTCTATTTCAATGTTTAATCTTTTTGCGTTAATATTCAATTTTGAATATTAATAATAATTTCGATCTATTTCAATATTTAATCTTTTTGTGTTGATATTCAGTTTTGAATATTAATGTTAATTTCAATCTATTTAAATATCTAATCTTTTTGTGTTAATATTCAATTTTGAATATTAATGTAAATTTCAATTGATTTATTTCTTTAATCTTTTTGTATTAATATTCAGTAAATTTCAATTGATTTATTTCTTTTAATCTTTTTTATTAATATTCAGTTTTGAATATTAATGTAAATTTCTATTTCATTCATTTCTTCAATCTTTTTGTATTAATATTCAGTAAATTTCAATTGATTTATTTCTTTTAATCTTTTTTATTAATATTCAGTTTTGAATATTAATGTAAATTTCTATTTCATTCATTTCTTCAATCTTTTTGTGTTAATATTCAGTTTTGAATATTAATGTAAATTTCAATTGATTTATTTCTTTGATCTTTTTGTATTAATATTCAGTAAATTTCAATTGATTTATTTCTTTTAATCTTTTTGTATTAATATTCAGTTTTGAATATTAATGTAACTTTCAATTGATTTATTTCTTTAATCTTTTTGTGTTAATATTCAGTTTTGAATATTAATGTTAATTTCAATAAATTTCAATGTTTAATCTTTTTGCGTTAATATTCAATTTTGAATATTAGTAATAATTTCGATCTATTTCAATATTTAATCTTTTTGTGTTGATATTCAATTTTGAATATTAATGTTAATTTCAGTTTATTTTTATTTTTATATTTAATCTTTTTGTATCAATTTTCAACTTTGAATATTCATTTCCTTTGTTAGATCATTGAAATGAAAAATTTCAGTCAGTAAGTTTTCTTTATTCAGTTTTATTATCAATTTTGTTGGTCGAGATTTTTTGTTGTCATGGTGATAAACAGCGTGTTGGATTTTAGTTATCAACCAATCACATCAACAAGTACTCATATTCATAATCAATGTCCGAGATGCATAAAATCAATTCTGATCTATATAACATGCAGTCTTGGCTGTAAGCACCATGGTTTTCTCCACCACAGGAAGGGCATAGTTGCGTTTGTGATTTGCAATTCATCACCAGGTGTTGCCCTGAACATTTGACACATCGCAATTGATTTCTACACGTTCTCCTGGGGTGGCCAAATCGATGGCATAGTTTACATGAAAGTATAGGAAAATCATCCTTAACTTTGTAGTCAGATTGTCCCGACGACATTCGACCTCTTAGTCTTGTTTCAATCTGTGATCTGATTGATGGGGAGATTTCCATTACTAGACCAAATCGGTTCGAATTTAGTCCCATTTCAAATTTGTGTAATATTTTGTATTGTTTTGGGTCATAGAAACCATTCAGTTTCATCATTCGATCAATCATTGCTTCCCAACTTTCTTTTTGGGGTGGACGCACGAATGATATTTTTATTTGGGGTCGTTTCCATTTCACTATTTCCAATGTTAACTCGTTCGGTTGGTATCTGTTTATTAGATCTGCTCTTTCACTTTCTTTATTAAGTAAAATGACTGAACTATCCCTGAAAACCATTACTCTGAATGTGTATGGGAGGGACAGTTCAGCCAATTCTTTTGTTATTGTGTTTACCGATCGTAGGTCTCTTGGGCCTTCGATTTTAATTTTGTAATATCTTGTGGTTCCTGACCATTTCCACCAAGTTGCTTCCGGTTGGTATTTATGTTTTATGATGTTAGTTGCTTCATTTGTTCGTTTCCGTTTCGTTTGTTTTGTTTCTGATGAGTTATCCAGCTTATCCGATGGGTGAGTATCATTTTTTGCGAGGGCGGATGACGCTGTTGTATCTTTTTTTGATCTTTGTTTCATGGTTAGATTAATAAATCGGATGATCGATTTAATCCATTCCACTTCTTTTTTAAGAATTTTTTGATTCAATTCATCTAGTGGGTGAGCATATATCTTTTGTAAGATCAGAAGGTCTTGTTCCAAGCACGTTGTTTCGATTTGGTTTAGTTTAATTTGTATTTTTTCCTTTTGAAAGGCTGTCTTTTGGTTATTCTCCAGCATGAGGGAGATTCTCTTTTTGGTGGTTTCATAGTGGGTTATCTCTTCTTCCGTCAGGTTGCCGGCCTTAGGAAAGATAAACGCCTGAAATCAAATGTAATATTGTTCAATTAATTTTGTGCACTTGTAGGGTGGGAAGCACGTGTTTGAGGGTTTTTCCTCCATCATTTTCTTACCTTTTCGGCTTCTTGGGTACGTTCGATGTCTCGTGATTCGATGGACATTTTGGCACCAATCTAAGTGGGATTAGTAAAATCAACACCCTTTAAACAACAACAATCGAGTAGAAAAATTAATCACAAAGATCAACTATTAATGATGAACGTTTTTCACTCTAATTATGACACGTGGATCCGCAACAAGTAACTCGTTAAGACGCAGGATCAAATAACGAAGGTAAATTGCATCAGGAAGATAAAAGAGAGAGAGAGACAGAGAAATGATAAGATATTGAGTGAGAAGAGGAGCAATTGAGAGTGAGTGAGAAAACCATTGCTCTCTAATGATGTATCATTGGATAGAATGAGACATTAGAAGGAGATTTTCCAATTTTGATTGATACTCGATCAAATCATCATAAAGGATATTATGGATTTAGAAGCAACTCTTTAGATACCAATTTAAAATCCCGAATATTTTTTTCACAATTAATGAGTCACTAGTCTTAATTTGTTTCAATGTTAGAAGAGCCAAATAAATCATTAAATCTAACCTATTACCTGGTGGTTTTAGCGTCATTGGGATGTGTCTTATTGGTACTTTCGATTATTTTTCTGTGTTGTGTTGAGTGTTACAAATTACAAAATACGAGAAGGAGAAAATGGTGGGTTTCTAATGTGGCTGATGATCAAGAATCTGAGATAAGTTCGGGTGCGAAGCGTTCAGCCAAAGAGAGAGAATCGACCCCTGTAAGATCGTTACGATCTTTGTACAGATCATTTGGATTCCATTTCAGCTCTGGTAAAACGGTTTCAAGTGGTGAATCAAAATCATTGGGAAAATCGAGTTTAGTTCAGAAATAACAATAATAATACATCATGGTCATTCACTTTCTTGTAATTAATTAAAATTCATTCTCATTTTTTATCATCATCATCATCGTCTTATGGTTGCTCTCAAAGTCTATTCCAATTCCGTGATTCTGAAAGAAACTTGAATTTATCTGAATGAAGAGTCAAACTAATAGAAAGCTAATAATACACATTAACCGAGAGAAACATTGAAACACTTGATTGACAATCCAATGATCTTGATCATCAAACAATTGTGATTAATGATCAACAATAATGGATAATAAATAATAGATTGTAAATGAAGAAGAAAAGTGTTTCCTTGTTTCAATCTTCTTTACTCTTAATTCAATTGCAATTGTATTAATAGTTTTAACCATCGAAACAATTGAAACTTTTAAAGTACAGAGAGATAAATAGAGAGTGAGAGTGAGGAAGAGGGAGAGGGAGAGAGAGAGAGTTAAAAAAAATAAACATCTAAATTTAACCGATCAATGATGATAAATTTGATTGAGGTGATGTAATATTGTGGTGGTTATTAAAATGAGTATTCGATCGGCTTTTGGCTTGGAAAAATTGGCAAATTAATTGTTGATTTAAAAATTCAACTTTCTTGTAATTAATTAATTAAAATATCTAAAGTTGATGGCTTAAGTTCCCATTGAAACTTTGTCGTGAATTTCCTCTATACGTTGACAGAGCGACTTTGGAAGGGCCAATTTCCTCGTCGGAAGATAAATCGAAGGCTTGATTGACCATTCCATTGGCTCCATATGGATTTGGTGGTCGACGTTGTTTGGAATCTAATGTTGATCTATTTCTATTACGAATAAATTCATTAGCGATTCCAAGAGTTTGCATTCCGTGATCATCAGACTTCGCTCCCATCACTTCCTTACTTCGGCGTTCTAATGCTTTAAGTGTTTCCTTACGACGGATACCTCCAAGAATCGGCGTTGCAACTGAAATAAATTGAGTATAATCATGAATTAGTATTGATCAGAACATTTAATGGACCATTAATAAAGTACTTACTTCCATCTTGTTGAGCGGCTGAAAGTTTCATGAATCGTTGTCGGAAGGCAACGTCCAATGTTCCAGTTCGAGGCTTTTGTCTAGCGCGCTTCTCCAGCTTTTGAATAGTTTTTCTTCCAGCTATTCCATAAGTTGCATCTTCAGAATTCTCCTCGTCATTTAAACCTTTGAGTGTTTGTAATTGTCGAGCGATATCAATGGCATTTCGTTTCAGATCATCTTCACCAGAAATGTCATCACGTTTTGTTTGGAACAGATTAACGGAGGCCAACATGTGAGATAATGTTCCAAAACGATGGAAAAGCATACCGACCAATTGAATGACCAAAATTAATCCAAAGAAACCGACAAACACCAAACCAATAGGTTCCATTTCTAGATATTCTTTCTCGATTCGTATCTCATTTGTTTCCGGAACAAATGTAATATTCTCACGGACACCGTAAGGCCAATCAACATGAAGAATATCCTTGTTTAATTGTAGAATAAGTACCACGAGAACGAAAAGAGCATTTAACATAAAGAATGTGAAAACAACACGATTTCTTAATTCTTTCAGTTCAGCAGCAATTCGAGCCTGATGCTCTTTGTCTTGATCGATTGGATAAAGATACTTGGTGATCATTTCCTTCCAAAAAGCGACCTCAATATCGGCGAGATATTTAGTCTCACCATCTCTTAGATCTTTATCCTCAATCCAATATGGATTAGTCAAGTCATCGCGTTCATCTGCTTCAGCGATATCCTTGATGGACATATCATCGCTGTTAGAACCTAAACCGATTGATTCAGCGTCTTCATGTTCCTCGTCTTCCGTCACTGTCGATAAATTGTCTGAAAATCGAGCATTACGACCAATCGATGAACCTTTTCGTTTAACTCCAGTTAAAGGGTCAATATATTTCTCGAGGCTTGAAAGTTTCTCCGTCATTTCACTGAGATGTTGTTCAATTTTTAGTAAATGAATCTTCTCATCGTTCGGCTTAGGGTATGTACAGAAAGAACAACGGAAAAGATTTGCCAAACTAAATTCGATTGAACCATCTTCATCTTTACCATTTGAGTTAAGATTAAGAAAAGTCAACAGGTTGCCCTTCTTAATCTCTTCAGCCGCTTTCTTTTCTTCCTCCAATTCGGCTTTCGTTTTCTTTGTTTGTACCTCACGAGTTCCCCAGGTAACAACGTTCAAATTGATGAGAGAATAGATCATTAAAAGTAGATACATACAGGGAATCGAAAGGAAATAAAGTAAACATGGATAAAGACAGTGAAATTCTTGAGGATGTAGCAATGCCGCCACCACGAATGATCCCGACAGTGCGATAAAAAATATTGCTGAAGGTGAGGTGACACCATCTTCGGCCATTTGAATTGCAGTACCGACAAACACGGCCATCATTAATAGAGCATAACAAGCGGACATTATCTGAGCGGATAATATTTGTATATCATTTTTACAAGTGAAACAAATGATGATAAATAACAGAATTGGTACAATGTTGAAAACAAACGAGTCCCAATTGGAAATTCTGAATACAGCGACCATGGCTCCGACCAACATAAGGAAAATATTTCCAGGACCAAGAATAGTACCCGCCATTAACATTCCTTGGTAAACAATATATAACAATGAGATGTGATCATTAACGGCAACAGTACGTTTGTAATCTCCAAGAAGATCAAGAATATTGGCCATGGTTGATGGAGCCCATCGACGACGTTGAGTGTAAAACTCACCAAAACCTTCAGGACAATGAGTATAAGCATCAGCAGCGGCTGAATATTCAACTCGATATCCTCTTTGTAAGAGTAATGTACACAACCAACGATCTTCCCCTTGATCGTATTGAACATAATGTAAGGCTTCAACCGGCGGCGTGGTATATTTTTTCATCACATTATCATCCATCAAAGCTTTAGCACGGAAAAGTGAGAAACAACCTGGACTACAAAGTACACAACCAATCATATGTTCAGTGGCCTTTTGCAGCCAATGACCAACCGCGTATTCAAACTTTTGATACCAGGCCATGACACCGCTTCCTACTGGATGGATTCGACCACAGGCTGCGCCGAGATTTTTATTTTTCTTCATTAAATCGACTAATAGTTGAACGGCTTCCGGACGGAAATTAATATCTCCATCTAGAGTAAGAATGTAGGTGTTCTCGGCCATAGTTGCCTTTCGATTAACATCAATTGGTAGTTCCATTAATCGATGACCAAGTAGGTAGTACATGTACATAACCTGATTAGTAAAGATAGAAATATAAAATTAGATCATCTGTATAAGCGATTTAAAATAAATGTATTTGCATAATTGGTGCGAATTGATTACCTGACTCCAACGTTTTCGATGACGAATCTTCATTTTATCTTTCATGTGAATATAAAGTCGATTTCCTCCTGGTAAAATATATTCGAGTCTACCACCGTACGGGGTTGGATATTTGGTCGGCGATTTTAGCCTGATTTCACATTGATGGATGTTACTTGCCGCCGTATCGATAACGGAGATGAACTGTTTCACAAAACGATTGCAAACTTGATAATCATCATTTTCATCACACAATTCAAATGCATCATCGAAAATAATATGAACTAAGAAAGAAAGAAAGAGAGAGAGAAATTCAATTAAATTGCTAATGATAATCATTTCGAGTGTTTGAAAATATTATTACCTTCGAATTCATAATAATCGGGATCGACAACACGAAGATACTTTTGAGCTTTGTGACGAGCCGATTGATCAAAATCCATACGAAAAACTGATTTCAACATTTGGATCATTTCTTCAGAGGTTTCATGCCACATCGTCGCACATACCAAAATTTTGGTAATGTAATCAGTTGATTGTACGGTTGATTTTTTATCCTCAGGATGTTCTGATATTGTTTCATAGTGAATGGATTCTTGTAATGTATCAGGATCTCGTGTGGATTTATCAATATCACCCGCTTTAATTACTTCCTTATCATCACGTCGTCGATTAAGTATCATCGAGGTGTCAATTATAAGGCCACAGTACATTGGTGAGACGAAAAGTTTCTCGGTTGTCGCTAAACGTTCACATTTAGGATTAAATATGTGAAAGGTGATCCAAAATTGGCTAATATACATGATGACCCAAATTATACCGTGAAGATTGTAGAAAACACCATCAGTGAAGAAAGTATCGGCACTTGGGCAGGACCAAAACAGATAACGGGGAAGATATCGGTTAAGGGAGCAAGAATTTTCAAAATTTAGGACACAAAATTGTGCCAAGGCCATGGCAGTGACTGGAACTGAGAGGATTAATGGTGAGGCAAAGGAGATTCTCTGGATACAAATTTTACAGGCAAATTTACCGAAAACGTAGCAAAACCAAGAGGCACTTATTTGTAAGATTAACATCCAAATGGGTGCTGATGTTGACGCTGGCATCTCAAGCCATTCAGATTCAATTCCAACATTTGTATCAGATAGCGATTTTGAAAGATCTGAACGATCTCGAATGATGAGTATTTTATGAGATGTGAAAGCTGATTTAAACTGTGTGAACAAATATAAGGCTGAACCATCAACCAAAAGTCGGCAAACAATTGTCGCAATAAATATTAGAACAATTTTCCAAGTTGAAATGAAAATATAGATAAAATAACGAGATTTTTGTAAACTATCCTTAATCTGGGCCAATTTTTGTATCACACGAAAGGGAGACTTTTTATCAATGTAATTTTCCCACCAACCGATTGAGATTAACAATGAGGTAAGTGGAATGTAAATTGCAACTGGATTATCTGTTGATTCAGCTAAAGACCAGAGTATTAAACCGGAAAGTTGGGCACCGATGGAAAGTAAATCGAGTAAAGTTTTATAACCACGACCTGGTTCACCCGAATGACGAGAGAATAAGCTCAAACAACCAGGAATAAAACAGAAACAGTTGGTCAGAATTACGCCCTTGGTCACATCCAGCGAAGGTAATATCACAAAAACGAGCATAACAAGACCTATGGTGTGAAGTGTTTCTACTATGAAAATCTGTAAATGTTCAAAGAAGTTCAAGGAAAAAGAATTGGGATCATTATTATTATTTTCTAAATTCGGGGATAAGCGAAAAAGAGAAGACGAAAACTTACCAGGGAGAAAACTGATTTACTTGGTCTTCGAATAGACTTAAATGTGCATATCCTGGCAGCACGAAAAAGTGTCATTAACTCTGGGACAATTAGGACTGCTATAAGAGTCCAAATCCAGGCGACCCGTTCTGGATCGGTTAGGTTAAGAACAACCTCATACTTTTTATCACGATCTAAACTCGGTATTCCATGGCTACAGATGATTAGACCAGTACGATTTGGTCTTATAATGGAAGTCATAAAAAGTACTAATCCTTTTGAGAAAACAGAACAGGCAAGAACAACAATAAAGGTAATTAAATAAGCGCATAATTTTAACAATTTAAGTATCACATCGATCCATTCGGAACTAGAGGTCTCATCGTCATCAGGCGGCGGAGACACTACAAACACATCCCATTCTTTAACTGGTTCAGGTGGACTTCTAGTAAGACAAATAAGGAGAGAAATAAATATTTACCCAAACGAATAAAAGAAAAGTAAAGAAAATTTTCTCTTTCGAAAAATTTCCATAGATAGAATGACGGAAATGGTGAAAATTTCCCAAAGGTGAACCACCAGAGATACAAATAGGAGTCAAGAGAAAGTGACTTACTTGTATGGGTCAATCGTAGATTCAGGCTGATCGTCAATCACATGAGCCATTTTATTATTTGCCATTTTTGGTGAACCTGCCACGTTACCCGTCAAATTGGGTTCAAAAATGTTTCACGTTCACCGAAAAGAAAGAGAAAGAAAGAGAAGAGAAGAGAGAGAGAAACGTAACAAGATAGAAGATCTTAAGAAAAAGACAACACCAAAAGAATCAGGATAATCCAAAAAAGGCTCTCATTTCATCCGATCAGTTGAAACCATTGGCGAGAAGAAAACACTGCAAACATAGTTACCGGTGTGTAGAGAAACACATGTTTCCCTCCAAATTTTATTCTATTCTAAAATATTTAAAATGGAACAAAATTACAGAGAGAGAGAGAGAGAGAAAAAAGAAAACAAGTCAGGTCACTTTTGTTTATATTCTACCAAAAGATAGAAGAAGAAGAAGAAACAACAACAACAAACCAAGAGAAAAGAAAATGAGGTTAAGAAGAAAAAAGAATAAACTAAATTTTCTATTCTTTTTAAAGTTAAAACGATTAACTTAATCACTTTACACAAGGTAATCGAAAATATTCCATTGGTATTCAACTAATTGATTAAAACTAATTAAAAGAATTGAGAAAAATGAAAAGAAATTAAAAAACTGTAACTTGTCTTGTAAACGAGAAAAAAAGTTCAACATAAACAGAAAACTTTAAAATCTTAATCTCACTGAACCAGTTTTTCCCCTTCTCATTATCTCTCTTCTTTTTTCCCCCTTTTCTTCATCTTCTTAACCCGAATGACCTAAAGTTTTTTTGGAATAGAAAATAAAAAAATAACTGAATCAGTCGCCATTTTCATTTACTATCAATTGATTGTGTGAGTGAGTGAGTGTTTCTTGGGTGGAGGTTTAAACATTTTAATAATAATTAACTTTCCGATCATACGAAATGAGCAACAATCCAACCTGATTAAGTTAATTGTAGTAAATCATTTCCTTCTTGATGATCTAATCTCAATAATGAAGGAGAAACTTTTTCATTCAATCAACTATTTAAATCAAATTTAATTTGATTGTTTACATGAAAATCGTTAATCTATTATCATGATTAACTTTTTCCAACGAGAAAAGTTTTGTTTACTTTTTTTTTGGCTTCGAAAAGTTTTCGTAACTTTTAATGTTAATTGTTATTGATACAATTAGTTGATTCCATTTGGTTTCTCTTAATCGTTTAGATAATTTAATCTCACATGAGTTTTTGTTTCGCCATTGATTGTAATTAAATTGTTAATCATAATTAACTCCTTTCGGCTAAAAGGAGTGAAGATTTTTGTCAACATCGATTTACCTTCAGGGGAAAAGTTTTTAATCTTGTTGATTGTTGATTTTAATTCTGAGTTAATCAAGGACATTTTCTTTAATTAATCTTGATCGTAATTTGATTTATTGTTGATTGTGATTCCATAATGATTATGATTACGATTATTGTTCAATAATTTGTTTCAATTGTTACCTTTTTTTTTGTTACTCTCAATTGTTTTCACTAATCACAATTAACTCACATCCTTTGACAATTAAGGTGTTAATAGATATGATTAATCATCATTAAAGTTAATCAAGGTTAATTATCTTGGTGACGGAAATGATTCAATCAATTATTGTTAACCAAAAAATGATTATAATTAATTAAAACATTTAAATATAAAACCAATCATCAATAGTAATGATTATCGGTTAATTTGGTTAAATTAACAAATTGTCAACATGATTAGTTAACTATTACAATAACAATTAAATATTTTTGTCACTATTTAAAAGTTAATCATAGTGAATCAGGTTATTAAATGATTGACTGAACAATCAACAATCAACAATCAATATCTTCCTTTAATCATTTCAACAGTTAGTTCTGGTTCATTAAGAGATTAATTTTTTTTCACAATTAAATCAACTTTTTTCGTAATCATAGTTACAACAATTAACTAATCATGAATAAAATTTTCGCTTTAAATTAGCAAAAATATCCACAATCAATAGGTTTGTGACAATGATTGCCAACTAATCAGCTAATTGTTGATGACAAAAAAAAACAACTCAAACCGAAACTGTAACTTCCTGATTAATATTAAAATCAATTAAATCATCTAAACACTTGCAATTGAGTTAATTGTTGTCATCATTGTGGAAAATTAATCCATAGACAACAATCAGTTTCATCTAATTGCCTCGTTTCAGTTAATAACAATAACAATCAACCTGTTGATTGTAATTTTCAAGCTTCTTTCATCAGATTAATATTATTGGTTCAATAGTTTTGGAATTCAAGTTATTCAGTTAATTGTTTATCATTAAACCAGTTTCATGATCCATAACATCAATATATCTTCATGATAGTGAATGTTATTCCATTAATCTTAAAACTGGATTAACTTTTGATTGTGTGTGTGTGTGTGGATCATGATGAACATTAATCACCACGAAGAGAAAACAATGATTGAAAAAAACGATTCAGACAATCGGAAATCATGGTGATTATCAGGGTCACGAATTCAATTTGAAAAATTGACATTTAAGATTATGTAACAATCACTTTTTGTAGTAATATTTAGTTACATTTATGTTAGCATATCAATTGATTGTGGCTTTTATTTTTGTCTTTTCATTTTGTTTAGCTAACGGGACTTATTGGTAAGGCTACTTTACAAGTGTAGGAGAAACTAATTGTTTACCATTTACAGGATTCTGACTTTGCATCAATGTTGAGAAATTTGGACGAAACAATCATGGAAACTGAAACCAGCAGCACAAAACAGGGATGTCCGTTGTTTTTGGACAAAATAAGTGGAAAAAGAAACTAATATATGAATTTGAATTTGAATATTGTCAACGGGTCCTCCTTGAACTCAAGTCAGGCTAATACCATCAAATCCTTAAGATTTTTGAACAAATTATGAGATTTTAACGAAAGTATCATACGAAATACCAAACCCTAAAGATTGCGGGAGCTGGGGAACAATACAAAAAAGCTTATTGGAAATTTAAGTTACATAAATGGGATAAAACTGAATAACAGTTTTTAAGACTGGTTTAATAACCACAACCATTAACATTTATATCAAGAGGTTTTCGATTATATTGGATAATTATTGGTGTTTTTCAATGGCAGCTTTGAGATTGGCTTCATTGGCTCCTGACATATCGAAAACGCGTTTACCATCCTTCAAAAAGACAAAGGTTGGCATAACAGTGACATTGTATTCCTCTGCGATGGCCTGGATGAAGGATTAAGATATTGTATTAAATCACTTGGTAATTGATTAAAAAGATTTAAATTAATCCGGTTTTTCAAGTTACATCATAATGAAAGGTGCATGCATAGAGAAGGGAAATATATTATCCAAAAGAGTGTAGATACAATCAAAATTGATAAGCATCCAAAGTCTCTGTACTTAATTTGACCTTCAACGTTTAATTAAAGGTTGACAGACAAATTAAGTACCATAGACACATTGACATGTGAACAAGTGGTTGATGAGATACACAAATTCAAATGAATTGTAACACAAAAAAGAAACACTGATGATTAGGATTAATAGACAGGTCGAGATTAGAAGGTTACAATTACCTCATTTTCATCAACATCGATCTTGATGAATGTCACTTTGTCTGACTCGGCGGCCATTTTGTCGATAACTGGTGAGATGTTACGACAAGGTCCACACCAAGTTGCGAAAAAATCAATGACAACCAATTTAGCCCCAGCATTTTTGATCGCCTCATCCAAATTAGCCTAATTAAAAAGAAATCAATCAAAAAATTGATCCAAATAAAAGAAGAAAAAAAAAGAAGAACCCATTAGATTAACAACAATACAACAAGACAGCGATTGATTGACAAAAACAATCAATCAATCAAAGAATAGATTTTGAAACTTACCTTTCCTGTAATGTGAAGAGCCATTTCAATTTAGTAACAGATAATTGAATAGTCCGAGTAGATTGAGAAAACAGAGTAAAAGTAACTAATGCAAATACAAAAGAAAAAAGAAAAAAAAAGAAAAAACTGTTAACTGAATAGAGAAATTGAAACAATTATGTAGAATAGAATTCAGGTGATAACAGTTGATTATGTGAGTAAAAGAGGAGGTGGTTGTGATTAATTGTACCAAGAGAATCACAAAGAGACAACAATTAACAAATTAAGTGTGAGACAACTTACCTGGAGAATTAAATTATCCTAGTGAAGGTAATACAAGTTCCTTACTCTTGGGTGTGAAGAATCAGTAGAAAGACAAACCAACCTGTTCTTAGAGGTTTTAAAGAGAGAAAAGAAGAGAAAAAAATAGAAAATGAATCTCTTTCTTTTCTCAACGAGAGATAAACTAGAAAGAGAAGAGAAAAAGAGAAAGAGAGAGAGAGAGAGAGAGAGTCACACCCTAACTACAGTTGAGAAAAGAGAAAAATTTCAAAATGATCAACACTAATTAACCTATTAAAGAATATTGATTGGTTAACAAAAGATAAACAAACAAGTATAATCAAGGAAAAAAAATTCTTTTGTTTTCTCTTTTCTCTGTCTACAATTTTCTTCTCTTTCTTTTATCTCTGTCGACAGAAACCCTTTTATGGATCTTGTTTACTTTTGATTTCATCTTTTTCTCTACCATTTTGATTGCGTGATTAAAATTGATCGTTTTCCGTTTTTTTTTTCAATCAACTGTATTTACTCATCAAAATGATTAACTTTTTTTCTGTCTATTGTTGATTAATCACCTTTGATATCTATGAATTGTCATTAACCATCGTCATCGTAATTATCTACCATTAGATATCCATGATTGTTCAATTCTCATTATCCGTTTTAATTATCCTTCTCATTGAGGATTTTTGCTAACAATTTGATCAACTTGTACTTGATGAGTTGATTAATTGTACTGTTATAAACTCAATTTAAATTTGTTCACTTCAATTATCTTAAGATTCAATTAGGGAAAGTTGATCGTTTTTGTTATATTGGTTGTTTATTGATTCCTCTTGGGTTTCTTTGGGTTATTTTAACCCGATTGTTATTTTATGGATTTACAATTTATGATTCATTTAATTGCGGAATTACAATTTTCTCAATTGAGGTCAATTTAGTATTATTATTATCTAAATGAAAAACATTCATTATGTCAACATGGTGATTAGTTGGGAAAAAGAGAGAGATCAATTCGTAGTTTTGTCTATTCCAATACAATGATTATGTTTTCAATTTATTGATTGATACAATTAATCTCACTTAACATTGATTTTCTTTGTATCCAAATCAATACACATTCAATTAAACATTTAAGGATAAGTTATGCAAAAAAAAGTGAGTTAATTGTTACAAAAGAGAAAATTGAAAACTTTATGTTAACTTATTGTCAGTTATTTTCGTCGATGTTTTTTGACATTCTATCGGTAACTATGAGTTCTGGAGACTTGAAACTTGATCGGTATGAGTTTGATTGATACTCAATCGGCATGTTGGAAGACCAAAGTCATTTAGGTCATCAATGAAATGACTCGTTCGAAGGTCATTTCATAAAAGAGTCTAATCTAAACCACTAGGGTCAAGGTTTATGAGCGAAATGTGATTATATTAAAAAGAAAGAGAAAACAAGCGGCGAATCTCTCAGGTCACAATTTTCGCGAGTCCGTTTACTTTTCAATCTCTTTTGTCTACTCTGGAATACTATTGGATTGGACTGTAGCTATTTGGAGAGTCGTGTCAAATGGGACATTGCGACCTTAAAATCACATTGATTAGCAAATAATCTGTGTTTTTTTCTTGTAAAAAGTTCAGTTGTACGTTGCCGATGAAGCTGTCGCGAGGCTTACGAGTGATCTCAATTAATGGTCACTTGCATCACCTTTCGCTCTCACTGGTTTGCATCGGGTACAAGTCTTAACATCGGTCGTGGTGGTAAGATTGAGGCTCCAAGTTAGACAAGAATGAGTACCAATAATTTGATCCAATTACCTTTGATATTTATTCCAATACAATGATGTTTTCAATTTGTCAATCGATTAATTTATTGTACCTCACTTAGCATTGATTTTCTTTGTATCCAAATCAATACACATTCAATAAGTATTACAAAAGTAATTTTTTCCAATAAACATTCAAGTTATTGAAAAAAGTTAATGAGTTAATTGTTACAAAAAGAGACGGTAAATTGAAAACCAAGTTGTTAATAAGAAACCTTGAAAATCACAATCTTTTATCAGGTTAGACAAAATAGTTTCAATTGAAAGATTAACAGTTAATAATCAATCAAACTACTAATTTAATGGTGAGAGTGTAAATCCAATTCAATCAGATAAAATTGTAACAACGAATAACCAAAATATTGGAAGAGCGAAAAAATCAATTCAGTGTTAATTGTTGGCATGGAAAAGATTAATCCTGATAATGCTAATTTCCAGGGTTTACAGGTCAATTTTGGAGGAACAAATGATTCAGGATCTAAAAGTGATTAAAAAGAACACAATGATTAATAAATTGTTTTCGAATAGTAGGAGAGACAATTGATTAAGAATCGAAATTGAAGTTTACCTTTTAAACATCGAGATGCTAAACTTTGAGCTCTTTTGATTTTATTGATCGGCGTTTGATCGAGCGATTGAATAGATTCTTCGGGGTCAGGCCAGATTATTTTAACCTGAGTTTCGATAAAATCAAGAAGTGCCGATAAATCAGTTTGACACCAAGAAGCGTCTTCACATTTATCATAAAAAAATAACCAACGAATCAAAGATTTCGCTTCTTCCGTTAAGGCGATACAACTTTCAATCATTTCCTTTATCAATTTACGAAGAGCAAAATCTTCATTGGCACTTCCTTCCTTGAGGGAATATTTCTTCAAGTGTTTCTTATTCTTATGACGAGTCTTTCGAGTGGCTAATGAGATCACATCACCTTTGGATTTAGCTGATCGTGAGTTTGATGAGACTGATGAAGAATCAGAAATGGAAGATGTATCAGAAAATAGATCATGTTCGTCATCCACTAGATTGTCCTCGTTTTCTAAAGTTTTTTGTTTCGTCTCCTCGACAAACTTTAATCGATCAATTTTCTTCCAATTCAGATCGTTTTTCACTAACAACCGAAAGAAAAATAAACGCTTCTCTTGCTAATTCATCTTCCAAAGTACTTTTGATAACATTATAGATTTTAGTTCCACTTGGTTCCATTCCTAGTAGCCTGTTGGCCTCACCCCAATGGTGACCTTTAATTAGCGTATAAATGGCGGCGTGTTTATCTTTAAGGTAATTTTCTTGTATATAAGCAGCATCCAAGTGTTTATTATCGGTCAGTAATCGGGTAACAAATAATCGGCACAATGAGATACAATCGTAATCCTCTAATGAGAACGCAAGTTCAATTGCTATTTGCCAATTTTCTGATAACTGATAAGCTTTAATTGCATTGGTAATTGATTTAGCCTTTTGATAGGCAATACCGGCCTCTTCGTAGTATCGTTTAATCAACAGGTAGTCAGCAAACATTTCCCAAATACTTTGTATCCATGGATGAGTCGGTGATATGATTTTAACTGCTGACCAAAAGAGTTTGTTGTTCTTGATGAAATTTAAACATTCATCACGATGATCGTCACTGGTTAAACTGTTCATATTGACCAAAGCTTTTTCATTCCTTTTAAGATCAACGTCAATCTTAAATTGTCGATAATAGGGATTCTCGTAAGCTCGAATTTTATTAAGATAGGCATGATATTCTTTCGGGTCTTTGTTGGATTTTGCAGCAACCATGAGAAAAATATCAAAATCATATGTTCCAAGAGCTTCTTTGTAAAGCTTTTCAATGTCGATTAGATAGTTAAGGTATCTAAGAGCTTCGTCTTGAACTTTTCCGGTTCCTTTGTCGAAAATCATCTTCAAAGCTTGACCAATTTGAGGTGGATCATCTTTGACGAAAGTCACCAAGATGGGGATGAAATAACGTTCTGGGTCCATTTGCGTCATTACTTTTCTCATTTCGGAGCAAACGAGAGCCAATTTGTTTGAACTTGAACACTCTTCAAGATAAGCATATTTATACATGGACCGAGTTATTTGCTCACTCGATAGTTCAGATAAAAAGAGACAAATATCTTGAACATCACTTCCTATTTGGCTGATTAAAGTTTCTACATTTTCTGTGAAATTTTTGAATTCATGATCAACCAATAGATTCAGATTAATTCGATGTCGTTTCATCATGTTAAATGCGATTCCATACTGTTTACATGACAAAAGTTGCTTCAAAAGGTCCAATAGTATAACTCGAGGATGAATTGATTCCAGATTCCCTCTGGGCATTTGAAGGATAACTCGAGCATCCTCTTGGATAGAAATTACAAGTTTTGATCTTCTCTCAATGCTTCGAGGTTCATCTCTTGGATCCAAGCCCGTTGGTAAAACTTCACTCCAGAAATAATCGTCCAAATAATTGCACCGAAGTAGATTATCATTTCCAGTAGAAATCAGGAACTTTTCCTGATGGATTAAGAATGAAGAACAAGAGTTTTTCATGAACGGCTTTTCATCTAAATACAAAGTTCCTTCTCTAGATAGTCCAACCAAGTGGAAATTATCAACAATCGTCATGGTCACTAATTTAGAAGGTAGATTGAACCAATCACAAATGTATGATTCGCCAATAGATGCCTGTTTGGCAGAAAGATCAGCGAGTTGCATGGCAATCAATCTCGACGGTTCATGGTAATCAAGAATCAGAACCTCATCGTCGAGATCTCCGATTTTAATGATCTTTCCATCACTTAATGAAATTTGTAGTAATTCATCTTTCCTAGAGCCTTGTTTTCTTATTGCGATTAATGATGAGTCACTGATAAGGCGCAAATGATGAAGTCCAAATGCATGAGGAAGTCGGAATAAAATCTTGGTCGAAATGGATCCGATTGCAGTGTTTCTTACATTGGTTTCAACTGGAATTTCAGATTGACCATCAGATTGGACCAATTTGAACACAATCAGTTCACCATCACAGGTATAAGATATAATGATTTCAGGTGAGTGAACGTGAATCTCATTAATTGGTTTCTCAAAGATAATCGAATATGCAGACATTGGTGGTGGTATATTGACACGATCAAAAGGTGTTATTTGTAGTTTAAACCCATCAATTACGGCGGCAGTACCTTTAGAGTAATCGGTAGCCCAATTGTATTTATATTGTTTCATTGATCCACTTGAAGTAAATATGGAAAAGGTCAATTGATCAGATGGATTCCAAATGACCAATTCAACATCAAAATCGGTAAACTTGGAAAAATGTTTTAAATAGTAATGATAATTTCTCTCAGTGTAAAGGTAAATGATGTGTTGCTTTATAAGATCTTGATATCCATGGACAAGAAGGATTGATGAATCTGTTGACCAAATTAAATTTTTAATAATAAAGACACCTTGAGATGGAGGAAGAGTAAATTGCCCGTGTCTAAGTCCATTCTTTTCAAAAAAAACGATTTGATGAACATTTTGGTGAAATCGCGATGAAGCAATTAGATTTCCTTCTGGTCTCCATGCTAAGGAATGTTCAAGACCAGCGACATATTCACTCTCGTATTGGAGTAGCCCTTCATTGCTCCAAATTCTTAGAACTCGATAATCTTGAAAAAGGAAAAAAAGTATAATTAAACTGAATAAAAGAAACAATAACAATTCGAGTTACTTTTATCGGGATGAATAGCAGAAGTGACGAAGTAATGTCCATCTCCACGCCAACAAATTCGCTTTTTCTGATCATCCCAGGCAACTGCAGGTTCATCAGGCTAAATTTAAAACGAAAGAAAGACAATTTAATCACTGTTAATTATTTTGAGTGAATTTACTTCTCCAGTAATTTTAGCAGCTTCTTTTCCTTCTGATCCATGGAATTGCGTTTTCTTTGAGCCCCAACCAACATCCACCTTTTGAATGCACTCAGAGTGATCGGCATAAAGATCTTTCTCAACCAAGACATTGAAAAATCTTGTAAAGAGAAAGAGTTTATCTTTCTTGGAAATTAAAGCGACACTTTCTTGATCAGGGCTTGATGAAACAGCGGCAATTCCTTCCTCCACAGATCCTAGAAAGTTAATCTTTTCTGATTCAAGTGAATACGAAAGAATAAAACCATTTTCTAAATAGATATGTAGAATATTGCTTTCATCAAAAAGGTCGATATGTAAAGCTGAAGAGCCAATAGCTTTTTCATGGTCGATAAATGTGAGAATTTTCACCTAGAAAAGAAAAGAAAAGAAAATAAAAGAAAATAAACATAATCAACAACTGATAAACAGAATATGTTTAAAATCTCACCTCTTTAGACTTTGATTGTATTGACACAATCTCATTTGATTTAGTTACTGCATAAATTTTATTATGAAAAGAGTCAATTGTAAAACAGGAAAGACCAGAAGATAAATTTGAATCATCGATTTCACTGAAAGATGAAAATTTCAAGTTTTCCATATCTGATATACAATCAAACAATTAATGTTAATTAGACTTGCTTGACTTGATCAAAATTCTATTTAATTACCTTATCAATAGAAGGAAACCAATGAGGTAGATAAGTGAGGAAACAGTTGAGATTGAAACAAAATGAAAAACTAATTGTTAACAAACAATTTAAATGCTAACCAATTTAGTAATAAACAAGTAGTGATCACAGGTAAAGATGATGTGATTAAAAGGAGGTAGTAAACAATTTCCATCTAAAAGTTCATAATTTACCAAAGAGTATAGAGATTTTTATTCTTTGGTTCACATGTAAACAAGAAATTTTCTTGAAGAAAATCTCTCAGCTGAAAACATTGAGCTGATTTTTTCGGCTCAAGAGTCGATGGGTTGGAAGAAGAAAAAATTCAATTCGAATTTCGAACCAATTTAATCAAACAATTAGCAATTTAATGGAAATCAATTAATGGGCAATAAAACTAATCTACATCATTTAGATGTTGACTTGAATTCCAAAGGTGATCATGAAAATCGTTTTGTTGATCAACAATCAAGATAATTAGTAATTTTGTATCTTCATTGTTTGTCATTTAGATCAACTTTTTCAAATTGATTTCTAATTATAACTTAATGGTCTTATTGGTAAGACTCAGGATATGTCCGTCAGCTCGATATTTTCACTTTGAGCTGATATTTTTCGGCTTAAAGTTCAAGCTACATATGAAAATGGACTTAATTGTTCAGTTAATTGTGTTTAAATTTAAATATGTAATGATTAAGAAATGATGATATTCAAAGGAATCTCCATTGAGGATCTTAATTATAGTGTTGCTATGTGATAATCAAAAACAACCAAGAAAATAAATAAATGACAATACTTATTAATATTTGCAACAATTTAATATTAAGTGATTAAAGTTCAACTATGGTTTCGTTAACAATTAAAAGTTACACTGTTAAGGATATTAGGTTTCCAACTTCATTAGATAAACATGGGAGTGATGCAATGGTAAAGTAATTTAATAGTAATTTTTAATCAATCAAGAGTTAATTGTAATGTTTAATTGTTGACCAGCATCCTGATGGCGATTATTCTTGTGCTTATGTAACTTTGTTCACGGAAGATGAACAATTAACTGGACATGGGTTAACATTCACAATTGGCAAGGGAACGGAAGTTGGTGAGTTAAACAATTAGAATGATATAATCAATTATTGACGATTTATTAATTTTCTTTGCTTAGTTGTTCGAGCTGTTGAATCTTTGATGGAATTGGTTGTTGGTGTTAAATTTAATGATATAATTAACGATTTCGCTGGTTTTTGGAGGAAATTGTCCAGTCACAGTCAAATGAGGTGGATTGGTCCAGAAAAATCTTCAATATTTCACCGTTCAGCTCTTCCACTCGCTGTCGACGGGTTTCTTGCACTTCTTTGGGAACTTTCTCAGAGTAATTGGGATCCGACATTGAGACAGTTAATTCTTTCAACAGTTTCTCTTTTTGATCTTTTTTCACCTTTAAAGCTTCAATTTCCTTGTTTACATCAATTATTCCCTTTAATCCTAAATAGGCTTGACATGAATCACTTATTGGGATAGGAACTCCTTCCGGTGGAACTGAACCATTTTCCAAAATTTCCAGGCAAGATGAATGAGTTAGACTCTTTGATTGACAAAGAAAATAAAATTATCTCTCCATGAGAATAGATTAAGTGGTAATCAATGGATTAACCGTACGAACCTTAATTGGATCAATAAACAATAGACGATCCTGAGTTTCTTTGGAATCAGGAAACATAAAGAGAACATCTTTCTTTTCGATTCCATAATTTGCTTTCCTAGAACGTATTTTATGTACAAAATGATCGATAACCTTCAACTCGTTTAATGTCCAAATTGATATCACGACCTTGTCCAAGGTAATCGCAAAGGGTAAACCGTAAAGCATCAGTTCCACAAGGAGGAATACCCTCAGGGAAGTCAATCTTTTGAGCTAAACCAAGTATCTAAAACATCCTCATCTTGTTAGAAATTAATTTCTCTCCAGGAATTGAGTATTTAACCGATGCTTTGGTTCTTGCTTCAGCCTCATTTCGACCAGAGATCCAAAATCTTCTGAATCAATGGTTCCATCCGATGGAGACAGGAAACTTTATAAGCAGGAATTCGATGTCCCACCATTTGCCGAGAATACACCAATCTTGAATATTCTCTCCATCTGAACCAAATTTTATTATGATCATCGGGATTAAGGTCAATTCACCGGTTTTAACTGACCGCTTTATCAGCCATTTCTTTACAGTTAACAAACCATTGAGATTTCATTCGAGGTTCAATTATATCCTTTGATCGACTACAAACCGGTACAACCATCGGATTTGGTTTGGAACCATGGTACAGACCAAGGCTTCTAAATCTTTACCAATCTCTTTGGGCATGGAATCGTTTCATTCCAGAATATTTACCGAAACCAGGGCAATGCTACCATCATCACTTAGAATTTCAATGAAAGGTAAATTGTGACGTTTACCTACTTCACAATCGGTATGATCATGAGCTGGAGTAATTTTAACAGCACCAGTACCAAATTCCATCTCGACAAAATCATCACAAACAATTGGAATTTTCGCTCAAAAGAGGATGAATAACGTATTTACCATGAAGATGCTTATATCGAGGGTCTTCTGGGTGTATTGCTACCGCTGTATCACCGAGCATTGTTTCAATACGAGTAGTTGAAACAATTAACTTCTCATCAGAATCTTCAACTGGATAACAAACAATTCCAATATACCAAATTCAACGGTTTCATTACCATAACCAGGAACACGGAAAGGTGTTGGTCCTTTACTTCAATCTTATCGACTTCAATATCGAAATTGCTGAATTTAAAGTGCAACACCAATTGATTAATCGTTTAGCTCGATAAATTAAACCCTCTTCATGTAATCTGACAAAAGCTTCGGTAACAGCATTACACATTTTCGGATCCATTGGAATGTTGCTCGATCCCAATCAACGGAACAACCAAGAGCCTCGAATTGTTCATAGATTCGGTTTCCTTTCTCATTTTCCATTTCAAACTTCCTCAATGAACTTATCTCGACCCAAATCATGGCGAGTTAATCCTTTCTCTCGTTGTAATTTTTCTCAACAACAGTTTGAGTCGCAATTCCAGCGTGATCACAACCAGGAGCCCAAAGTGACCTTTCCTTTCATCCTATTCCATCTTGTAATACTATCTTGAATCGCTGAGGTCAAGGCATGACCAAGATGAAGAGTACCAGTAACATTGGGCGGTGGAATGACCATAACAAATTTACCTTTACCATTTTCTTTGGTAATATCTCCTGAAATAGATTAACAACAAAAAGAGATAATTTAGATTCAGATCATCATGTAAACAATTTAGACACCACATCTATAGAGTCAATGTAATCAACATAAATCCAACAATCAACTGAAACTAAGACAATTACAGTAACAATAAAATGGAAGCACCAAGAAAAAAAAGGTAACCACCATTGGAATTGCAATTGTTTATACACAGAGATTTATTTTTCTTGATTTCAACACAATAAATGGACACAATCAGAGGAGATGAACAAACCTTGAGGAGCATTAATTTCGGGCTTGAAGAATCCAGATTTTTTCCACCACGAGTACCAAGCGGTTTCAACATATTCGGTGAATAGGCGGAGGGCATCGGTGAACTATCATTCTTTTCATCACCTTCGGCGGTGTTACCTTGATAGATAATCACTTCTTTTACCTTTTTCTTATCTTTCGATTTCGATTTACCTGATTGATCATCCTTTTTATCGGAGGCCAATTTCTCTTGTTTGGCTGCGAATTTGGCATCTTTTTCAGCCTTTTTAGCTGCTCTTTCTTTTTCATCAACCTTTACCTCTTTCATGGCAACCACAGGATCACTTGAAGGTTTCACTTCACTCATATTGTTTACAAAAAGAATGCACTTAATTATCAACAACTAATCCACTTGAACAGAACAAAATAGTTAAATTAACCACAACTACGGAAATCAAAACGAGAGGAATCAAAGTAATGAAGTCAAAATGAAAACGTGTTCAACAACAACATCAGGTTGCCTTAGGGACCCGGTTACTGATTCTCCGCCTTAATAACAAAGAGTAGTAAGGAAGAGCGAGCAACATTAAAATCTTGACACAAGAGTCTAGAAAGCAAAAGAATCATCGATCAACGCAGAATCAGGCGCATACGTAAAAATGATATTTTTGGACAACACCGAATTTATTTTAGAGCCAACTTAGCTTTGAAAAGTTTAATTTAATTTATCAAAACTCTTTTTTTCTTATGTGAAATTACCTAGACATATGTAAATCTTGGTTTTCTTTCACATAAATTAACATCTTTTTGAAAACCCCCATGAAAACTCCCGCACACTTATGAGCATAAGAAAGCAATTTTCAGACTAAAATCTTTTATATTTCCCAAACAGTGTACGAAAAAAAGTTCAGGAATTGACGTAAATCTCATCAAATTTTTTAATGAATCGAAGATGAAGTTCTAATTTGCTAAAAATAATAAAGAAAAAGAAAAAGAAAGAGAAAGAGAAAAAAGAGCATTGCAGCTTCCTATAGGAATTTTCCATGAGCCTCAACCAACACCTACATTTTGAATACACTCAGAGTGATCGGCGTAAAGATCTTTCTCAACCAACACATCGAAAAATCTTGTAAAGAGAAAGAGTTTATCTTTCTTGGAAATTAAAGCGACACTTTCTTGATCAGGGCTTGAAGAAACCAATTCCTTCCTCCACAAATCCTACACAGTTAATCTTTTCTGATTCAAGTAAATAGAAAAGAATAGCACCATTGTCTAAATAAATATTTAGAGTATCAATTTCTACAAAAAGGTCGATATGTAAAGCTGAAGAGCCAATAGCTCTTTCATGATTGATACATGTGAGAATTTTCACCTAGAAAAGAAAAGAAAAGAAAATAAAATAAACATAATCAAAAACTGATAAACAGAATATGTTTAAAATCTCACCTGTTTAGACTTTGATTGTATTGACACAATCTCATTTGATTTAATTACTGCATAAATTTTATTATGAAAAGAGTCAATTGTAAAACAGGAAAGACCAGAAGATAAATGTTAATTACACTTTTTCGACATTGTTGAAATTCCATTTAATTACAAACCTTATCTATAGAAGGAAACCAATAGGATAGATAAGTGAGGAAACAGTTGAGATTGAAACAAAATGAAAAAATGAAAAACTAATTGTTAACATACAACTGAAATGCTAACCGATTTAGTAACAAACAAGTAGTGATCACAGGTAAAGATGATGGGATTAAAAGGAGGTAGTAAACAATTTCCATCTAAAAGTACATAATTTTCGCAAAAGAATTTACGAATTTATAGTTATTTTTGTTAGTGATATTATTATAATTACAGTAAATCCTCGCTTATTGCATAGCAATGTTCCGAAAAACTAACGCTTTCTATTGAGAATTAACTGCGAATTTTGAACATTGCTATGCAATAAGCGAGAATACACTGTATTATTATTATTATTATTTTTATTATTTATTTTTATTACTATTTATTATTATTATTAACTATTAATTATGGTTAATATTGTTATTAATTATTATTATTTTTATAATTATTTTTATTATTATCTATTATTATTATTAATTATTACTATAGTTATTATTATTATTGTTTTATTATTTTATTATGCTATCATTTTATTATTTTATTATGGTATTATTTTTTTTGTTTGATTATTTTATTATTTCATTATTATTATTTTTGTTGTTATTTTACTATTAGCATTAGCAACATTTTATTTTTTTATTATTTTAATCATCATTTGGAGAAATGAAGGGCTACTGCAATATGAGAGTGAATTTGTCGCTGGTCTTGAACATTCACTAGCATGGAGACCAGAAGGAAATCTAATTGCTTCATCGCGATTTCACCAAAATGTTCATCAAATCGTTTTTTTTGAAAAGAATGGACTTAGACACGGGCAATTTACTCTTCCTCCATCTCAAGGTGTCTTTATTATTAAAAATTTAATTTGGTCAACAGATTCATCAATCCTTCTTGTCCATGGATATCAAGATCTTGAAAAGCAACACGTCATTTACTTTTATACTATGAGAAATTATCATTACTATTTGAAACAGTTTTACAAGTTTACCGATGTTGATGTTGAATTGGGCACTTTGAAGCCATCTGATCAATTGACCTTTTCCATATTTACTTCAGGTGGATCAATTAAGCAATATTCATACAATTGGGCTACCGATTACTCTAAAGTTACTGCCGCCGTAATTGATGGATGTAAACTACAAATAACACCTTTTGATCGTGTCAATATACCACCACCAATGTCTGCATATTCAATCATCTTTGAGAAACCAATTAATGAGATTCACGTTCACTCACCTGAAATCATTATATCTTATACCTGTGATGGTGAACTGATTGTGTTCAAATTAGTCCAATCTGAAATTCTAGGTGAAACCAATGTAAGAAACACTGCAATCGGATCCATTTCTGCTAAGATTTTATTATTAATGTTAATTATTATTATTGTTTTATTATTATTATTATTATCATAATTATTATTATTATCATTATTAATCATTATTTTTCATATTTTCTATCATTTCAATTATTTAAAAATTTCAAATTAGTTCTCAGTTGTTATAACGAGATAAAAAAAGGTTACTCGTTACGCCCTTCGGATGCTCTGTTATCCTCTCCATCCTTTTACCTCCCTACTCCACCTCTTCCACCTACACCTCCGCCTCTTCATCTTAGCATCAAAAGTGCATCCATATGATAATATCAATCCAATGGTAATTTACGTTAATTTAGATCACTTTTAATCACTTTAAGTTGATTGTCTTCAGTCTTAAATTATTCTAGGCACATTACACTCAGGAAATAATAATACAAGAAAGAAAACAATTTAAACTCTCCCATTTAGGATTAAAGTTGATTGAATATGAAACAATCTAATCAAATTAAGACTATACAATTAGCTAATCTAAACACTTAACACTGAGCTAAATTAAGTGTGATTACTTGTTAATTTATCAATAATATTAACAGAAATAAGAGTAAAAGTAATAATAAAGTTACTATGGATTTTCAAGTTATCGTTTGTAAGCCAAGCCCTTGGACTTTGATGGGCGGAGGAGCTTCAGGGGTTTAGAGGGTTGATGAAGATAAAAGATGATGATGAGGATGTAATGTGATGCCAACAAGAATTTATGGTGTTCATAAGAAGATAATGATAATGGTTCATGAGAACACCCAGAATAATGAAGAAAAAAGGATAAAACCGTGAAGAGTAAACATTATTTTCTTTCTTCTTTTCTTAATGAAGCCTGAGGGTGAATTCAGGATGAAGATGATGAAGAATTGAATAGCCGATGACCAACCCGAAAATTTCTCTTCACTTTCTATTCACAAACTCAAATCATCTTCACCTTACACCGAAAGTCATTAATTACCTGAGTATTAACCAATAGATTGGAAAAGTGAAACAAATAATAATAAAATTTCAGAATTTCTCTGAATTTTCAGTCTGAACTTTTTTCCCTTCTTCATGTTGATATGATGATAAACCTTCATCATTATTATTCTTAATCTAGAAGATATTTTATCTTCCTTTTCTTCATTAAATAGTTGATTAATTTTCTGATTAACTAACTGGTTTAAAGTAAACTATCAAAGTGCTAATGTTAACCTGATTGTCTGTAATTTAATCACGACAATTAAAGTCTAGTAACTTCAAACTGATTCATTATTATCATGGAGCAAGAAAAATTAATTCACAGAAAAGGTAAAGACAATTAAACTAAATCAAATTCATCTTGTTTTCATCTCAACTAATTGAAATTTCAGTTAATTTAAAACTTTCATCAAAATGATTTACTCAAATGATTAAAGTTAATTGTAAGGTGGGAAAAAACCCTGAAAAGTTAATTGTGATTGACTTTCATTTTCAATTAAACTTGATAAACACAATCAACTTGTATTAGTTAGTTTAATGATTAAATTTGAAGACAACAACAATTTAAAGTATTGGTGGTAAATAAATTTAACAACATTGGTAACCAGGTAAAGTTAATTGTTGCTTTTCAATTAAACAACAAGAAATTTACTCAATTCTCGGCATCATTCAAACAGCAACAATCAATAAAATCATTTGTAAATAGTTGATTTATTTGATTGGTGAAGATTAAGAAAATTGGAAACAAAAGTTACCACGTAACGATAACGCCGTCGATTCCGTTTCAAAGTTTTTAGGCCTTAAGTTTGACCTTTCAAGGAGTAGAAATAGAGAAAGTTTCTCGTTCTCTCTCTCTCTCTCTTCCTCATCATCTCTTATCTTCATCATCTTCATCATAAAACAAATACCAATATATGAATAACCTCTAATTACATTATTGATTGATGGTTCAATTGTTTCCATTAAATTAACAAGGGGAAAAAACTAATAACATGATGATGAGTTTGTAAGATGATTATTGATATTGGTCAGCTAATAATTGGAAAGATGAGAATCAAATTTTCTATATCATCTTGACCCATTCAATTAATTATCAAAACTAAAAGTGTAACAGTTACAATTCAGTTTTAGTATTGCACTAAACTGACACATCTAATTTTCTGGTTCTTTCACCATGGTAAACACTCTGAATCTATCATCATCATCTTCATGAGATTCAACCTATTCATCTCGATACCAGATATCAACATCTACTCTCTCTCTCTCTCTCTCTCTCTCTCTCTCTCTCTCTCTCTCTCTCTCTAAATGTAATAGGTTTATCGGTTGGCTAATCAAGAGGATAAAACTTGATTGTCTTTTGCTTGTAGTTTCATCACTTTTTTTCCTATTTATTGTTCATTGTCTAGGAGATAACCTGAATTTATAGGATTAACATGATAATCATCATGATTAATTATTTCCACCATTTGATTAGATTACAATACATTTAGTCTTGTTATATTTTCACATTGATTAAATGAATGAAATAAACTTGATCATTGATATTATTTTGTATGTTTCTCGCAAGAGATTTGCTAATCTGTTATTGTGTTGTTTACCGGTAAATTAGATTAGCGATCAAGATTAGCGAAATTGTTTTACAATTAAATGGTTGGTTGATTGATTGAGAGAGAGAGAGAGAAAAATTGATTTGCTGGTTATTGGTTATTATTATTAGATCATAATTAAAGACTCTCGCCAGTTTTTTCTTTTGCCTTATTATTACAATCGGAAATTGTTCATTACGGTTACATATCCATGATTAGTAATAGTGACCATCGATTTAATCAGTTGTAGGATCAAGAGATTAGGAGGATTGACCGGAAGTCGATTATTTCTTCTTTGAAGATAAACCAGCTCCAGCATTGAATTTAAATAATATTATATCACCATCTTCAACCACATACGCACGTCCTTGTTGACGGTATTTACCGGCGGCCTTAATTATAAATTAAAACAAGAAAATTAGATTAGTTAAGCTCAATTATTATCATTTATAAACATTAATACATAATTCAAATGGTAACCAAGAAATAAAAGGATGCTGATGATGATAGAGGGAAATGATTGATCATCTTCATCTTCATCATCAAAATGAGAGAGTAGGGAGAGAGAGAGAGAGAAAGACAAACCTAATTATTGAATTCGTTTACTGGATTAACCCAATTGTTAATTGTGTTTAAATCAAATGATTATTATCATTATCACACTTAATCAACACCCTCTGTTTAAATTGTAATAACTTCAGACTTTCATATTGTTTAGTTGATTATGTTTATTTAATTGACCACTGATGGTAAAAGATTAAGATTAAAGGTGATTATGATGATGGTTAAATGATTATGATTAAGATGATAATGATAATGATGAGGTAAACAGAAAAATGAATCAAATTGTTTATCATTTAGTAGCAAACTTTTTAATTCTTAGGCTTGAAAGATAATAGTTAGTAGTAGTTAGTTAATCATGTATCTAAGATGTTATTATTTTTTTTTTCACTGGAAATTATAATCATCATCATCACCATTAACATTATCATTATCATTACGGTTATTAACCATTATTATCATTACAATTAACATTATTATCAACATTTTTATCAGGTAAATGCATCATCATTTGAGGTGCCAATACCATGATGTTTTCATCATCATCATCATCATTTCAACAATAAACAACAAGAAAATGAAAATAGCTGTAAAATTTTGGGTGAGGATCTAATTGAGTAGGAAACTCTCAACAAAACAAAAAAGTAAACATATCCTTAAGTCACATCAGCACCTTCATCATCATCATCATCATCATCATCTTCATCTTCATCCTCATCAGCAATCATAATAATAACAGAGTTTGTTTTTAGCTCCACTGTATCTAATAGAGTAGTCACGATTAATTGAGATTCTAATGGTAAAAATTGGCTTCAAATTAAGATTAATCTTTGGGTATAAAGATAAATATTTAAGATGATAAGTTTTCATCATCTAGAGATAATCAGTTTCTGAGGAGATGATGGATGAGCCAAGAAGATGAGAAGAAAAAAAATTACTTCCACTGTTAAAATAGATGAATGAAATTAAGATGATAAAGAAAAAAGGTTGAGAGAGAAAGTGAATGAGAGTAACTTTCCTTTTTTTATCTTCATCATTGGCGAGGGAGTGGTTGTCAATAATAATGGTAAATAACAAGTGAATCTATTTGTTGATTGAAGATTCGTCATCTCTTTTTACACTTTCTTCAGAAGCTGAAGTTGTTGTAGTAAAGTGTTCAAAACGAAACATATGATTGATCCAACAACAAAAAAACTCTCACATGGAGCAATAAGTAAACATGATGATACTTGAAGATGAAAACAAAAGCTCCCTTCAAGTATCAACACAAAAATCGTGCTTAATCCATTCGTTACGCCCTCGAATATATAAAAAAAAAGAAACTTTCTCACAACAAACATGATAAGTTCACCTTTAATCTAATAAAGGTAAACAATGTCCGAGGGATTTCTGTTGAATTCATCGTTCAGGGTATTGATTGTCATCAATACCATTCTGATGAAGGTTAATTACTGTCTTTCTATTTATAGAGAGAGAGCTGAAAATCTCATAGTCAGAAATTCATAAACATCCCGGGGTGTGAATATTCATCATGGTGACCTGAGCATTTCTATTTACCTTGCAAGCGGCTTCTGAACCTTCCGCTTTGAAATCTTCAAATTTCATCACTTCCGCCATAATGAAACCTTTCTCAAAGTCGGTGTGAATACGTCCAGCAGCTTGGGGAGCCTTCGTACCTTTCTGTAAAATTGAATATCATGGAGAAAGGATGAAGAAAATCATGAAAATTGAATCAATTCTTGTCATGAGAAATCAGAACTCACTTGAATAGTCCAAGCTTTAACTTCATCTGATCCAGCGGTGAAAAAGTAACACAATTGTAGAGCTTTATATCCAGTGACAATTATCTTATCCAAAGCACTGTAAGTAAAAAAATGGCACAATTAAAGTTAATTATCATCAATTAATCAATTTAAGAGAAATATAGATTTCATTTTCATCTGATTCTCTGTTATTATTACAATTAACTGGTCAATCATGAGGAACCATGGATTAATCTTTGATAGGATAATAATATTTACTAGGAAAAGGTTCACAATGGATCAGTTAATTGTTGATAGGATATAAGGAAAACAATCAACTGAATACATAAAAACGTGATAAAGGTGATGATTAATGGAATTACAATTACAATCAATGATTTTCATAGTAAATTTGTGTTCACTTTCAACACGATTATTAAAAAAACTGCAATCAAGATATTGCAATATCGTAATCATCTTCATTTTTCATGAAAACATTTCTAATGAGCATCTTGGTGAAAAATCTGACATCATCTTGATGATTTTTCACCCAGAGAATAGGATATCCTTTAGAAACACTATACAATCCTAAGTTAATTACAGGTTTACCCTGAGGGGTGAAATTGAAACATAAAGCAACATAAATTAATCATCAAGTAGTAAATGATCAAGAGCCAGGATTGTATGATTATCATCATCAACATCATCATCATTTAAAACAGTTATAATGTATTGAGATGAAAAATGTTGAGGATAATTTTGTTATTAAATTTTGCGCCTTAACAGCAATTTTAATTTTGATTAACATTTGATTGTATTTGGACACGTGAATTAGATGATTATCAATCCAGGGATTATTAGGTTATCATCATAATCAACATATACACACACTAGCTCATCATAAGGGAGAGAGAAACGGAAACAATTAGAAATAGATTTGTAGTAACCATCAAATCCAATACAACTTAATCTCATCATTATCATCAGAGTAAAAACTTTAATCTTAACCCGTGGTACCAATTGTGTAATAAGCCAAAAGTTATTCAGACTAATCAATTGTATCTCACTGACCTTTTTTTGTCTGTATTAAATTATAACATTAACATTCAATTCATCAAGTCAGATTAACATCAGATTGTGATGATAATTTTGTTATCTAAGTTACTCTTTCCCGCTTTATCCTCATCTTCATCCAAACCAATGACTCTCTCTCTCTCTCCTCCACCAGCCTCTTCATGGTCCGTTGATATCAACACTTTTTACCCCATAACCATTAATAGAAATGTTATTCAATTGTAATAGAGACAAGATTAACTGGATTAGAGAGAGAGAGAGAGAGACGTCGATGATGAAGATGATGATAACTAGAAGATGAAACCAGCTTTTGTCAAATTATCACCTCAAAAATGGTATTAAAAACGTATAATAACAGTAATGATAACAAAGAGGATTAAAAGATGCAAGTGATGAGGATAAAAGATACACAATCAACATAATTTAATATAATGAGAGTTGATTTTTAACCTTAACAAAATGAACGACAAAACCAATCAACCTTTTCGACTTTCGGCTTCACCATCATCCTCATCCTTATCCTCATCCTTATCCTCATCTCCATCTCACTCAACATCTTACAGGGAAAAAAAAGAGACAATAACAAGTATTGTGAATGAATTTTTCTTTTCGTCACTTAGCAAAACTTAGTAAAGTACAACAACAAGATGCAGATCAAGATGAATTATAACAAAACGGCTTAACAGCTTTGGATTAACTAAATCAAACTCATCCGCCTCTCATTTTCATCTTCATCCTTTTCTCAATATCATCAACTCAAAGTGTCCATCAGCAAGAAAAAAGACAAAAGATCCCGTGGGAGCAAGGTAAAAGTCATCGTTATAATAACGACCTGATACTTAGACTCAATGAATTCTCGTATTGATTGACAGGCATAGATAATCATTTAGTAAAAATGGTTAACCAATAGTTAAACTGATTGTGTGTTATTGTTGATATTGTTTTCCTTCAATAATGATAATAATAACAAGTAATCAACAAAAAAGCAAGGAAAACAAAAAAAATCACCTCATTTTGAATCTAATTATAATTAGTCAAAGCCTCGATGATAATAATCAGTATTATTGGTAAATCATGACGATAAAGGTATGAAAATAATCAAGTCAATTGTTAAAGTTTCAATTATAATGATTATCTGATATCAACTCTTAATGTTTACAAGATTTAAAATAATTTGTTGATTGTTTCAAATGAATGTATTTTCATAATATTAGTTAATGGAGTGATAATAATACAATCAAGGTTTTCAATTGATTGCAAACTTATTCAATGTTAATTGTCTGTTGAATGACAACCATGTATTGATTATGATTAAACAATAAGGTCACAAGGAAAAATATCAACTGAAAATAATTGAATAAATTGGTGATGATGTTTTCTCAATAGATATTGATCATCATCTGATGATGATAAACTCTATAAATCTCTATCGTTTATTTGATGATAATAATGGACCAGTTCTAAAAATTACCATCATTCCATGTTCGATGTTAGAAAATAAGAGAAATAGGCAAAAGAAGAAGGAATCAAGATTAAAGTAGTTCAGAGATTGAACAAGGATGATGATAATGATGATGAAAAGACAACAGGCAAGAGAGAGAGAGAGAGAGAGGAGAGGGAGAGCAGACAGAAGAAGAGTGAATGAAGAGCGAAAAGAAATGGATGAAGATGATGATTATGATGAAGATGAGATTCTAGAAGCAAAAAGGTTGCAGAAGCATGAGAAAAGCATGGAAACAGCAAAAACATGATGATTGGTAAAATGAGGGAAGATAAAGATGATGATAAAGAAAGAAAAAAAGAAAGAGGGTAAAGGCTTTCATCTCTACTTTTGGTGGTTTCATCCGAATGCATCTAGAAGTGACAAGCTTCATTTCTCCAACTTAATAATAGGGTTTGAATGTATAGGAACTTTAGAGATGATGATGATGATGATTCTATGGAAAAAAAGACAGCAGACAAAGTAAAAAGACTTCTGCAAAAATAGACAGAAGAAAATGATGTGAGAGAGAGAGAGAGAGAAAGTTGGGTCAAAATGTAGTCCCAATGATGATGATGCTCCATTCCCAATGTAAGATGCAAAAGGTTTTAGGAGAGATGATGAAAAACAAGGACTGATTCAAGTTCTGTATCAAAATGATTGGAAGAAAGGAAATGGAAGACAAAAAAGACAGACATCATCATCATCATCACCATCATCATCTACATTTACATTGAATGAAGATTCTAACCCAAAGTTTCCCTCTCAATGTTTATTCTTGATGATGAAATGATGTTATTCTTACGATGCAAAACTGTTCAATCTTTTCTCTGTTTTTCTGTTGCTCTTTTTCCTTTGACTATCATTAAAACTAATTTGATTTTATTGGTGAGAGAAGATGATGATGATAATGATGACCTTAATGATGATTATGATGATAAAAATAAAGTAATTCGATCTCCATTCAAATTATTGGCCTTAACTGGATTCAATTTAAGGGATAACATATACAAAGACTACGCCCGTTAACCTTCATCAATCACGGACTTTGTATCAATGTTACCAAATTATTATCATCATTGAGAAGATAAAGAAAGGGAGAGGATGATGAGGATGATGAAATATGTTATCGCCATCTAATTGGAGACAATTGGACATTTTCAAATCAATAGGGTTATTATAGGAACCATTGTTAACTTAATCAAAATGAGCTCTCTAACAATTTGTAACATATCAATTTCTCAACTCACAATTATGATTAGATGAAAATGATTACAATTAATTAAATTGTCCAATTGATGAAAAAAATATCAGATTAACTGGATAATCATCTCTCTCTCTCTGAATTATAATCTTCTAAAGATGAAAGTAACTGCACTAGACATGTAACCTCTTGATGATTACAAGAAAAAATCATTTTGACTGACCAGTTATATGGTCGATTATTGAACCATAAGAATCACCAGCAATCAAGATCATCATTTGACAATCAAATGCATAAATCTAGAAGATAAAAGATCAACAAAAAGATGATGGAAGAGAAAAATTGTCATTGAGGCAAAAAGAAAACATCAAAAAGTCAATCACTTTCAACCAATAATCAATTTTAGCAATCACAAGTTGAACACCATCAAAATTCAATTATTTTCATGATAAAATTCAGTTATTTTTCTCACTCTCTCGGTTAATCAACTAATAAGATAATCAATGGAATATGATCAAAGCAGAACTTTTTCTCTCTCTCTCTCTCTCTCTCTCTCTCTCATCATGTCAACCTAGAATAGTACAAAAATGATAATCAACATAATATGTAAAAGGATCAATGTTAATTCAACAGAGCATAACTAAATCATCTCATCAAATACTGAATTTAATATACATGGTTGATCAAGCTGGACATTCAGATGAAAACGGAAACTTGCAACCGGAAAAATCATCAGCTACTCATTATAAATGTTTGTATTTTCACCCACCCTCTCACTACAGATGATATGTAATCATATTTTTCTGACTGATAACATGATAAAAGTTCTGATTGATATTCAATTGCAATGGATAAACAAGAGGAGAAAAAAATGTCCAACATCAACAAACTATGAATATCTATCAAAGATCAATGATGATGATGAGGGGACAAAAATCTCGATCTGTGTTTATCAGATTAACAATAGATTTAGATTAAAGTAAAGGTTAAAATAAGGTTGACTGATTGATAACTTGAGTGGATCATATTTACATATCATTTGATTCATACACATAAATATTGTGGTTAACCGGACTCTCTCTCTCTCTCTCCCTTGCTCTCACACAAGAGATGATTTGAGATACAGAATCTAAAACGGATTGTGTTAAATACAAATAACTATTATTATTATCATTCATGTTAATGATTGTTAGGGTCCCTCTCTCCCTCTCTCTCTCTCTCTCTCTGTTGATGGGTGTGGTGATTTGTGGTGGTGACCTTAACCGATTTTACTCTGATTGTTGGTGGGCCAAAGTTTTTACATAAACGTACAGTTAACGGTAAATAGAGGGATGGATTTGACTTGATGCTAATGAATAATAACATGTAGCTGTGTTTCACTGCAGGGAGTATTTTCGGAGATGATCATCATCATCATCATCATCAAGATAAAGATGAAGATGATTAGACTAGAGATGATAATCAGTCACAATGACAAACCTGTGAGTGAGTATCATCTTTTTACACATTCTTTATGGTTAAAAGTCAAAACATTATCAATGAAGATGACACTAAAAGAGATTGATTAAAACAGATAAATAACCAGAGTAAAATCGGGACACAGGAGAGAGAGAGAGAGAGAGAGAGAGTGGAGGTGGAGGAGGAGAATGGGATAACTTTTATCAATGGGAGTGGTTGAGTAAAAGAGATGGATGAATATTTATCCACCATCATTGAAAACAGTAACAGAAAATGAGAAAATATCATCATCATCATGATTATGGTGGATGCAAATGATTCTCAAGTGTTTTTGACTCGACAATCTAATTTTATCAACAGCAAAAAAAGACATTGAAATGATAATCAAATGTTAACCTAATCAATAAAAAAAAGTTGCAAATCGTCAATGATTATCAAGCAAATCTAATGTTAAATTAACATCATAATATGACAACAAATGGTGATGATATACAAAATTGTTAATTGTAGTGATTTAAATAAAGCATAAAGTGTGTCTCAATTATTTTCATTAGATTAATCATTCAAATCTACACAACATTAACAGAGATGATTATTAATGATTAATTGTTGATCAATATTTGTGAAAACAATTTACCTTGTGCACTTATTTTCATTGAGAAATCTTTGCTTCTCATCATCGGGCATCTCAACCAATTGTGATTCTAATGCACCACTGAAAGGTATCAGAACAGCCCCAGGGTCATGTTTATCAATCCATTCCTTGATTTTAAGAAGCCTAAACAGTAAAGAAAAAAAAAGAAACAATTAAACAATTATAACGGTAAAAAATGATCATCAGTAAGTTTCAAGGTGAAAAGTGAATAATTTTAGTGAAGATGAAATAAGATTTTGGGAAAATCAAAACAATAACCATTGATAACAAAGATACGGAAATAAAATAATATTTGACAGAAATAAAAATAATAACAATTGAGGTAAAGAGGGAGATGGATACAGAAAGAGAGACACAGAGTGAGATAGAGAGGGAGGGAGAGAGTGAGGTGAATATCATGCATGAATATTAGTTAAATGAGGATATAGCCGCTGGGTAAATGGGCATATGGTCAATACCTAAATGCATATAAATACATATCTTTGTGTAGACAACAATCATCTGAATAAAAAGTAACCAACAATCAAAATGGTTAAGGTAAGTAACCGATAATTTAGTTGCAATTCATGTTTATCAACATAAAGTATCATTCGTGTCTATACATAGACGATTTAATGATAAGTTTGAGTTGTATGTCTATGGGTGAAAAAGATATACAACAAATCGAAATGAAAGAAGAGAAAAAGTTTTTCGATAATCAAAAGGTAACACAATCAATGATCAAGAGAAATCAACAATTTGATATTAATATACAAAAGTCAACAAAGTATAGACATTTAAATGATAATGATTCCAATTAAATTGTAGTTCATGTTAAATCTAATTGTATTCATGGTTGGAATCATCAACTATCACAATAGTTTATACACATTAATTGGGATTTAAGATGAAAATTAGTTGATTGGTAAAAAAGGTTTAATCTTATTTTCTAATTATTACAGTCTTTTCCTTCGGATTCACCTTCTTTCTCTTTAGAGTTAAACTATTTTACAGAGAAAAAAACTTAATCTGTCAGAATCAGAGTTAATCTCTTTATTTCAAACAATTCATTTTCTCATTATAATTAAACTTTTTCATTCGAATTAATTATCAATATGTTTTACTAATACAATCAGGTATATCTCTTCATGTGATTGTACTGTTTTCACTATCTTTCGATATAATCATTTCTGAAGAGATTCTACAACTTCGATAATTTTCTTAAAACCTTCGATGATTAATTTTCTTTCTGGTGTTTTGATAAACAATTAGAATTGAAAATTATCTACAACGAGATTGAATGGTACAGATCAATTCCTTTGAAAAAGTTTATTTAGAAGAAAAGGTCAATTCTAGTGAGAAAAACTTAAACTCTTCAGCCCTGAAGACAAATTAATTCTAATGAAAATGGTTTATTTATAAAGAGAAAGAAGGTGAATTCGGAGGAAAAAGACTGTATTACAAAATGAGTGTAGTCATAATTTCATGATGATTTGTTGTTGTGGATTGTGAAGTTGTTATTATTTGTTAATTGTGATTAGAGTGAAAGCAAAGAGAGAGAGAGAGAGAGAGAGAGAAAAGTTAATTAGACAAGGAAGAGGAAAGGTATTGATGATAATATACCTTAAATTATAATAGAGAAGCGGTTAAGATAATTACAGTTGGAGAAAAAAAAGATGAAGTAGAAAAAATAAAAGTTAATCCAATCTAATTAAGGAAAAGATTGAGAGGAAGATATTGTATTACTTGAAGAAAAAGAGGAGGAAGGAGTGAGCATCTCCCGCGCTTTTTGATACAAGGAGACCCTATTATTTTAACAAGTCCACTGGAAGATCATTGACAAGAAGATGATCACTAGAAAGGAAGGGTCAGCAAATGAGAGAGAGAGAGAGAGTCACAATCGATTGTATTATATTTTTTCTTCATCATCTTCGGGTGAGGAGTTGGTCTTTTTTTCGGGTTTCCGAAGAAGAATAAGGAAGAAGAAGAGCAAAAGAGGATTTATACTATAATTATAATCTTCCCAAACCTAGTATTTATTGGTATTACCTTCAACATCATTTGTTTGATTCTCTTACATTTCTAACTTATTCTTGCTCATCATCATTCTCTTCCTTTGCAATCATCATCATTGCTTTTCTTGCAGAAAAAAAATAAGTTTAAAAAACTCTCACAAACTAATCAACAAAAACCTATTCATTTCTTTCTGGTTCATTTTACTTTACTAACATACTTAATATTATACTTTGCCTGCTAAATTTAGAGCTAAAAATCATCACTAGTGATGATGATTTTGCAAGGTTTTAACTCTTTAACAATTATTATTATGGTAAAGAAGTAAATTTCAAAGTTATACACATCGGCCTTTAAGCGGCCGTAGCGGTGGTTAGAAAAGTGGTTACATGGACTGGCCTCACGAATGACCTTGCCTATTAACCTGAGGTAAGTTATGTTCACTTTTTAAGGTAATGAACCTTTTCTTTTTTTGTTGTTGTTGTTTTCGGCCAAAGTCGCCAATAAGACGCCTTCAGATTGAGACCCTTAAGGCGTTGAGAAAGTCAAGATGTAAAAATTGACGAGAAAACAAAGCGAAAACATAAACAGCGTCAATAAGAACAACAAAAGGACCCATGAAGATGATGAGAGAAAAAGAAAGAGCAAGATGAACGCTTCTTTTCATCGCCCAAGATCGAACAATTTTCGCAAAGTTTCAATCAACGCAAATGAGTTTCTATTCAATGATGATAGTAAGTGAGACTCTCCCTTGAGTTTCATGTTAACTTTACATCAACTCCTCCTGGGATCACGCCCAATTACAAGAATACTAGTGACCTTTACTTTTCCTCTTCTTCATTTGACACTGTATAAACATACAGTGTGTGTATATTTATATTAGTATATATATACATGTAAGTGCGTATCTATGGATAACCTTTATCACCTTTGCCTAACAGTTGTTTTCGAGGTCACCATTAACACTGATGATAAAGAAACAATGAGAAAAGAGGACCAATGAGCAAATTAAAGCAACGCATCCATCATCACTGATCATCTTTGTCTTTTCCTCATCATCATCTTCAATTATTGATTAAGTTGATCCCAAGTTGTCGATTTGCCTCCTTCATCATTATCCTTCGAGTATTCAAATTACCGAAAAGACTATTAATCTTAATTCAAACTCAATGAAGGGTATAGAATTAAATTCAAAGGGCATGAGGATTAACGTTAACAACCAAAAGAGCAGATTAAAAAGGGATAAACAATGGATTAAGAACGTAATCGGCAAACAAACCATTTATTCTTTTTCCTTATATAATCTTTCTCCGATAGATTAACCAGGTAAATCATTGGTTTAGATGTAATGAATAGATGTTTATTGAGAAATTCAATCTGAAAAAAGAAAACAAAAATCAAGCAATTAGATAAAATTATTGTAATCGAAGTTGAGAAATCAAAATCAATCAGAAACTTACATCGTTAGCATCCCATTCACCAAAACGAACATGTTTCTGTTCATCAACCAAAAGTTTCTTGATTTTCATGAGAACATCCTGAAAATAGGAAATATAATTTAAAAAGATAATAAAATGTCAAAAGTGATTGTTGATGATAAGTTAAAGAGTTGATTAATTTCAACGTTGATTAGTATATTAAATAAATGAACATTCAAGAAATGAAATGATAAATTATCAAGCATTTATCATCATCATCAAATGCTAGTTTATTGCAGTTAACAACACTTTCAATGTGAATGCTTTCAAAATGATAACAGTCAATGTCAGAATTGATTTAAATCATCGGTTATTAACATTTGAGATACTGTTAAAATTTTGACGGCATCATGAGTCCATCAAGAGATGAAAATGTAAAGGGAGAGGAGAAAAGGCCACGAGACTTAAAATCCATCTCGATCGATAAATTTACCTGTCATTTATTCATTGATCATCTTATTTGATAGATTTAAACTCGTAATTAAAATACCAATAAGATATTAAGATGATAATTATGGAGTTAAAGTGGAGAAGAAGAAAAAAATGCCGCTAATTGGACTCAGTGTTCAGTATTCAATTTTATCGTACATACAACGATAGATATTATTTATGGAGATGTTACTTGTAGTTTCCTTGTACACTGAACAATAGTGGGCTGGTTGGGGAGGTGAAATGTTCATTGTCTTGCCATTGAGGCTCCTTTCAAGTTAGACAATGGTGATGATGATGATGATAATAGCAACAACACCAACAATAACAAGGTGATGGTCAGATTATAGTGAAAAAAAAAGAGATGACCAATCTTCATCTTCATCATCAGCATCTTCTCAAACAAATCATATGTTAAAATCTCACGTTAGACCAAAATTTAGCTAATAAAATGCTATCAAAGTAATTGAATAACAAGTCTCGATATTGTAATATGGAAACAGGTAACGTATTAATTTACCTTGATAACAATATAAGTCTAATATTTACCTTGTTCAATATCTGATTTAATCATATCCATCATCCTTGTTGTGTCATGTTACAATTAAAATTGTACCTTAGCTGATCCTGATTGTGATAGATTCAAGCATATTAATCAAAATAGGATCAACAAGTTACAACCCAAGAAAATCAATTAACTAACTTGTATGTTCAATTTGTTAATGTTTCTTGCAAGAAAATTGCATCTCTGCAATCTCATTTGCTATCATCATCATCATCATCATCATCAACAGCAACAACATCATTAACATCAAACTAAAGTTGATTTTTTATAGCTATGAAAATCACGACTTTTAAGGAAAAAAAAAGTTCTATGAAACTTTTTTTTCTGATTTAAAGTTACCAAGTAATTTGTAATTAATTATGAGATTTAGATTGTTAATCAAGAAAAAAGACTATACAATAATATATAAAGCGTGTGAAGGATTAATTTGCGAAATCAAAGATAATTAAGAACTTACATATTCGAGTTTGTGAGTTTTATCACCTCTTAGAACAGTTTTTTCCAACGAGGTAACTCGAGCATCCAAATATTCAACATCCTTTAATCGTAGTTCTTCATTGATAATTTCAATGTCACGAATTGGATCGACATCTCCCTCGACATGGACAACATCATCATCGTCAAAAGCTCCTAGATGAATAGAAGAGAGAAAAAAAAAGAAAATATTAAACAAAGGTAATCATTAGAAAAAAGAAGAAAAAAAAATCTATCTGATTGTAGATTTTAGTTTAATTTCCAAGGGAAACAATTTCGATTCTAACTAAGGTCATAAGTTCGTGAGTTTCTAAAAGGTAAACATATCATTTCAATTTCTATTTTTAAAGTTAAAGGTAAGATGAAAAAAAAGGTGATCCTGTCAAATGATAATAACATATAAGTTTTGGTGAATTAGAAGCAGAAAAGATTCAATTATTCTGATATGGAAACATACATATTATCAAATCTTCATCATATTTATATAAATATGAGAGAGAAATAGATTCAATTGATGAGATAAGGTGAAAATATCTCTAGTGATGAGTAAAAGATGAGGGATCAAGATAAAAGAATCAGACTGACCACTGACATTGGGATCAGAATTTTTTTCTTTCTCTTCTTCTCCAATCATCGAGAATTCAAAACAATTTTGATTGTTTCTTGACCGTAACAACAGGGAAAAAAAATCTCCAAATATCTAGTCTATAATTTTATCTTGTAGAAAAATGTAATATGATAAAAAAAAAAGGATCGAAAACACATAAATGATATTTTCTGTTACAGAGCCAAAAAAATTGAAAAATTGGCCCAGGAGATGATAAGATGATTCTTGATTCTTGATTACATGATGACCTTTCAATTCCAGGGTTAGTTTCAAGTTTTCATCTTTCAAGATATCCTTCATATGGTCAGTCAGGCTTGAATGACCATTGTTGTTGTCTCTTTTTCTCTCGTTTCTGGGCACAAAAGTATCAATTGAAAATACGATTAACAATAAGTCATCTAATTGATTGTTGATTAATCTGAACAACCATCAAAAAGAAAATCAATTTTCATGATAAAACAGAAAATGAGAATAGTTATTAATAATAATTGAATAAAAAAGATTCAATTGTAACAATTAAAAGAAACAATTGATCAAAAGTGAAAATTTGGTGAAAGCTAATCAATTGACTTTTGCAATCATTTACAATCTAATTGTATAACAATTAACATTGTAAATTGAATTAGACCACAAAAATTGAGCTAAATTAAATCATTATTAAGTAATATTTAAAACACTACAAAGAGATATACACAAACACAGATACGTAATTGTAATGAATGGATGTTAATTTTTTTTTTCTTGGTTAGTTAATTGGGTTTACAAACCACAAACTCTCTCGATGGGTAATTTGGGTTTGTGTTTTTACATTGAATTAATCAAATTAACGATAATCAATGTTAATCTTGTAAAATTTACTATCAAGCTAAAGGTAGAAGCAAGAAAAAAAAGTGAAACTAATCATTTGAAGGTCAACAATTAACTTGGACTATGGGATCAATGGTAACGGGAATTAAGCTCATCATCATCAGGGTTATTATGGTTAAGAATATATATTCTTAACCATTGTGGTTAAAGGGATACAATTTATGATAATCTAAATTTGGCTTAACGTTCAAAATTACAGGGTATCTCTCAACTATACACCTTGTTATCTATTTTCTTTTTTACCTGGTTTTTTTTATCATCATTATCATTCCTCTTCTGATGCTTAAGGTCACCAGAATAGGAACTACAGCTTCATATGTAATTATGACCATCATATTTTTAAACAATCAACCACAAATAGTATATTAACATGATGTATTTAGGTCTCTCTCTCTCTTTATTTTCCTCTTCTTTTTTCCTTAAGCTTAATCTTTTTCAACCGAGTCACACACCAAAATCATAAAAAAAGATAATCCATCTTATATATAAGTGAACAATCATTTGATTCTGTGAGAAAAGACAAGAGAAAGTGAGTAATTATGTATTTGAGAAGATAATTGATTTATATAAGATTATTATTATTCATTGAGAGATAATCATTTTCAAATTGAACTAATCAATCATTGATGATGAAGGAAATAAGTGAGAGATAGTAAATTAGTGTTATGTTATCATGAATTGACAAGGATCGTGTTGGATAATGAAAATGGCAACGTCATAAATATTGTTTAAAGTAAAATGAATGAATGAATGAAATGTATCAAGATGAAAATGAGATGATTAATTAGAGAGGATGGATTAAGATTATTGCTTTTACTTACGACAAAGGTGGAAAAGTGCATCACAAGCTTTAATGTGAGAGAGAAAAGCATTTCCTAAGCCTTTTCCTTCAGCGGCTCCTTTAACCAAACCGGCGATGTCAACGACATTCAAATAAGCAGGAACTTTACTTGCTGGCTTATGGTAATCACAAAGAAAATCAAACCGTGAATCGGGAACTGGTACACGAGATTCATTTGGATCAATGGTACAGAAGGGAAAATTTTCCGCTTTAATTGAACTTGAGGTGAGAACATTGAAAAAAGTTGATTTTCCAACATTAGGTAATCCAACTACTCCACATTTAAGATTAGTTCCCATTCGTCCGATTAAAATTTGCTTCGGTTCTTCTTCCTTCTTTTTTGGTGGCATCTTGAGATAGAGAAATAGACAACACACTGAGAGTTAACCAATATTATTCACCGTAATTATAAACAAATTACAAAATTGGAACAACAATTAATTATCTCTAATTAATTAGTCAATAAAAATCAGAGAGAAATGATCCACATGGCAAAGGAAAGAATTTAAACCGAAATCAGCTGTAGCCAATCAGAATCGTTCGAATGTGCTTCCATCTAGGGGACGCGGGAAATTCGAATGAAAATTTTTCCAAAAATTCGAAAAAAAAATTTTCTCATCAACAATAATTTAGATTTTGATCGATATTAAATTCAGTTGTTAATTGATTGAAAAGTTTCTAATTAAGAAGGGATTTAAGTGTTTCCACCATCTATATCTTCATCTTTATCCTCTATAAGTGTATTAATGTGTGTGTGTGTGTGTGATTATTTGATAAATTGTTAATCAGTTAATGATTTTAAATGAGTTCCAAATGAATTGTAAATCAATTAACCAACCAATTGATTATCGTTAATAATGATGATGATGGAAAAGAAAACGTTTACAATCAATTATTGAAAAGCTATCAACAATCAAACATTATCATTAACAAATCAATTAACAGGTTAATCATGATTCACACTAACACACACAACACAATCAAGTAGCAATAATCAATAATCAACTAATTCAATCAATCAAAAATAATTTTTTATATATGAAAATAGTGAACAACAAAAAATTATCAAGTTAATTGTGAAAAAAAAACAATTTGATTAAAGTTGAATCGCTTTAAATTTTTCATACACAATTGAGATTTGAGACTTTTAAATCATTAACAATAATTTAATCAAATTGTTGAAACGTAAAACAATCAGTTGTTGAATATTTTTGCATGATTAATATACGAAATCATCTAAATCATTAACAGAATCTAATTTAACAAACTAATTGTAAACTCTTCGTGATTTTAATCATCAGAAAAATGAAACGATGTTTTTTTTTGTTCATTTTGAGGCCTAATTTTCAATTGAATTAATTAATTATCGTCTCGAATCGTTGGTCAGTTGATTGTTGTTACTTTTTTTCTAATGACAATTGGAGAGAAACAACAACAATTAACTAGAGTTTAAAGATTATTATTCTGATTAATTCAAATCGATGAATTTTAATTCTGGAATTAATCAAATTGTTGAGATGAAGTTTCTTTGATGATTAAGGTTAGGCTTTGAATGTACCTTAGGCAAATTGTTTCTTAATGAGTAATTGTAGTTGTTTATTAATTGTTATTAATTACGAAGAGGAAATTGTTGTTTAAATAGTTACTATTTGTATAAATTGTTGTAAATTGAACGTTAAGATGAATGTAAATGTACATTTAGTGAACAATAAGTGTTGAGCTTCATTGTTTTTTCTTGTGACTAATTAATTGTTAGAAATGTTTAATGTGTATTTAGTGTCAAATTAGTTGATTATTGTAATGAAGTGAGATAAATAGAGATAATCATGAGTGAATGATGGCGATTATCTGAATAGAATTGAATATTAGTGGGCGTTGGTGGGAGGAGATTGAACAAAAGGAGAAGGAGGTTCAGAGCTTTTTTGTTACTTCTCTTGAAATATGATACAAAAAATTATCAACATCATCATGAAGATGAAGATGAAGATGAGAAAAAAGAGATTAAGATGATAAAGATTATTATGGAAAAAGGTGAATATTTCTCTCTCTCTCTCTCTCTCTTCGTCTTATGTTTCACTTTGTTTTCTTGACCGGAAACAGTAAACAGTATTTCAACTATTTTCTCTTTACTTACTTACCTGGATCTTTATCTCTACTAAGAAAAGGATAATGATGATGACGATGACGCACCTTACATGTAATAGGAAATTAGTGAAGGAGGAGTTGATTTAGTAACAACAGATTAAGAAAAAGATCATCTTTATCTTCATTGGTCTTCCAAAAGGTGGAGTAGGTTAATAACTAATATAAGATTGATTAATTTGTGAGAGAGAGAAGAAGAGAGAGAGAGAGAGAAAAGAGAGAAAAGTAAGAAAAGAAATAGAAAGAAAAAGTTGATTTTTTTTCTTCTTCTTTTTCTCATCTACCGTGACTTTTACTCTTATGGTCAATCTTCACCCTAGATGATTAACCCTCAAGCTATTTATTGATTATTATTATTGTTCTTGTTCTTGTTTCTCTTGATTGTTGCTCTTTATTATCTATCAACTAATACACACAAAACGTCAATTATTAGATTCTATCAGTGGACTAATTGTTATTAGTTACATGGCCTTTTAGTTGATTACTTTTTCTTACTGTTAAAACTGTTAATCACCTTAAAGGTAAGTTACAAGTAAGTAAATTCAATTAATTTACTAATTACTTATCAATACATCTCTTACCCAACAAAAAAAAAACAAATCAAAATCAATGGTCAACAATTCAATGAAATGGACAATCGTTTGTGATACAACCATCAAAGATATTATTTCTCAATTAATCAAATACTATTGATCATCATTTCCACTTGATTACCAAATAAAAAGATTAAATAAAATGTTCAAGTGCCAGGAAATATAATGTATCTTTATTTCATTATCTTCCGCTGACCATTGGTCAATATAGAGTCTTTAATACAATAACGGTAGCATATTTGTTCAACAATAATGATAAACATTAATTGTTGACCGGAAAAATGATGATAATCAATATATTACTTTTATTCCCATTGAAATGTTTACAATTTGAAATCCTTTTAGACCTTAAAAGTGTTTCTAATCATCAACAATCAATTTAATGATTTGCTGTTAAATTGAAATCAATCAATTATATTATTACTTCTGGTCAGTTGTTATTAACAGCTATTCACAACAATCAATTGATTTTACACATTTTCCAAAAGCATCATTTCTAATAATACAAACTGACCAATGTCCATTAAAACCATTGAGCAAATAATTCATAGCCATCAATCACAATTCAATTATCTTAGCAAAGAAAGTGAAAGAAAATATCTTTAATCAACTGAAAGTAATTAAAAGATTCATTCAAATTTGTGATCAATAATTTACAATCAAATCAACAGGATGATTCACAATCATCAATTTGATTAGCTGGATTAAAGTTACTCATTCAATTTCAATTTACAATTTTAAATTTTTACTCTCAAATTGATTATCAAATTGTAATTGAACTTTCAATTTGGTGGTTTATCAATTGTTGATGATTGTGTAAGCTAATTAAGAGAGGATAATGATGATGGTGATGATGAAGGATGATAAAAGTGATGAAAATACGGTAATCTCAAGGGAAGAATCAAAAATTGATCCTAATCTTAACCTTGTTATCGTTATCGAGAAAAAAATAACCTTATTATGGTAATAAGGTCACCCGATGATAAAATTAATCCCGACCATTGGGAGAGATAATCTTTCAATGAGATTTAACCTCTCACCGGATTAGATTAAATTGGATTAGAGTCTATGCCATTTTTGATGGTACTTATTATGAGATAGAAAGTGTCCATTGATTGATCAAAGTAACAGTTTGGTTTTCTTGTTATTTAGATATTAATAGCTGACCAATGGTCAGTGATATTAATTTAGATTTGAATCAAAGTTAAAAGGCGAGTGATTTACTTGGATTATCATTTTATTTGTTGATTTGCTTTTCATTGGATTTTTATTGTGTTTTAATGATCGTTTTTTGATTTGTTTTTTTTTGTTGGGTAAGAGATGTATTGATAAGTAATTAGTAAATTAATTGAATTTACTTACTTGTAACTTACCTTTAAGGTGATTAACAGTTTTAACAGTAAGAAAAAGTAATCAACTAAAAGGCCATGTAACTAATAACAATTAGTCCACTGATAGAATCTAATAATTGACGTTTTGTGTGTATTAGTTGATAGATAATAAAGAGCAACAATCAAGAGAAACAAGAACAAGAACAATAATAATAATCAATAAATAGCTTGAGGGTTAATCATCTAGGGTGAAGATTGACCATAAGAGTAAAAGTCACGGTAGATGAGAAAAAGAAGAAGAAAAAAAATCAACTTTTTCTTTCTATTTCTTTTCTTACTTTTCTCTTTCTCTCTCTCTCTCTTCTCTCTCTCACAAATTAATCAATCTTATATTAGTTATTAACCTACTCCACCTTTTGGAAGACCAATGAAGATAAAGATGATCTTTTTCTTAATCTGTTGTTACTAAATCAACTCCTCCTTCACTAATTTCCTATTACATGTAAGGTGCGTCATCGTCATCATCATTATCCTTTTCTTGGTAGAGATAAAGATCCAGGTAAGTAAGTAAAGAGAAAATACTTGAAATACTGTTTACTGTTTCCGGTCAAGAAAACAAAGTGAAACATAAGACGAAGAGAGAGAGAGAGAGAGAGAGAGAGAAATATTCACCTTTTTCCATAATAATCTTTATCATCTTAATCATCTTAATCTCTTTTTTCTCATCTTCATCTTCATCTTCATGATGATGTTGATAATTTTTTGTATCATATTTCAAGAGAAGTAACAAAAAAGCTCTGAACCTCCTTCTCCTTTTGTTCAATCTCCTCCCACCAACGCCCACTAATATTCAATTCTATTCAGATAATCGCCATCATTCCAACATCTTAACCAGTGGGAAACAATTATCACCATGGAAAAATTCATAAATTCTCAAAAAAACTATGCAGGAAGCAATACTCAAATTTCCCAAAGAAAAACAAAAGTTCAAAACTCAAAACTAATGAATCAATGTATCGTATGGAAAACTCATCCCCCAGAACTTTGCCAGTATGCACATTCTTATTCTCATGAAAAGTTAATGATTTCCATGCACCGAGACAATAGACACAAATATTACAAACACATTACATTATAAATCATTTGAATCCAATTGAAGATTCAAAAATTACAAACTAATAATTCATAATAATATTTGAAACATTTCATTCAAAATTATTGTTATCACCAAATAAATAGATATCATGAAAGGGTGTGTCCAGGTAACATCATATTAATATGTAAATGGGAGTTAACTTTATTACCTTGACGATATTTTTCAAAAAAAAATTATGAAAATAAAAAATATCAAACATCAAGAATCAAGAATCGGCTCATTGATGAGATTAATATACGAAAACTGATTAAAAACCATGATAACAATTAAGGTGAAAAATGAAAAGGTAACAAATTTATTAGAAGAAAAAAAAGTTTTATTGATTCAAAATGAATTATAAATTTACATTAATTACTATGATGATGATGATTATTATTATTATATTATAATAATCACGCCTTTAAATAACAACGATGATACATATTTATCTCCATCCTCATCCTTATCCTCATCCTCCAATATCCCAACAGGAAAATCAATTACAAAAAGTGGGTGGGAATTGACAGGTAAAGATAATAATCAACATCATCTTAATCATTAACTTCTTGATTAAAAGTTATCTTGTTAATAATAAGTTAGTGATTAATGTTACATTGACTCTGATGATGATCATCATGATGATCATCAGCATTGACTGATTATCATGATAATCAGTTTAGTCATTTTTCTTGCATCATTTTGCTATTTTTTATCATAAAAATTTCAATTTTTTTTCCTCTTCTCTCTTATCAAGGTGAAAGTTGATGTAGTATATAAACATGAAGATAAACAGATAAGCATCTTCATCACCCACACCCAGTTTGGATGAGAATACAGAGTGAACCGGATTCTAATCTTCATCTTGATCGTTTTTCTTTCCTCCAGAATCTGCGCATCACTTTTGGATTGAGTTTCTTGTCAAGGGCGGACTCAGAATTCTGATTAAATCATTTCGAATCTTATTATCAATTTATCATGAGAATTATTCATTTTTCAGTAACATAACTTTTCCATTTTCATCCTTATATCTCATACTTTTCAGGGGATCTCTCATGGTTCCAAGTAAATATCATGAGAATCTGCTATTATCATGATGATACACTCGAAGTATTATTATTTCTTACATATGAGATTTACATTGGAATCTTAATTCATGTCACTTTCTGGAAAAAATGTCAACTCTTAATGAGAATACATGTCATCAGATTATCATGTTTACTATTCAGTAGGAACTTTTCCTTTCTTTCAAAAAAGATTACAAGTTAATTCTGATTCTAGTGATATTATTTTTCACTCCCAGTTTCCCTTTTAAGTTTCACTCATGCTCATAACTTTTCTGGTCTATCATCTTCATCCTTATCTCCATCACACCCTGAGCATCCTTTATCTCTGGGTGAATGAGAACCAGAAGATAATCAGATTCTGAGCATGTTCATCATGATCAAGTTCAATTTTTAGGTTTACTTTAATATAAAACAATTCATGAGACCATTTCTCAACTTGAGTCTAATTTAAATTTCGTCTCAATTACTAATGATGACGATAATTAGCTAGAAACAGGAGATAATATATCAATTAGAGTCTAAATTAATTAACCCCATCTTTTAAATATTGTAATATGAGCCTTAATTAACTTGCTAATTGCCGGTGAAATTTGACAATTTGTTCAACAATCATTAAGTTTTGTCGTTCACTGTTGGTGTTGGTGATAATTAAAACTAATTAAGAGATGGATCATTTGATGAATTGTTAATAACTTTATATTTACCTGTTGCAATTAATAATACAAACAATTGATAGTAACCAATTTATGAATCAACTTAATTAAATCACATATCATTATTGTCTCTCAATTTAAAAGTTAATTGTTTACTTTGAAAAAAAAAGTTTCCCGTTGATGGTTAATGATTGACCCTTGAAAAAATTGAATGGCGACCACAAATTGAGTTAATGATTAAATTTAATTGTTGCAAATGATTATTTGATAATGAATAACGTTAAAGACTGATGATTATCATCACGCAATCATGATTATGATTAAGATGATGATGATCAGGTTTGTTGTTGTTTTTAACCATCGTCCTAATGATTAAGGTGATCAATTGACATGGAAAAGGTAAGAAAAAAAAAATTATCAATGGTAAATGATTAAGTTTATTGAATTTAAATTCAATTAAAAGATTGTTTAAATTGTTTAACTTTAATACAATAACAATGGTGAAAAAGTTAATTGTTAACAATGATTAACAGTCAATTGGTTTAGACAATCAATTATCAGTTAAAAAGTTAATATCAATGTTTCATGGTAACAATTAAAAGTCAAAACAATTACGAAATCAATAGTAATTGTAATTGATTTAATTACATATTTAAAGTTTATCTTAAATTTGATTGTTGTTGACGATGATGATGATGATGATGATGGTGGTGGTGAGATTAAATTGTCAAACAATCAACTGATTATGATGAAGAAAACAAAAATAAGTTGAGACACTAATTGAACGGGAAACAATTAAAATTCAATTTACAATTAGAGTTCGCAATTGATATATAATAATAATAGTAACAAGAATCGAAATGAAATTACTAAATTGTTACGAGTGAATTTAAATTGTTATCCAAGTGATTAACTATTATATTGATTATCTGATGATATTCAGCTAAAAGATTAACTATTAAATTAAATGTCCTGTCAACAGTAGGCAAGATTATCGATGCATACATAACATCATCTAGATTATGATTATCAAGATGATTAAGATGATTATCATCATCACCCTTACCTTTAACACCTTTACCTTTATCATCATCATCATGAAGATAATGATCATGTTTTCATGGGTGATGATCAACATTCAACGCCTTCTCCCATGACAATGAAAGTGATATAATATTTGGCTCTTTAAATTATCTCAATCATTGTGATTGTTTTAAAAGCAACAATTTGTTAATTGTTTCTGCACAAATGAACGGGTTAAACAATTAGCTGCTACTATTACAAGACTCATACGATTATCATCTTGGTGTTTTTTATTTTGTCACTTTTGTTTCTTGGTCACCGATTTCAATCAACCAAAATTTCATGATTAGCTACCTGAGTGTGAAGATTGAATCTTTTTTTGTTACAGTAATTTAGTTAATTGTATAATTATTGTAATCAACCCTTTTAACCAAACCCAACAATCAACTTGATGAGAGTGTGTCTCTCAGATAAACCTTATATTAGTCAAGAGATTAACAAATTGTCACATCATCATAATAGTGATAATATTAGTTACATGCCAAAGAATTGAGGGAAAAAAACTCATATTCAACATTGGAACCCCATAGAAATCTGAACGTAAATGTAAAACTTTCAATGAATGAATCAATTTGATTCAATATTATTTTCATCAAGATGAAGATGATGAAAAAAAAACAACAGCAGAAACTATGAATTGATGTTAACAAATGAAAAGTTGGGATGAGGAAGAAAATGAAAAACAAAAATTGAGACACAACAAGATGAAGATGAAGATTCAGTTTGATTGAGGGGAAAGTTTTTCATGATGATGCATGATGATTGTTCAGAGGTAGTGGGTGTGTTTGCTGTTATTGGCTGTATTCTGAACAATTTATATAACAACAATTTCTTCAACAAAAACGAAAGGCAAAAAAGTAGGTGGACCGGAGGGCGTTTGTGGGCTGGATTTAGCTCTTGGATGAGGCGTAACCCTGAATGGAGATGCACTCATCTTGAGTCAAAATGATAATAAAAAGTAAGCAAAAGAAAGAGAAAAAGAAAGAGAAAGGTGAGAATGCGCAAATAGAAAGCAAAATGCACAAAAAGAAAGAGAAGAAAGAGAAAAGAGAGAGAGAGAAAGATGAAGGAAAAAATGATGATGATGATGATGATTGTTATCCAGTGGCTATGAAGATTATCATCACCAGTTAACAACAGAAACATCAAGCTTAATATCAAGTCAACATATAAAATACTTCAATTGATTAGTTTTTATGATAATTAACTTTCAAATTGTGTCATTGATTATTGTGATTATACAAGGATAAGATAATAATTATCACTGGATTTACAAATCCTTCGAGAAAACAACAACAATTGTGTTAATCTTGCTAATCTTTTGCTAATCACTTTTTGATTTGAATCTTTTTGTTTCTGGATAAAACTTTGCTAATCTTTTGGACTAATCAAGTTACACCTTTAACTTTTTCTTGTTTTGTTTTTAATATTAAATTAACTACAAATGTCGGTGTTTTCATGACATTGTAATCTCACAAGGAAAGTTATAAATCAATTCATTAATCCATTGGATCCATAATTATATTTAAACTTTATAAATATTTAAAAGTGTATCAACTTTAATATTATGGCGGAAGTGATGAAATTTGATGATTTCAAACAGGAAGGTTCAGATGGTCCATATAAGGTAAATAGAAAAGTTCAGATTGAATATCAATGATAACCATGAATATCCACACCCAGAATGTTGATAGTTTTTATCCTCTTTATGTTTACCAATCAACAATCAATTTATCACAAGGATATTGATGATGGTTGAGTGTATCTCTCTGTTTATTTGGTAACTGAATCTCTGAATGAAATGATTTACATTGTTTACCTTTGATCTGACAACTTATCATGTTTATTGTGAGAACGATTTTCTTTTTAATATTCGAGTGCGTAACGAATGGATTAAGCACGATTTTTGTGTCAATACTTGAAGGGCTATTGTTTTACTCTTGAGGTATTATCATGTTTACTTATTGCTCCATGTGATTGACTTTTACCAGTGGTGAATATGAGCCGAGACAATAGAGTTTATTTCTCATCTTTTTCTTCATTATCTTGATTTGTCCAGTTTTCCAAAGAAAAAGTCAGAAAAGTGACCTAAAACTGGCCTAACCTTGGATCGGGTTTCTATCAGTTATCAAGAAGAAAGCAGCTTATTGTTAACGATTCGTTTTTCTTTGGTAAACTTTTTTGTGGTTCCTTTTTTACGAGGTTTTACTTGCTCACAAAAGGAGAGAGAATATTAAGTTTAATGAAGAGAGAGAAAGAGAGAGAGAGATGAAGAGGCCTTCATCCTCATCCTCATCTTCATCTCATCCTAGTGAAGCAATAACTTGATCAAATTTGCGAGAAAAAAAAAGAAATTAAAACATTTTCTAATTAACCAAGTTCTTGATTCCAAAACATTCACTACCTTTACCTTCATTAGCACTTTGTTACTTTTTTTTCAACCATTATCATCATTATCTTCCCTTATCTTCATCATCTCCCATTCTTTCAGGGCTTATCCATAATCATTTTTCATCTTACCATTATCATCATTATTGTTTGAAAACATCTCAAGGACATCGCACTAACTCAACACTCTGAACATTAGAACAGATTAGAAAACAAAAAGGAGATAAAAGAAGAAGAAAAAAAACTTTCTCTTCTTGTGTTTACCTTCATTTCGTTGCAACGAAACCCACAAAACGTTGATGAAAAGAAAAGAATATAAAAAAAAAATCAACAATTTGAACAAAAAAAAAGAGACTTTTGATTTCATTAACAATCAATTTCTACCACAATTATGATCACTATCAGAGGTTGTAATCGATAACGTTTATCTTTATGTTCACATTTGTCTTAAAACAAATGAAATTTGATTCCAAATGCATGAGACTCTGTTTTCCATATGATTGTCATGTTATCATTGCACTGGAACAGAAAGAAGAAAAAAATAACAAATAGAATAGTTTTTTCGCCGTCAAACTAACATATAGCGTGTTCACTTCACTTGTCTTTGTGTTTGTACCTAATGATTATTTAGTGATGTGTTTGTTTCATCATCATCTTCATCATCTTCATCCTCCTCATGAAAGTGACTTAGGCCGTTCCCGAGGAAGATGTTGATTTCTTGAAGTTTCTGATGCGGATCATGTCAAGTTGATTTGGCATAACTAAGAAAACTAAGATGAAGAAAATAAAGAAAACCAAATGAGAGAGTGAGTTAGTGAGAGAGAGAGAGAGCAAATGATGATGAAGATAAGGATGAGATTTTGATCCATAACCAATTTGGAATGTATCATAACCATACCCATAGTTGTTGTCAGTTAATTTCTGGTGATGATGATGATGATGATGAGGGATTTCAAGGAGAACTTATCATCATCTTTATTGTCATCATCAGCTTCCTACTCTTTGTGTGAACATTATTCAGAATTATCGATAATTTTACTTTTAGAACTTTTTAAATTTACGAATTTGCATTTTCTTTTCTAAATTTGTAAACTTTCAACTCTTTTTCCATTTAATGTTTGATTCGTTATAATAAAATATAAACCAGTTGATTAGTTAATTACATAATCAACTTATCAAATCGATCAATCATCAGAATTAAATAAGTTTGAAGTAATTTTGATTAGTTGATTGATTTAGAATGAAAATTGAATTAGATCAACTTGAAACACTGAATTTAAATCAACCCAATTATAACGGTTAACTAAATCATACTTTGTAATTATAATTAGTTACTTATTTTTCTGATAAATTGTAATAATCAGTGTCAATGATGATGATTTGTTTCAGTTGATTCAATTGACAATCAACTTTTGATTATTTGATTTCCAATCAATATCTGAACTTTTTGATTGATATGCAAACACGTAAGATAATAAATAAAAGTGATAATTAATTGTTGATCAATTAGAACACCCAAGAAATTGTTTTTTTTTGTTTGATTGTATTAATAGATAAATGAGTTAAGTTAATTAAATGAAATTAATCACAATTTAAATGATTAATTGCAACAATAATGAGAAGATATAAACAAGAAGTAAGCAAAAAGTAAGATGATAATTTATCATATTATATAAATGAAATTATTGATTCCTCATCGATGGTGAAAAGATTTTCTTAATTCAATATGATGAAACCGTGAGAGAATGACAAAGAGTGAGAGAAAGAGGGAGCGAGGTATCAGGATGATAAAAGATGATGAAGATGAGGATAAGATGGGAAGATAATGTTGATGTTGATGTTTGGGTGCAGTTCAAGTGTTGTTTTTATCTTAGCACCAATTGAGTGCCCATTATGTTAATCAACATCTCGCAAGAAAAAAATTACGGAAGAAAAGGAAGAATAAGAGAGTGAGAGAGAGATGATGATGATGATGATAATGAAGAGATTGTAACAGGTAAAACAATTTGAGCACAATTAACAGCAATTTAGGGATTTTAATGAATTCACCTTTTTAATGATTCCATCTGAAGATGAAAAGTGATGAAAAATAATTCACCCTTAAAGCAAAATGAATGTGAATCATGATGAAAACATAGAAACAGATTTATTATCATCCTTTTGTTGTAGATAACAGTTCCAATCATCATCTTCCTCATCATCATCCTCATCATCATCATTGATAAACTTCAACACGTTACCTAGTTGAATGTTCATAATTTTGATGAACACGCGCTTGTGTTTATGTTATTACTTTGAACACGTTAACTGATAGTAAACTAAGATATATGCTAATGATTTTATCGATAACAATGAGAAAAGGTGAAGATGAAGATGATGAAAAGCAAAACAAACTAATCATCATCTCATCTTTCATCATAATCATTTGAGAAGAGCAAGCGAAAATGAAAAACATCTCTCTCTCTCTCTCTCTCTCTCTCTCTCTCTCTCTCACCTTATCTTCCGATTCTCCCTCTCCCCACCAGAAAGCTTCATATTACATGTTATATGATATTTGAAGATCCAGGTTACTCTTTCAATGTATTTACCTTTCCAATAGTAATCATGAAGATAAAGGTAACATGAGACATTTGAGAATCGAGCACCAATTGAGTGCCAACGATTTCGATGGGAAGCTAAAAGCCTTTGTTAAGATGATCTACCACCAGGAATGATCGTATTTACATATTATCATTATTATTTCACCTTTAATATTGAACAATTGATAGAAAATCGAAGAGAACTGAAAGAGAACGAAAAAAAAATTTTCTTTTATATAGGATTTGTTCAGTTTCGATATTGATTCATGTTCACCAATAACTTTCCTATCAACTCAGGTATGCAATCAAGTTAATCACCATGATAATCACCATGATAACAATAAAAGTGATAAAAAATATAATCAATAATAATAACCTGTTATTATTAAATGATAATATTACTTATTAGTTGGATAAAAATTGTTTGCAAACCAACAAAAAAGCAAAAACAAAATCCAGGTAACAGCAATTACATCAAAGTGACCATAACTAATTGACCAATAGTAATAATTTTAATTTTTTTTTCTTCATCATTTTGTATTTTGAAACATTTTTGTTTCATCATCAAGGCTCATAATCAACTCACCTTGACACGTTATCGTTTTTCATTTGTTGATTGTTGTTATTTCATATCAACAATCAGCAACAACAACAACAAAAAAAATGATAACTATTATCAACTTTTGATTAACAAGGTTAGAGTAACTTATTACTTTTGTATCAATTGTTGCTTGTTGATTGTTGATTGTTGACTTTGTTGATTCAATCAACAAAAGGTTAATATCTGTAATCACTTATTTTAGAATAAGTTTCAAGATTAATATCAAAGGTAACTCGATATTAGTTTAGCTCGATAAGATATCGAATAGTAGATTTTTTTATCTCCATCTAAACGAGATGTTTATTGTCATTTTTGGGTATTTGTTACCATTGAGATTGTAAGATAATCTTGATAACCATCACTGATAAATTCATTCATCCCAAATGATAACATTGATACTCAATAACAATGGTGGATAAGTTAAACTGCTGGGTAAACATTGATATTATCATTATGATGATGATGATTTTGATGATAAGAGTGATGATTATCAACATATTGTTGACAATGTTGACTCGTTTTCACCCAACAATTGAAATTCAATTCCGATTATTTAGTTTCATCAGTTTATCCACAATACAATACAATATAATCCAATACGATAATTGGGTAAAGTGTGTCTTCATCTAATATCTCATGTGTCAATGATTGATTCATTTTGATTAGGTAAACATTTTAATCAGTTAATTATGTATCATGAACCTTGATGTTACTCAGATTCATTTATCATCTTTTCTTTTGCTTTTTCCAATCAATTCTCAATTGGATTTATCATCTACAATCTATTATTATTATTATATTAACTCTAAGGTGTCAATTGTTATGTTATTGTGATGAAGATGAAACAATGATTTTGATTATTTTATCCTTAGTGATATTTTGCTTTTCTCTTGCTCATTTCTGGCCCACACCCTTGGGCTAAGATAATTACAGGTAAATTGTATCACGAATTAAGCCTCAAGGTTACAGCTTACCAAATGCTCGTTCATCTCCTCATCTTCATCTTCATCTTCATCTTCATCCTTTTTTCTTTATCTTCTTCTATCCAATTATACATAT